TTTGTTGTTACGCCACGCGTTCTTGACAGTAGCTTCTAGGAGGTGTAGGGAATCTGTTGTGGTGCGGCCTGGGCGTCCCCCGAAGTGCGTATTTGGGAGGAGGTTGTGTTGCTCTAGGATACGTGTGACTTGTTCTGCTATTAGGGCAGTAAGTAGCTTGCAAGTGGTATTAATTAGGGCAATGGGACGATACACTTTTGGGATGGTGTAGTCGGTCTTTCCTGGTTTGCGTAGGACTACGGTCGTGAACTCTCGCCATGGGTCGTAGTATGTTTGGAGGGTGAAGACTGCGTTGAATAGGCATAGGAGGTAGGGGACGAGGAGGTGTTGCGCGCATTTAAATACTATGTTACATATGCCGTCGGGTCCGGGAGCTTTATACGAGCTGGTGTTGTTGATGGTGCGAATGAGCTGTGCTGCCAGGATGGGAGCGAAGGGGGTGACAGGTTCTGGATAGCTGAAGTTAGTAGGGACTGAACTGGTGAGAGGAGGAGGCGGAAAGAATGCTTCAGCTAGGGCTATACTCTTATCTTCATTTGTGATAGCTTCTACTTGGTTGCTGTTGGCGTCTTTGGTCTTTAGGGCAGGGATACTTGTTCTTCCTCCATTGCCATAGGGCTTCATCACGATTTTGTTGGCCGTGTAGACGCTTTCTTGATTGAGTTCTTCGAGGAAGCTGATCCAGTGCTCTTGCTTGGTCTTGTGGATGGCTTCGGTAGTTAGGTTGCGGAATTTATGATGTTCTTCATGTATAGGGTGGTCAGGTAGGCCTCTCATCTTATACGATTCTGCACTTAGCTGGTCTTTCTGTTTTAGCATCTTTGTGAGCTCCTTCGTCCACCATCGTTTGGCGTGAGGGGATGGCTTCGTTTTGGGGACTTTGTTGGCTATGGTACATTTAAGGGCTTCACTAAGATTGGCGGCGGCCGTTTGAAACTGTTCTTCTGAGGTGATGAGTGCTGGGGGAGGGTATGCACTGAGGTGACGGGCGAGGGAGCTATTGAATTCTTCCCAGTCAACTTCGCAGTAGTTGACTGTTGTGGCTGTTGAGGCACGTGGGACTTCTAAATCTAGGGAGCTAATGATGGGAACATGGTCAGTACACGGCGGTCGGCATCTAGGAGTAGTATTGCAGATAGTGAACGAATCTAGCGTATGGGATGTGCAAAATATATTGTCTGGTCTTGTCCAGTTGCCGCTGCTTGAGGATTGGAGCGTCGGGGTGTGTTACAGGCATCCGTAACACCTACAGGAGCCCCAGCCCTGCCTACGCCAGCCCCCGCTCTGCTAGACTCCCCACGTGGCAGTGCGCCGCCCACACTTAGAAAGACAGCGGTCTGGACCGCTGTGACGCCGCCCCTGGCGCTGTGATGCCGCCCCTGGCGCTGTGACGCCGCTCCTGGCCTAGACGGCCTTGTACCTGATCCATGAAGGCTGTGCGCCTCATGGTCACCCTAGATCAGCGCATGTATACCACATGTCGCTTCATGAAGATCCGAAGCGCCCTTGGCGCCTCATGGTACTTATGCGCAGTCGCACTTGGCACTGCATGCTTGATCAGAGGTTAAGCCTCATGTACCTTATCTGACCTCATGTCTTGTTATCATAGATCCTAGATATACTATAGATTACAGACTGAGCTAGAATACTTACATGTAGCACATATAAGTAGACAGATTATTGTACTTAGACTTTACTTTAATCTACTAGGTTCATCCCAGAACTTGTTCAGCTAAGCCTCCCAGCTCAGCTGCCTAAGACTGCACTTCTAAGTCGCTCCCCGCTTCTTAGCCGTATCCGCTAGCCCTGTATCTTGACGAGCGCCGTCTTACCGAGATCACCGGAGGAACCCTTGACGTTCCGTCAAGCCGAGAACCACCCTCAGCTTCAGTAGACTCACTCGAGTCGTCGCTGAGAAGACCTATCCTAGTTCGCACACGCCGACCGACGGTCAGCGTAACAGGGTGTTCTTTGGAAGAGCCATCTGTAAATCGTAGTCGGCCATCAGATTAATAATGTTTTGTGCGTTTTCCTGAGCGTCTGGAGGTGTGCAAAGGTGTATGTTGCGGTCTTCCTCCCAGAGTGGGTGATGTGCATTGAAGTCGCCCATTAAAATTATGTGGTCTCCGGTGGTAGGGCGGATAGTGCGTATCTCCCTTTCTAGATATTCCGAGATGGCTGGAATGACTTCTCGTTTCTTGCAGTCGTCGTAGATGTTGATGATGGTGAGTTTGCCGAAGGGTCTGCTGAGCTGAATTATCACTACGTCTGATGATGGGAATGGTAGTTGTCGCCAATTGTTGGAGTTGAGTCATTTGTTGATGAGGGTGATTGCGCGTGGTCTGTTGGGATTAGTATATCTGTTTGAGGGGTATATAACGTTCCATCTCGGAGTTGCCTTAGTGTTACCTAGAAAGTCTATACAGGGTTCCTGGATTACGACGATAGCTTGTTCTTTTGCCGTGAAAGGGCCGCTAAGGATGCAGTGTTGGGCGGTGTCCGATTTGTTTAAGTTTTCTTGCCAGATTCGTAGTCTTACTGTTTGTTCATTGGGTGTCCTAGACATAGAGGGAATTAGTGGAGTGTGCTGGCATTACCGAACATTGTCATTGGGAGTTGTGTTGATGAGATGAGAATCCTAGGGGCAGGTTTAGGTATGAGCCTCTGGTGTTACGGCTTCCTCTGGGGGGAAAGTGTCTCTTGAGCGTGTCTTGCGTGTGTTGAGGGGGTTCCGAATATTCCGGTGTGGGTTCCTTCCTGATGAACGGTTTGGCTTTGGAGGGTGCTTGAACTTGAGTCCATGTGTCATCGGTAGGGAAGTAGGGCATTGTGTTTTCGGATTGTCTGGCGTCGAGGTCTGCGCATTTGCGGATGAATGTTGGGCAGGATCGGTCCCAGCTTGCGTGGTCTTCAGATTGACAGGAAGTGCATACCGTGCTTGATTTGTCCATGCATTCACTAGTTCTGTGTGGTCCCGAGCAGTTAGCGCAGACATCACTGTGAGAGATACATTCCTTTGCAATATGACCATAGTGTTGGCATTTCGCGCATCGTATGGGTTCACGTTTGTTCTTCTTGACTTGGAGGCGGTATTTGTTGAGAGTAATGCCGTCTCGGATGCTAGTGTTAGCTATGTTCAGGTCATTGAATGATGCCATGATGTGAGCGACCCTTTGGGTGTTGTTGCGTTTTTCCGGGGGCTTGACCCAGCGTGCAGATGTTAGAACACCTTGGCTCCAGTTGTTCTCTTGTTCAAGGTTGTCGATGTGTTCTGGGTTTCCTGGATTGAAGGTTAGTGGGACAAATTGGATTATTACCTGGTATGCGTGATCTTTGATGGTAGCCGTTGGGTCTAGTGCTTTGAGGAACTTTTTCTTGATTTCCGGTTTCTTGAGGTGTTGCGCTCCATTTGCTGTCAACATTTCAATAACTGTACCTCCATTCCTGAACTGGTTGATTGCGCGTATTTCTAATGATGGGGAGTCCTGGGTGGATATGGTCTTGATTGCTTTGTTGATGAGGTCAACTAATTGCGCGTGTGATACTTTGCCTGGGGCAAGTTGACTGTCCTTGCTGATATCGATTAAGATTTGGCGGGCTTTGATGGCGTCTCTGGCTGCTCTTTGGGTCATTAGAGGGTCGGTGTTGGTGTCGAGTCCCGTGAGTAGTGCCTTCTTGTAGTTACCTTGATTGTTTGCTTCTTTGACTTGCGTGGTTAGTGTAGTGACAGCTTCTTGCATCTTTTCAAGACGTGAATCTATTGTTGCTGAGTCTATGATTCTGTCAGCAGTGTTCCCAGAGAGGTTCAATGAGACGTCAGTGATCTTAGCCTGTGTCGTTTCAAGCTTTGATGCGGATGATGTGATGTTCTCCGAGGTGTCTTGTAGCTTTGCAATTTGCGGAGTGATGGCGGTTAGAACCAGTTTAGCTACTTTGTCTGCCATTTCTATTTTGGCCACTTCTTCGAGTAGAAAAGCTACTGCTCTTATCGCATTCTGTGCTGGGAGAGTCATTCCTGGGAGCTGCGTGATGTGGAAGAGAATGTCTGAAAGGTTGTCAACGGAGTACAGTTTGCCGCTGATGGCCATTGCCGTCTGAGTGAGATAGTTCTGAGCGCTCACTATGTCCTTGACTTCACTATTCGAAGCTATAATCTCGTTTACCGCTAGTCTTGAGGATGACCTCGTTGGCGGTGTACTTGTCTTTTGGGGTCCTTTAGGGTTTAGCGGCATTGTGAGGCTTTTGTTCTTTTCTTATGTTTTTGTTGGTTTGTGATGATTTTATGGGTCTAGCGTATATGTACTTTAAAGAAGGAAGCAGAGATATTAAGAGAATTTGAAATGGGACGGCAATGACGCCGTCTCCGCTGTTGGGCGGTTAGCTAGCTGTTTTGGACGGTTTTTCGGGGTCTTAGTCGGGGTGCCACTTGGTACGGAACCAAGAGGCGATAGAGTACTGTTTTGTGCATAGTACATACCGTCGAAGTACTTCATTCGCGCCGTCCAAATATAACTTCCACCACACACTCACGCGATCGACTCAACAGGCTAGTACTGCTTCCACATCCGATGGGCTTGTCCATTATTGTCCTTCGAGAAGGGCGAGCTTGAATAATAATTGGAATGAACTGCGGGCGGCTTCACCCGGATTCCTGAGTTCCTACCAAATAGTAGAAAAGCTTGTTATGACTCATGAGAGAAAAAATCGGACTGCATCCGCTGCAGGTACGCGCCTCAGTGAGTGTTCTGGACAGGACCAGTACCGATAAAGCTTCGAACGAGAGTACGTTTTGATAGCACGATTTTCTGCTCTTTCCTGAAGAATCTAACTTCGAGTTGAATTGTTGTGTAAGAATTGCAAGCCTCGGCCCACCAGGGAATGCGAACTCTAGATCCAAGAATGCATGGTGCACTAGAACATGTACGTATGAACGGTGTGAGAGGTCGAGACTCGAGTTGGTGTTCTACGTGAGTTTGTGCTTATATAAGCATCGCGCAGAAGGTTCAAATCACTTCATCAAGACGCGATAAACCGCGTATCATTTTCTAAAGCATAGGCTAGGTAGGTATCACAATTCAAATATTCATCAGCAGTCGAAACGTTGACGAGCTATACGCACGATTCACGCAGGCTAGCTGAATTCATAAGATAGAAGGAACGACCATCTTCATTTCACCACGATCGAGGACAATGGCTCAATCGTTACCTCCGGAACTATGGTCACATATCTTTGGTCTGGCCGCGGATGAGGATACGATATTCTATCCTGGCCTTCCAACATCCATGACCCAGTCTTCTTGGGCACGTTCTCTGGTTACGGATTGGCAACTAAGGACGCCTCGGGACTTGATCAACATGGTCCAGCGCAGGAGCTATGCTACCAAGAAGGTGTGTCGCGTTACAAAAAACAGACACTCATTTCTCATTGTAATCCTCTGATAGTCGATTATATCAACGTGCCGATCATGGCGTTGTCTCGGCCTCGAGTTCCTCGTCCGCTATTTATTCTTCAATGACCCTTCGAAGCTCCGCTCTCTTACTGTCCTTCTCACTTCCAATCCCTCGCTAGGATGGTGGACACGCCGTTTACATATTACTCACTTTCTCTACGAGCGCGGTCCCTCCCTCGACGATTTCGAAGCCGCCCTCACAACTGTACTCACCCAGACTCCCAACCTAGAGATTTTCATTGTCGATTGGCCTCTATCAAGGGCATTTGGTTCCATTGCAGACACGCTGGGTACGCATTGCAAGAACTTGCGCACTGCTCATTGGCACGTCCCTGCCGAACTCCTTCCAAAGGTCATCTGGGCATTAGATGCCCTCCCACTCCTAGTTTCACTTGCCGTCGAGTTCGATGCACCACTCAAGGATTGTGACATGCTCACCTTGGGAAGTGCACAAGATGTTAAGCTCCACCTCCCGAATCTTCAGCAGCTCATCTTGCGTGGTTACTCTGCCGAATTCATTGAACAAGCCAGCGGTTGGAGCCTCCCTCTTCTACGCAGCTTTTCCTTTGATTTTGGCAACAAGCGTGAAGACGTTCCCGATGTCCTACCCTTCCTCGGTACCCATGGTACCAGCCTGCTCTTCCTTGACCTCGACTGCATCCCAGCACTTGATATCCGCACAATACTAGACCTATGCCCTCTCCTCACCGCTTTCTCTTTCAATCTTGACTGGAAGATACCACCTATCGCACAGAATGCTGACACAGGAGATGGATCAGTCGTTCTCACTAATCGTCCACACGAGCACATCGCACACATTGGGCTCCATGGGTTGCTTTTTGCGTTCGGAGTGGGCCTTGCTAGCGCTTATGCCACCCCTGACCCTCTTAGCGCTCTCCTTGTGCAGCGTACGAATGACAAGAATTTTGCAGCGCTCACTAAAGCGAGTTTCCCTCGACTCGAACGAGTGCGCGTGTTGAGTCCGACAGTGCTCACGGACCTAGAGCGTGCGGACGGGCCGCAAGGGGGTGGGATGGAGCGCTGGGAGAGGTGGGCAGGAATGTGCGAAAGAAAGAGTATCCGTCTGGAGGACTGCACAGGTGCACTATTGGGTACATTACCTCAAGAAGAGGATGAGGACGAGGATGAGGTTGAGGAAGATGAATTTCTGGAAGAGAATGAGTACTCTTATACGGACGATGAGGAGCCGGCCAGACCGGGTGGAGTGGGTTTATCAGAACTGAGGGCACTGCTGGAAGAATGTAGGAGGATGAGCGAAGAACGTGAAGACCCGCCATTTGCATTGACGTATCGATGACTTTGGGACATCGGTGTTTTGTTCTTACTTTATACCTATTCCCACTGGACATGTGTAAGATCGCTGTTCATATAGCTTATTCCAATAGTAGTTCATTATTATCTTGGTCCGAGAAAATGCTATCCAAATGGGCGGCTAATGTCATGACGCCCTGTCATGTGCTTTCCCTTCTGGAGTCCGTGCCTTGAATGTCCCTCTACGTGCAACGTCCTCCACAATCCTTCTCGCTCGATCTACAAAAATGCTCTGGTCTCCCGGAAGCCTTTCGCGACCTACCCACCGAATTCAAACCGTGAGCTTTACTACATTGAAAATCTGAGGAAATGCAACACCCACCTACAATCGCCCAGTTGCGCGTGCTAGGTATCCGGAGCGTGTCGCACTCGATCTTCCAGCCCAACCACCGGCTCAAACGCGCAAGCCATATGCGATAGGCCGAGTATTGAGACTTGTGTGTGCCCTCAGCGCCCATACCGAGGCTGGAAATGAAGACAGCTTCATCCTCGGCCTCGCTTGACACCACACCAGCGGCAGCGTCAAGCGATTCATCGTCAGAGAAATCGAGCGCTGACGCCGCAGACGAGCGAGTAAACCTCTCATCGAACATCCATGCACAGCAGGGTATGGAGAGGTACCCACTCGCACCCGTGAGTGTTGCCAGTACAGGGAGCCATGGTGTTAATTCGTCTGCGTGGTTTCCGATGAGGAATACTCCGGGCTCCCAAAGGAATTTCTCTTCATCGTTGCTGCTGTCTGGGGAAAGAAATTGAGTAGGGTCAAGTGCGTGCACCTTTAAGGCTGCCCGTGACGAGTCGGGGTAATGTGCCCAGGAAGTCCGTGCGCGGAGATCGATACCGTATCCTGAATAGCCCTCGGACGAGAGAATATGTGTCAACAAGCCATTGCCACAGCTACATAGAAATGATGAACGATGAAAATAAATAAATAGATAATGACACAGGCAAACTCACCCAAGATCAAGGAAGCCTCCAGATGGACGAGGCCAGGATGTCCATCGTAAATCACGCAGCTCCTTCACGTCGGCTAAATCAGCTGAAGCAGCAAACATGTCCTTCCAGAAAAGCATAAGAAATGTTGCGATGCCAATGTCCTAGGCAAATGAGCTGATATCAACTTTATACAGAAGGCATACACACCTCGAACACATGCTTCAGGGGATCGGTGGTCTCCCTCCATGTGTTTACTATCCCTTTATGGCGCTCACGCATTTTGAGATATACGTCTTGATATATTTCTCGGGGTATGAGGACATCATGTTGTACGCGCTTCTGATAATGAGTGAATGCACCCCAAAGGTAACGGTGGAGTGTGTCAAGGAGTGCAAGTGCCGTACGATAGAGGCGACTGTTGGGGTCGGTAGGCGTGCCTGGGAGTGGAATAACTTCAATGCGCAGTGCCGATTGTGCAGAAGCTGATTCTGAAGTTGTGGTGATGCTGGAAGGGATGAACCGGAAAGCAAGATGTGACACCGTAGGATGATAGTAGGGCAGGCTCTCTCCTTCGGGTACAAGTGGTGTAAGGACCAACATGGACGGAAGGCCCGCAAATTCACCGGTTTCAAAGGCGTAAAGCGTACAGTGCTGCTCTAGTCCTGAGTCTCTACCCGGCCTACGCGGTAGCAGCTTTCGATGAACATTGCGTACAGCGTGATATCCCTCCAGACATGGAGCAGACGTTGGGATGGTGGTATCGGAGTCTGAGATGGTCTCTGAGCGCAAGATCAATGTCGAATTGTACTCTGGGTGATGAATCAATTGTGAAACAGCCGCCTCGAACTGTTGGAGTAAATCAGATCAACAAAACTAAAACCACATAGCCCGTAGACTGCGCACCAATTCAAGCGGGACATCTACAGGACAGCTAATCAACGACTGGAATCTAAAGTGCGAAGGATTGGAATCTGAATTGCGCAGCGACGGTACGTCATGATGAAGCCGGTGGACATCACTGACACCTGATGAATTTGAAGGATTGAATCTTGGTCGCTGAACTGAGGGTGCCGTAGCCATATGTATGGCGAAAATTGGCAAGTGCTATAGCGCTATACAATGACTAGTCGTAAGTGATCGTGGCACTGATCAAGCATTACGCATTATGCATGGAGATTATCAAGACGATAGCTGAGCGCTGAGCTGGTAATAACGTCTTCAACAAAGTCCTGGAGTAACTCCTGGTGACTCCTGATTAAAAACTGTCCGTGACTCGAATTGGCAAATTGACTTGCGCAACTTTAATCACGTGAATTACCCCCAGGCTGAGCGCTGAGCAGTGCTAGTGACACCTGAGACGAAGCCAACAAAGTGCTATTGGCAGATGCAATACATATCCTGAGAAAAATTGTACCTCTGTTGAACCATTTCTTTATTGTGCAGATAGCGGACAATTTTATAATAAAACCATGAGCGTGCATAAGGATCAATTGTTTGAACTAAATTCAAACTATGTTAGCTAAGCATAAGGAAAATTGGTCCAAGAATCTGGATACGTCGCAGATTGACTTAATTTGCTAAATGTGTAGACGGCTGTGAAATTGCCTCAGATGTTGCAACTGGCTGTGCATATTACATATGATATATTTGAGGGAAGATTTAGGAACAAATCACATATCAGGCGTGAAATCTGCCTCAGTAATTCACCCGAAATCAAATTCATAATTGTATTATTATATACTGAGACAACAAATTCAAAACCAATTTGGAAATATGTCACAAAATATGTACTAGTGGGGCACTGAGTTCCCCGCCTATTGCCCCACTAGTACTAACAACAATATTACCATGTTACCATATTGCAAAAAAAATGTTAAAGAAAACTGATGCCAACAAGGTTTTGTTCCCTAAGTTTGATTCGGCAGCCACTCGCCACTTGCTGACTGGGCGTGGGATAGTGGCAATACCCAGGCTGAGTTCCATTCACTATATAGGCCTCTAAACCTTATACAATTGTTTTTCTTCTTTTCCCTCATCGTCTAGTACTTTCATTACACAAAATTGTACTATAGGACTTACAGACTTTATGTAGACATCCCCGACACCCACGTTAGTGGGGAAGGGCTTTGTCGACCTCAAATATTTTCCCATGTGTCTGGAAATATTCCCACTCTGCGAGCACTCGCGTCAGCTTACATACAAGCACCTGCAAAACAATGATCACTCCCAACCTTCTCCAACTCTGAATCACTTTCTCCACGTCTAGTGCCGGCCCAATGAACCTCTTCTTTTTCATTGCCTTCCTTATCGGCCCTTTTTGGTATCTGAGGTCAACATCTGCCTCTTCTTTGAGCGTCCTGCCTTGTGCTTTTGACACTCCGACACAAACACAACTTCCGAGCTCGCAGCCTCACACTCAACAGATCTACTTCTTGCCATACCTGTTCAAAGAACATCCTACGTTGGTGAGTGTCATTATAGATTTGCTCGAACTTCCTACAGGCCTCGTGGAACTCCGCATATTCTTCGCCTTGTACCTCTTAATTTTACCTCTCACTCCTTGCTCACCCAGTGTAGGGTTAGGGTTATTCCAAATAAGGAGATCCGTCCCAGGACGTCCCTAATCTAGGGTTAGGTTCTTGTTTCATACAATGGTCCGCTGTGCTTCGACTTTGAGAGTACATCTTTGGAATTTTATGTGAGATTGCTGGCTAAGTGGTAACCCGATTTGTCAGATACTGACCTGACATGGAGTGGAAGTAAGAACCAAGTGAATACGTTGTCGGTGCGGTTACTGATCATCATGCAGATGTACTTAAGGAATGGTTCTCTGCAAAGAAAGGAAGAGAGCGTGCAACTGCGTCATCTGACGAGAAAGGTCTGTGATGTCCTCGGTGGTGGCAATCATGCACTGACTCAAAGGACAGAGGTCGGGGAATGGAGGATGAAAGACATGCCCGACCCTCAGGGTCACCTCTGGACAGTGATGGATCTCTACAATGTGGACGATGTGCCTGTTGTGGTACCCATAGGATTCAACTCCGCCGTAAGGATCGTTTGTTGAAGGTGTTCAACCACCACTGTGCTTGTGGTATTATCACGAGAGTTTCAACATACACTCTGTATTTATGTGACTAGAAGTTATCTCAATTGGTGAGAATTTGATGGCAATGCGTGTGGGAGATTGGTGTGGGAGATTGGTGTTGGGGAATTGGTGCGACAGCACCATTATGTATTTAGTATCGTTAGTACTAGTGATCAATATACAGTTATTGTTGTAGATTGTAACAAAAAAATGCTTTCCATTACGTTCTCTCTGGGCTTCCATCGGGAATGGTTCATCATAATCGGCAAGCACAAACTAGACAACGTACGTGTACAATTTAGATAATACATTCAATGTAATGACTTATTTTACAGTGTCGCGTCGAATCCTCCTGGCATTGTTGTAGGGTATACTACTTCACCTTCGGGAGTTACGTCATGTAAACTAAATTTAAGCTATGTGCTCTCACCTGCATCAACGATCGGTTCTACTGTCTTCGGGTTTGCGCTCAGCGTATTTCTGATTGACTGCAGTCCTTTAGCCACACAGTTCACGATGCCTCGTGCTACTGCAGGAGGTATGATATACTCGTTTGTTGTTTGAACCTAATAACATATCAACCAACCATACAGATAGCTGAGGTCAATGTTCGGCCTTACTATTGTCTCGCCCTCCCTGGGCTGAGCGTAATCTGTGCTCCGGTAGTGTGGTATCATGCCGTGTATATCAATCCCCAGCATGGCAGCACGGAGTGCTATGTTCACGCGCTTGCATAGCTGTTCAGTGCGCAGGTCATCTGTTTTAAAGTGACATCGTAAATACTTATCCGCGGTTTTCTGCAGGCCACGAATGAGTTTGGTCCTTTTAGTGCAGTAGTTCTCGCAGCTCTCGGTGTGTGCCCTGTTGCCGGCTGCAACGACAGGGAGGGGTCCGGTCTCTCACTCACGTAAGCTGTGAGATGTACCAGCATAGTTGCCATGCTAACCTCTTTATCTGCCATAATGGTGTCCATACATCCATATGTCCCATTGGAAATGATGGGCAGGTCAATCTCCATATCTGATCCCATTTGCGTCTTCTAACATGTTTAAATTATCATGAATTATAGGTAATTGATTGGCTCAACATCGTCACGACTCTCAAGCTCATTTTGATAAGATCTCCAGGATGATTGGATGCCCCATTCAAGGTCTTGACTGTTGTGTGTCGCCAATGACCTGATGGCGCGTGGGGACACTCATTCATATGGTTTGAACCGTGTAAGAGTGCTTTGTTTGCGGAGAGGTAATTTGGATCCCATGTTGTGTAGTAGCAACTTACTGACTTCGTGACTTAGAATTTGATCGAATGGTTTTGTTGCTGTATCCGACTCCGCAAAACGTCATGCTCTTGACAATAGTGTAACCGTATTGATGTACTTATTGTGAATGAGCGTTATGCAATTTCGTGGTAATTCTCAATCGAGTTCTATTTGAAATGTTCAGCGATGCCTTGGCTGTCTCCATGACAAGTGCAAACAATTGATCCTTGAAGTGTTAATTGTTGAACGGTAGTTTCCTCTGCATCTTGCAGATCCTCTTTGTGTCCCGTTTCTTTGGGTGACGCTGAATACTCGAACACTTATATATCACTAATCACTGCAACATAGATCAGATCCTCAATTATGGAAGTATGTATTCAATTCTACTGTGATGCTATGTTTGCTAATACCACATAGTTTTCCAACAATTTTACACTAACTCGTCACACTAAGGCGGTCAATGTATTGGCTGTAAGCAAGCTCGGAGCATTGCTCCTCACCGGGGGTAGCTCATCATTTTTGTTACTATACTTGTGCTGAAATTGCGTATAAGTAATGATGGTCGGGTTGTCCTGTGGAGCCTCGCATCAGGTGAAATGATTCAAGAAATATATTCACCAGCGGCGGGATATATCAGTGCAATTACCTGGACGGATATTGATGATCGCGGAGAAACCATGTTCGCATTTGGGGCATCTGACGGTAACATCCAAATGTATGAAAGAATCAATGATGTAAGTACATGATACGTGGTGCCATCGAGTTTGGCTTACACTTACTGTCATTATATTAGGCACTTTTTGAATTCCGGAGTACTACCATTGGTCACTCAGGCGCGATCGAGTCGCTTGCATGGGATCCCTATCATTGCAGACTGGCAAGTGTTGGTGATGGTCACCCACAGGTTTGGAACCTGACACCAGACAGTTCGTAACCATTGTAGTGTTGTGTGTGTATTAATAAATACATTTTGTAGAGACATTCACATCAGTGGTCTCGCAGCCATATGTTGCGCGCACTGTTCACTTTTATGACAAGGGTGCTTCTTTGTTGGTGTCATACCTGGAGAGCAGTGACGTGTTAGTCAACATTTCTTGATTCTGGTTCTTTATCTGATGCATTCTCAGATTTTGTTATTCGATAGAGCCTTGGGATCTCAAATGGCACAAAAAAGTATCAAGCAGGATGTATGTCGGTTTTGACTCAACACTTGTACTTCCATTAACCAGCACGTTTCAGTGGCAATACCGCTCTCGATGGCAACTACTTGCTCGTGAGCGGCCTCAAAGACGGGGTTGACAAATACACCATTCCCGCCCTTACATGTGTGCAGTCCTTCAACCATGTAATCTTGCGCAATGTTCCTTTGCAAATTTCTGTCACTTGACAGTCAGGGTTGCTATTTGTTGGCGGTGATGATGGTTTTGCTCGAATTTTTGATTACACCACGGGTGCATACCGTGGACAATTGGACCATGGTAATCGTGGCAATTGCATCACACCTGTAGTAGTAAGTAACATTCTTCTCAGCGGTTGACGATGTAACCCTAACAAGAGTTAGTCTCACGAAGGACACTCAAGGTGTGTTGTTGTCACCGGCACCTGCCTTAACGGGCACAGTAGTGTGAAAGTGTGGGGGGAGGGTGATGTGGTACGTTAAATCTGCTTGATTTATGGCCATTTCTAATTTGGATCAGATGTTAAAGGAGCATGCGACATCCCTTCCATCCTCATTCCCATCAACCACACTTCAATTGATTCGATTTGCCATCATCTGCATTCTTGTGAACGTTCTCATGCATGCCCTGCAATCAGGCGCTTTTTCCACTCTTTACATGCTACTTCAACATGTACATATCCCTGTTGTCTGGACGTAAGATCATACTTGATGTCAGAGTTGCAGCGAGAAACTGTATATATCCATATGCTTCATTTTTGTGTACTTACTACTTATACTCGAATAAACTCGAATAAAGTCATATGCTTAGTCACGCAATGCCCAAATTGGCATTCACTACAAATAGGTGCGGTGCTTGTATCATGCTTTCATTTCCTACTTTCATCATCCATTAGATATTAGTAGAGTAAGTGCTAGACTTGATTAAAACACTTGAGTAGTAAGTTGCATACAAAACGCATAAGCGCCCATCTAGTACCCAAGCACACGGAAGACGTCATAAACGTAGCAAATCATCTCGTGAAAAATCTCAAGTAAGGCATTTACTAGGTGACGGCATCAGTACTAACAATGCGCAAAGGTCGTGTCTTTTGTGAGTCTTGAGGCAGAAGTCGCCTCAGAGGATGAAGATTCGGAAGGTGAAGAAGATGACGATGGTGAAGTTTGCTGGTTGCCTTATTGTACACTGTCTGATTCCTCTTCATGCAGATCGATTGTTTGTCATCTCAGACGACAACATTGTAGATGATGAGTCCGATGACAATGCCATGCATCCTTCGTCCTCATTGAAGGATGTTGGTGCTTGGGACATCTTTCAGGAACACCTAACGACCGACATGTCATTCGAGGAAATGCTAGAAAAGTTGCGTGCTTATCTTGGGGTCAGATATTGCGAAGAGGATTGGAAGGAGGCGGTAGACTCTCTGTTCACTGGGGACGGCGATATCAACATCGCGTTAGATAACCTTGCGAGCATCAAAGAACGCCACATTCCATCGGGAGGAACCTCGACTAACCTCTTGTCAAGTCGCCCTTCCAACAGTTTTATAGATGCACTCGAGGACATTGATAAGCGGTTCGGGCAAGGGGCTGTGAGGCCATCACGTATCATCTCGGATGAGGGAGACTGCAATATAGAACGAGACGTTGTGCCCAGAACATCAGGTGAATGGGTTGTAACAGTGCCTGGTATGTATCTGAACCTTCATCCACCTGTGTCATGCTCAGCGACTTGCAGCATCAAAGACATCATTTCTCGCGATATCCATCAAAGCATTCGGCCTAAAAAATTATACTCATCCAACACTTCCCGGACACTTGTATGTCACTGCACCAAATTCCCTCATCATCTGAGCAGCTTTTCCATCCTCTCATGCTGATTGCTTCCTCCGGTGTGCATTCGCTTCTGATGATCAGACTCCGGATACTAGTGTTGCCATTCCTGGATGGTATCGCATGACACATGGTGCATACAATCGCGATATAGCGTATGGGCTATCATATGATGATCCTACAAAGACTGTCAAGTTGTTAGTAGCCTCCAGACGACTGAACGACCCAAGAGACATTGGCAAGCTCAGACAGGAACATCGCCTGCTTGAGCACCCTGCTGGTGTGGACCACTACAAATACCGAGGTCAAGAATACATCCATGGCCTGATGTGCATCAAACAGCACCTTACAGATGTCATCAGAATACCCCTCCCTACTGCGCAGGACATTGTCCTCCACAAGAAGTCGGGGTGCAACCCTGAATTTGTCTCAGTCACCATGCATATGTATTCCGCTCAGTACTGGAGAGAAGGTGATGAGGTGCGAGTTGTCTCTGGGGCTTTGTCAGGGACCTGGGGCATCATACTGGATGTTCAGATCAATGATGGCACGGCACTGGTGGATCTGGCCTGTGTCCCAGGGTCGAATAGCGCACTTATCGATATAGATGCACCAGTCTCATCTCCCATTGCAGACCTGCAGAGGCGTATTCAAGCGGGGCATCATGTCCGTGTCTTGGACACAAGTGCAGAGAAATCGGAGTATAAGGGCAAGGAAGGAATAGTTCTTGAAGTTGTCCACGATACACTCGTTGTCCTGGATTCAGTCACAAAATCCGAGGTGAGTAGTCTCATTCCTTGGAAAGTCACTAGCTGATATGCCAATTCAGTTCGTTGTATCAAGTATTTCTGTCCAGACCCACATCGTCAATTGCGGGTTATCCACTTCCTTCAGTACCATTATGCCAACATCGGCAGCGCTTCCTGACGATGACACAGCGATGAGAGGTGATAATGTCGTAGTACAAAAAGCGGGAGATTTTTACTTGAAGACCGGGACAGTAACAGCTGTCGATGCTGGACTGAATCAGTTAACTTTCCTTGTCTCGGGTACACGAGACATTTATCTGACTGTGCCAGTTCCATGGACCAGTGTCTCTCCTAATCTAGCTGCCCTGTGGTTTACCCCGGCGCGCGGATATGATGTGGTGGCCAGAGACGTCATACGAGTTGTAAGGGGGGCAGCATGGAACCTATCGGGCACTGTCCTTAATGTTGACCTGGGTAACAAAACCTTGACATTCCAAGGTCCCTACGCAAAGGTACATTGTCAGTCACATTCATCACTCTTATTTTGACTATGTCTATCTCAGATCACGATTCCCATAACTTATGCCACCAGGATCAGCTCAGCAGCTGAGCACGACCCTATGGAACGGTTCATCGGCAAGCAAGTAGTCGTCATTCATGGGCATATGAAAGCACTACGTGGAACACTGCGCTCTCTCATACGTGATACGTGTCAAGTTGACCTCTTCCAAGGTCAAAGGCAGCAACTTTCACAAAGCCATGTCGTCAGGTCAGTTCATTCTTGTTAGTCTCCTTCATGACCACTCACAAGCAGACAGTGAATCAGGGGACCTCCTTAATGGAGGTAGATTGTCAATTGAACAATTAAAGATATTCATTCAGATGTTGCGTCAATTGTATGTCCAGAGGCCTCCGCGAGCCTGCACCCCACCTCCAAGCCCACCTCCTCCGCAGTCCACCCCTGAACCCCGCCCCAATCCATGGTCAATTGACTTTAGCATTGAGTCAGAGACTTCTGTATCTGAAGAAACATCATCCACAGCCCCTTGTGAGATTTTTGTAACCTAACTGTTCTGCGTGGAAATAATATGTATTATCACAGCATATGATCCTTGGCGAGTGAATCCTGAAGACTCGGAGGGGGAGAACAATTCTGATATCCCAGAATCATCTCGTGCATTGTTTTTTTGATTACTGTTGCTTTCAGCCACTTAACTTCTCAATCAGCCACACGATTCCTGTGCAGTAGCAAATTAAGCTCAGTACTAGCTCAATGCCAATTAGTCTTAAGGGTACTACCAGCACCAAGCGGCACATGGTATCAGAATTACCATGATCGCCTAGTTCGTACACTAGTTCCGGATCTGTTCCTTCTGCCAAGAGGGCCCGTTGCACATGGAAACATTGCGGTCAGATACCTCTCAAGGACAAGGAACATTGGTGCGAAGGATGATGAAATTCCAATGTGTTATGTTATCGCAGAGCCCCCAACGGGCAGCGGCAAATGTTTTGTCGTGACATGTGGAGATGATATCGGGACCGTATACTTTACGAAGGCGGCAAAGAGGAACGACGCCATTATCATGACGAGGGAAGGTAAGCAAATTTCTCGCTCACATACTTGCCTATTGGGTGATGGCACCATGTGATGTCTGTGACCCATTTTCTACCCTTATCGCATGTAGTTCATAAGTTAATTCTTCACTGCAAACCCACTCATAACCACTCCGATACCCGTTCATATACAATACTTTTTCACTGCTTCCGTATTGTAGTCATTTGAAATTATCATTGCTTTTGTACACAACAAACGGCCCTGAGGAGGCCTACAACGCAACAGCGTTGTTTTCTTATTGTCGCTGGCCTGATGGCATTGGTAACCTTACCGTAATCTTATTGTGTTTATTTAATTGTGTTGAGTCTTATAAGCACAGAGAACCCCAACCCATACCACTTGCTATTGCAAACACTCAAGTTGTCCTTTACACATGGATTTGCGTTACGTACATCATTCTTTTTGTCCAAAGCTCCGCTGACATGCAGCAGAAGGAACAAGCTTCAGTTTCCGGCTTGCAACAAAGTCGAGTGCACCCTCAGGCATGTATCAATCGTCAAAAGACTATCGGACCGATTGCTTTACAACAGGTATTCATTAAGTCATCCTTGGCGTTCCTAGTTTCATGCTCTTTATAGCCACCATACACATGGCTTGCGCAAGCGACAACATTTTTGCTTGCCATAGCATTCTTCGGTTTCGCCCTCAGTTTCGCACTTTTATCTTTGGATTACCTGCAGAGAGGTATACTCAGACTTGGATATTGTCAATGTTTATTCAAATAAATTTAATCTACTATGTACTTGTTACATTGTTGCAATGGGCTCATTGATTCAAAGTCTATCTGGTCTGCACCAGATCTGTGGTTGATTTTCCCAGGCTGAGTTTCATTGAGTTTCATTCACTATTTAAGCCTCGGAATGCCATTACACCGATCTCTTTTCTTTCGTTGTACTACTGCATGACTACTACAATGTGATGTACAATAGCCACTCAAGTTGTAGTATTGTAGTGATGGTTGATTTACAATAGTGCTGATTTATGATACATACGATACAATCATATAGTATTTACTCCTATTAAACAATAATAAGCTCAGTAACCAGGAGTAGGCCGAATAACCAAAATACGAAAGACGCGGATTTGTGAGTGCCCGTAGTGCCTTATGTTGACTGATTTGACAATGATGATTGTTGTCTAGATGTCCGACTTTAAGTCATATATCTGACAGAATGTCCCCTACACATACGTTCTCATGTCTTTGCCCAACGATACTTCTCCAGCTGGTCCTCTAGGGGGACCAGCTTTGGAACCTTCGCCTGGCGAACTTGCATCAGCACTTCATAGACTGGGCTCTGTTATGCGAAAGTGCGCTATCAAATTTCGGTCATGCCTCTACTCCCACTAACATAATTTCCCTTGTAGTTTCACGACACGCAACTCACCATCAGCTCAAGGCCCGCTCTTACCAGAACATCGAGATCATATCGACAGACTTCAAGAAAGTACACCAATGTACTTGCCTTATATTCAATTCCACCCTCGTGCTATAAATGTGGTACTTACAACATCCCACCCCTCTTTATCTATCGATGCAGTGCCTCAGCACATGCACCCGACGCCTCAGCCCATACTGCCAGCCCCTCAGTTTCCACCTCATACTTCTGTTGCAGTTTTGAGTCAAGCACCGGCTGGTCGGTCAGATGTCCCTCATGTTGGATCGAGTGTAGATCGTAGGAATCGTCGAGCATTGAATCGGGTGGTTGAAGTGCCATCCTGGAGAGGCAGCAGTCGTTCAAGGAGTCCCAATATGTCAGGTCGTGCCAGTACTTCATATTCTGGTCAGTGTCAAAGTGCACGTCCTATGACGTTTCACTCTAATGTGTCATTACAGGTACTGGGCATCAACAGATGTTGACCATGCCTCCATCTAGTGGTGGGGAACACGACATTTCGATGGAATATGAACATCCGCCCCAAACTGACACCAACCATGCCACACCTCTAACCCAGCCTCGAGCTGTCAGTATCTCCCCTGCGATGGACACGAGTCCCATCATCAATTCCAGATCCACAGATCCCCCACTCCAAACTCCTTCACCAGCGAGACATTTTATAATGCCCTCTGCCATTGAAAGTCATCTTGACCGGCTTGTTACACAGCGCCTTCTCGAACTGTCTCATAACGTGTTGACGCCGACTTTGAAGAATGCTATTGATGCCATGATTCCTTCCATGGTTAAACGGCTATCAGACGATATGAGAAACGTCCCCGTTGGTCTCCAGCGTCGTACTCGTAAGGAGGATTCTTCGTCCGATACTCAAGCAAGTGACAGTAATGATGATTTGACACCTCATCCCCGCCGGAAGCGCCCCAGTAAGAGAGGCTCAAAGAATCACTTGCATGTACGTATGTCAACATTTTGATTTGACCATGGTAACAAATTATATCAGCTCGCATTCCGCAGCTATTTACAAGAGAAGAAGCTGCTCAAGGGTAAAGATGGCTCACTGCCTCAATCTCCTCCAATCGAAACCATTCAAGCCTTCAATCACAATCACGACTGCTGTCCCACCCTACAAGACCTCTTCATCGACTGGAGTGACTCACTAAAGAAGTCTTCATGGAACACAGAAGTAATCAACCTCGTAGTCATAGACTTCCAAGCAAAGATCAGGAACGGCACCTATGCGCAAGTTCTTTTCCATGCGAAAGCCACAAGTCTCGACAATTTGTGTTCATTGTGCATTGAAAAGCTACGCAGAACTCAATACCAATGTCGACAATGTGCGCAGATCAGTAACTATATCAATCTCGACGAGATTAATCATGCATCTCATCAATTGTTGACATGCAACAAGCGAAGGCAGCGCTTAGATAGGTGTAACACTCGAAAACATGGGGTAGGCAGACAGTGTTTTATCCTGGTATCATCTGAATGCCTTTTTAGACTCTCGAGAGGCGTATAAAGATAGTGGCACAAAACCGACACCGCAGCCCTGATACTTGGGACACGATCGAACATATTATCAATCGGTTAGATGTTGATGGTGTTAGTGGGGATGAAACGGACACGCCAATTGGGGCGACACCAAAGGTAGTAAGGCGAGTAAACTTTCCATGGCTCAATCCCGACATCACTCATTTACTCCATGCTGTGGAGTCATATGCTCCAGCAACTCACAAGGAAAATATGACCATTCCAATTGGAAACTCGTCTCTTCCACATATCTTGGAGCCGAAACGCACGGCTCAAAATTCCATTGCCATCCAACGGCTTCCACGCAACTGGTATAATGACCACTGGTATAAAGCTAATTCCACCAGTGCCCGCGCTCTCTTAGGGGCTCGCAAGTCATTGATCATCCCAACATTGGAGCCCTATGGTTCTCAGAAACACCCATAAACTACAATGTATGTCTATCTGTACGTACTCCCACCCGCTTACATAGTGGACAGATACCGGAGAGTGGATTGCGGGAATGTCCGGCTGAGTTCCATTCATTGTATTCACTATATAAGCCTCCGAATGTTGTTCTTCGATTCTCTTTTCTGACTTGTTGTCTGCATCACATACCCGTTCCGTCATACCAACATTTGTATTAATAAATAAATATATTCAAATATCATGTTCCCTATACCCGTTTTACAGGTGTCTGCTGAGCCGACCGACAGTGACACCACTCCTGCAGAACTAAGGACGCCCGAGCTGCCACTACAGACACTAGCACAGTCTACCGCACAGGACTTGCAGCCAGTTCTCCCTACGAACGACACACCCATCAAACGTAGCTGTTCTACGATGCAACCTTTCACAACCAATACACGCTGCCGACATACCACTCTCAATGCCATGGGCAAGGAGATGAAGGGATGTTTGGTTGGTCCAATGCCAGTGGAACAATTTCTCGAGGAGTTCCTACCGCCTTCAGTGATCCCGAATTATGAACCTTTAACCTTCTCTGATGGCACGTTCGAGAGCACACTCTCTGCTCTCCATGAGATGAAAGCTTATGAACCATTTGTAAGTGCTTCAACCATGATATTAAGATTGCTGCTAGTCTGACTCCGAGTGCAGATTGACACTATGTCATCTTTTGCCCCTGGTCTATCGTTTATCAACACCCACAACCATCCAGACACAACCAATTGCAAATCATTTACATTTCAAATCAAACCCGACATCTGTGTTTATGCCGATGGAACCTCGCCACCCCGCGCTAGACAATCATCCTGTGATGTCTCTGCTGCGGAAGTGATTATCGAATTCAAGTGGGATCCCCATCATAATCCATTCTATACGCCTGCAAGTGGCCCAAGTACTACAGCACACTTCATATCTGAAACCGACAAGGCCATGGACACACTGGGCCAAATAATGAGTTATACCGCAGCTCAGCTTGGCGCACAATACTGAACTCATGCATTCTCCATTCTGATCGTATACGATCAAGCTCACATAATAAGATGGGATAGGGAGGGAGCTACCGTTTCTTCTGCCATCTTCTACAACAAAGAACCACATCTAGCTGATTTTTTCCATCGTTACGCACAAGCATTGCCTGCATTGCGTGGTGTTGACACTTTGGTAACACTTGCTAGTGCCGAGGAGGCTCGCCTTGCAAGGTCGCAGTTAGGCCTTTCTGCTACTAGACACATGTTGAAAGTGGCTGTCCCTGATGTCGATGACACTGGCTTAATTACCTTGGTGTTTCCTGCACCTTCACCGGTCGGTCAATCCCCTATTGGCCGATGTACACGCGCATGTCCTGCGTATGATATTGACAATGACAGAGTTGTCATGTTCAAAGACTCTTGGCGGGTCGCGATCGCCGATGTCCTACCAGAAGGTGAGACATACAAAATATTAAAAAAAACAATGTTTCCAACATTGCGTCGTGCATTGCGTGTCACGACGTACCCTCTATCCCTCAACAAACCCTGCAGACTCACAAGTTCGCAGATGCTGTCTGGGCATGTTCACACAACGCGATCATTCCGCACATTCATTATCGCCTGGTCCTCAACATTGTGGGCAAACAGTTATGTGAATTTGCAAGCTCTCACCAGCTCGTCACAGCCGTTCGTGACGCATTAATTGGTACATATTTTTGCCACCTCACCCTCCCAAAAAGCATTATATTCATATTGCTACAGCTCACAAGGACACATATCACAAGGCGGGCGTATTGCATCAGGACCTCAGTGCAGGAAACATTGTCATCCACGATGGCAAGGGCATCCTCATTGATTGGGACCTATCAAAGTTAATTGACATCAAGGGTGCTCGGCAAGTAACACGTACGGTTCGTTCATTCCGTGCCAAAGTTTGTTAGTATACTGAATCTGTTGAATCTGTTGTCAATAAGGGAACCTGGCAATTCATGTCTGCCCACCTGGTCGAAAATGAAGACACCACACATGATGTTGAGGATGACCTAGAGTCTAGTCTCTATGTCATCCTGTGGGTTGCCTTACTGTGGACGAAGACTTACCTGACTGTCCCTGCACGGTCATTACTCATGAAGCAGGTCTTCGAAGTTGATGAATTGGAGGGGGTTGGATCATCCACTAAATCGGCTTTTCTCAACTCGAGAACACAACTTAGGGGTGATGTGTTTATCGACCGCAAACCGCTCGACAGGCTCATTCTTGCACTTACCGAGCTCTTCGCGCTTCGGTATATTGTGGTCACTCGGGAGCAGCAGGATGCTTACGATCAAACATGCGAGCACATGGAGAAGACAGACGCCACTAACATGACCTTCATCATGAACCTCTTGAAGGCGAATCCTGCTTACAAGTTGAAGACAGACATGGAGATCTTGAAGTCACACAACAGGATCATCGAAGTTTATGACTTTCACCTTCAATTAGAAGGCTGGCCTCAAGATCCTCCTGTGGAGCAAATTCTCACTTCCAATGGGAAGTTCCACGCGAAACGCTGTGTCTTCACGAAGTCACTATGTCCTTCACAGGTAGAATTAACGACATCTAGCAAGAGACGTAGAGTTGGGGATAATTAGCCATATGGGCATATTGCCTTGCATTTGGTTCGGTGGCTGTCTCGATTACCTTGTGTTTTAGCCTTATGATACTTTTCGAATACTTGCTCTGTTGCGTTGCATATCAATCTTGATTCATGACTCACATATGCGACATTGATTACTGCAACAGTAAGCGCATATAAGTTACAGCCTGAATAGAAAAATCAGATGTCTTTTGCCCCAAATGCGATACCCACTTATACCCACTCGGATAACTTAAAAGCATTCATATAGGGTCACCATGTTCGCAATATCGAGCCCTGTCTCATGATTTCATTGCCGTTGACAAGTGCCTTGGCGGATCGAACGTGACAAAGAAGTTCGAACTTGTCGTTGTTATTCAGCGGGTGCATCTCCAATACATCCGCCATGATCTGGGACATAACTACCTTGTTCTGCAGGAGAGAACCAACTGTAACCAGGCACAAGAGGGACTTATAAAAGGGACAAAAGAGAAAATACATGCGAGAGGCTGGTAATTATAAGACCGATGCGCAGTTGTTCGTACTACATTATTACTATATTACTACATACAGCTAATCATGATGGAAAGAAAAAAGAAACAAAGCGAACATTTGAAGCTTAAGTAATGAATGGAACTCAGCTGTTGCCGGTCAGCTGGTCAACCACCTTTGTCAGCACCTTCCGGCAATTTCCAGTTCACTATTTAATCCTCTTTAGACCTTTCTGATTCTCTTTTTTTTTTCACCATGCACTCAGTCGTAGTTATGGCGCTTTTAGTATATTTGTGTTGGAGTGTCTTCGTCATAGTCGAGACCCCTGCTGACTTTTGGGTTGCTTGTCGCGATGCTAGTGTTTCATCTTGTGTCTTGTCCCTCACAACGTTCATAAGTAAGTTTCTACTGTATTTGCAAGTTAATGAACCGTTGTAGTCTGTAGATTTACCCTATTGTCGTCCCAAATGTTGATTAATTATGTTTAGTATTTCTAATGCTCCCAAGCGGTTATTCTATTGATTGTTGTTCTACTAAGTGAGTCTGGTAGCAAGACTTCCATCGAATGAATCGTCGATTTATAATCCACTCAGTCGTTCACAATAAAGAGAAGGCACGCACCCTCCAATGCGGCCATTGCACTGTGCAATGCATCCCAGACAGATCACAATAAGACGAACTGGTATTGAAACAAGTGAGTGAGTTTGCCATTTTTACAGGACAGCACTGATCATATAAATTGGATACTACATTGCAGCTATTCTTCATAAGCCTCATCCTGTCATGGGTATCTTTCAAAGTCAACCCTGCGCGAAGGTAATACCTCCTGTACGACATGTTTTGCAAGATACATGAGTTTCTCTGCAGATTTTGTTAGGCATTGGGAATACAGATTCTCTGGCGTCACTGGACTGCCTCTCATCATTACACTCCCTGGAGGTATGTTTAAATAAATCAAGATCTCATTGCGTATCACTCAATAACTAATTGTTCTGCTGGAGCACGTTCCTTTGAAGCGAAAGGCTGTAGATCACTTTCTTGACGGTTGTGAGCAGCCCACTCACAAGAGACGTATGGACTGCCTTTCATTGTTGCACTCCCTGGAGGTATGTTTAAATAAATCAAGATCTCATTGTGTATCACTCAATAACTAATTGTTCTGCAGGAGCACATTCCTTTGAAGCGAAAGGCTGTAGATCACTTTCTTGATGGTTGTGAGCGGCCCACTCACAAGAGACGTACACCTGCCTTCTGGAATGGAAAAAATCGATCTTCGCAGGATCCAATCCACTCAGATCTTCGACAGGCCCAGACATTGTCGTTTGTATGTGACTTTTCCAAATCCTCAATCCCTAAGAAATGCACTCTGGTCCGCACGTATGCGATCGAAGACCTAAGTGTAGGTCACCCAGTTCATTATTCATATATGTTGTTTAAGTCTCATTGTGTTTCATAGGTCCAGGAAGAAGGTCCTCTAGGCTGTTTCTCAAGGACTCATGAAGGGCTCGAACAAATTGCCAGTATCACAAAGCCATCTGTAAGAGCCGAAAAGCAAGTGTCAGAGAATTTTCTGGAGCAGGATAAGGGAAGGGCAAAACGCAAAGCCTCTGACGTGCCCAGCGGATCTTCTCCTCCAATGCCTAAGAGGTGCTCTTGGTCCTGCTTGTCTGTAATTGCCGACCAAATCGTGAGTGCGCCAGATACCTCATGGCCAAACTTGTCTCATCACATTTTTGACAGGGATTACTTGTAACAGAGGTTTTAACTGTCCAACCACCGTCCTCATGTTGGCCGTTTCCCAATGAACTTGTTTTAAAGATTCTGGAAGACATGCCAACTCAGGATCTGCGAGTCGTCGCGCAGGTATCTTGTCTCTCTCGGGAGTTAGCCGCTCCTCTTTACCTCCATTCCGTAGGCTTATCATTTGATGATACCTCCCTGTGCATCAGCACACAAGCGTGTTTCACCCTTCTCATGTACAGGCGCTCAACTTTATTTCGCGTGCCAAAGTATCTGCAATGCAATCTCCTCGATGCAGATGATCGCCACCTCCAGGCGCTCTCGAGCTTCATAGAGTTATTGGGAAGCAATTCATCGTTATTTGTCTCCATTGTGAAAGATGGCGAGATGCTGGGAGATTTTGCGCCTCTTTTTCAGTCCATCCGAGACTCGGGCTGCAGGAGTCTTCGGTTCTCGGATCAGTGGGGGTCTCACCTTGCATACCCTCCGCCGACTCTTCCTGATTTCATTGCTGCTCTGGATCCTGCCATCACAAATAACTTTCACATTTTCCATGTCAACTCCCCAATATTTTTCTCCCGATCTATGGTCGCACTTACCCTCTCGTCCTTGCGGGGCTCTTCATTGACCAACCTCAGCCTAACTCATACTTCATTGAGCATTCTCCAGTGGACGGTGTTAATGCATGACATTCACTTCCCACGGCTTCGTTTTTTGTCTATCGACATCGAGTGCCCTGCCACCACGCTCGTCGAGTTCTTGACATGGCATGAGGTTCACCAACTCTGGCTTTACAGTATGCGTCCGGAGATCGTTTCTCTTGATGGCATGGACCTTATGCAAAATGTAACCACTCCCCGCATTCCCATACATAGCTTGCACTCTCTCGCTGGACCGCACTGGTACATTTCGTCACTATTAGACAAGGTTCGTTTGCCTCTACGCATTCAAAACCTCGACTTGGAGCTGGATCGCCACTTTCTGACATCCACTCCCAATTACTTATTGGCAATAATCAATATTACCCAACAATTTATCCTCATAGATCACCTGCGACTCAGTTTTTACGACAGATCATTGATTTCCCAAAGTTTTGATGTCTCATTGGACGAGTATCGAACTATTCCGGTCAAGAATCTCACTATCTTTCTACCACACTGGTACAAATATTCAGATCGACACCCTTTGGTGAGCGCTTCATATGAGGCCTTTTCATGTTAAGCTAATGTCATTTTAAGGTCAGCTGCAGTCCTTGGCTACAAGCCTTCCAGCACGTTGAGAAATTTTTTCTCAGGCCTGGAGATGTAACAGCATCTGAGCGGCAGGAGTTGGAGGCTGCTTATCGTCGTCCAGAAAATCCTTATTGTTTGGACATTGGCCATTTTGTGTAACATCTATATCTATATCTATGTCATACCACTCCAGGTGTATTGTCTTCCTCTACTGCTGATGATCCTTATACCCACTCAAATACCCACCTAGTTTACTCTAGAACGTACTGCGTCTGAATATACAGAATTTCCCAGGCTGAGTTTCATTCACTACATAATTCTCAAAGCTTTGTGCGTGTTTCTCTTTCTGCTTCGATGTTAGATTATTAACATAGCCATGATAGTTGTGAAATAGCAATATACTACAAGGTAGCATTGTGCTTTGGACTACACATCGGCTTGCGGACATATGGCGCCAAAATCCTGAGAACTGTCAGTCATCATGATTGTCCAAACCATGCCCTAGGACTTACCCGGTTCATGTTACGCTGACATCGGTCGGCGTGTGCGAACTAGGATAGGTCTTCTCAGCGACGGCTCGAGTGAGCCTACTGAAGCTGAGGGTGGTTCTCGGCTTGACTGAATGTCAAGGGTTCCTCCGGTGATCTCGGTAAGACGGCGCTCGTCGAGATACAGGGCTAGTGGATACGGCTAAGAAGCAGGGAGCAACTTAGAAGTGCGGTCTTAGACAACCAAGTTGGAAGACTTAGTTGAGCAAGTTCTGGGATGAACCTAGTAGATTAAAGTAAAGTCTAAGTACTATAATCTGTCTACTTATATGTGCTACATATAGGTATTCTAGCTCAGTCTGTAATCTATAGTATATCTAGGATCTATGATAACAAGACATGAGGTCAGATAAGGTACATGAGGCTTAACCTCTGATCAAGCATGCAGCGCCAAGTGCGACTGCGCATAGGTACCATGAGGCGCCAAGGGCGCTCCGGATCTTCATGAAGCGACATGCTGTATACATGCGCTTGATCTAGGGTGACCATGAGGCATACAGCCTCCATGGATCAGGTACAAGGCCATCTAGGCCAGGGGCGGGTCATAGCGCCAGGGGCGGCATCACAGCGGTCCAGGCCGCTGTTCTTCTAAGTGTGGGCAGCACACCGCCGCGTTCATGGTCTAGTAGAGCGGGGACTGGTGTAGGCGGAGTGGGGACTCCTGTAGGTGTTACGGATGCCTGTAACAGTTCAAAGGTTTCAGCACAACGTCGGTTTCGCCCCATTTCATTGATATTGAGTGGCAAATGCGACTAGTGCCTACTGGAACGATGTCAAGATGCTGGCTGTGGGTAGAACTCCAAAGCTGTGCGCCAAAGTCCCCATACGCTTGGAAAGGATCTTGGTGTTCTGCCGCTAGAGGTGTGTTACGCCACAATGCAAAATAGTATGTTTGCTGATCTTCCTCCCCTGTGGAAAAAATGTACTTGATCACGCCAGGCACAAATTCTTGAAGCGTCCGCTGAAAGAACACGTTTGAGTCTTCATTTGACCAGGCGTGACCGGAGTACTGCACGTCCAAAACATTCAAGCGCTTGTATAAAATAAGATGCTTGCTTCTAGCATGAGGACGCCCCTGACATAGGCGAGTTTCTGCTATTTGCCATGCTTTCTCGAGATCATTGGGAACAGGGGTCTTGAGAACATGGATATCCTGATGAGAACTGGTGTTTTGTCCAACCATGGATGGGATGTTTATGTTGGTTTTCTCGCCTCCTGTGAATGGGTCACAGCATTGACCCAAAATTTTCGCTGCTTTGTTAAGAATGACAGGTCCCATAGGATTCTGCATCATAGCTTTAATGTTCGCGGCCGCGCAGAACATCTCCAACATTGTCTTCTCCAGTTCTCCTGTTATGTCGTTTATACTGTTCATGTCCTTCTCTATTCTTGGAACATATGCTCACCTATCTTGTAGTTTGTGTTTGTTCTTTGCAACGCACCGATGATTCTCTCAAATGGGAACATCCACCAACCGTGCATAGGACCATATCTCAAGAGGAACTCACGGATGTGTAGAGCTGCGTGATGATTGGGGCGCCACAAATGGTGCGGAAATATCTCTTGGACGCACTCGAGGTACGCCTTCATACACACGGTGTATTGCTGAGCGTGATGAGGTGACGTTACATGTGAAGTTCCCCAGCGGATCGCAGTCGCAAGCAGCATCGTGCTGTGAACCAACTTCTGCCTTTGAGATCTGTGCTCCGCGCCATCAGCCGCACGTCCTGATCCCCACAAATCCATAAGGGCCACTGGTAAGTCAAATTCAATCGATGATTTCCATTGTTCTGCCTTAAGTTTGCCGTGTTCCACGTCCCCTAAGTTTTTTGGTGGGCCACGGTGCCACGATGGTCTCCGAACCCTTCCTAGCCTTTCCTGAATATCGTTGATCTCCCTATCCACCAAGACTTCAGCTGATCTGCTCAGTTCAGTCGTATGCACTTGTGCGGCGTACTCCTCTATCAATTCATCAGTGATAAATGCCTAATCACAAGGACGCAGCTCATTCTCCCCAATATCAACATCCATAGGGGCACATACTGGGAGCACAGACTTTGGACTCGTCAGATGGTTTGTTATTCCCCCTCAAACCATTGACTCACTAGCAACACTCCAATCATATCTTTTTTCCTAGGATGTGTTCTATTGGACAACTCCACCCCATATTCCTGGACCAGCGCTTCCAGGACTGCGACACGCAGGCGGGTCATTGCGGACACGGTAGGGTTTGATGTTAAAGTTTGTCTGCCTTTCTCTAATTCTTTCAGATCGACAGGTCTATGGTTGCCCTTCCTGAGCTCCTTGTTCGCTTGCTTGTCTATCACGATCAAATCCCTGAAGTGGTGTTGAACCAATCCCAAGAATAGATTATGCATGCCATCGATTACGATGAACCTCGTTGGATCCCAGTATGGCAGCCGTAAAAGTTCTGACCATCTCACCCCATATTGCTTGAATATCTTGTCGCGATTTGCCTTCGTCTCCGCATTTTTCCACTTTTCGGCAGCCGCTTTATGTTCCTCGAGTGTACGTCGCGTCCATCTTTCACAATTGAAGTTTGCGATATTTGACTTCATGAGCCAGCACAATCCACACATTTGGTTTGCAGTTGGGCCCGCGCAGCCTGCTAGTTTATGAGCCGCAGGCAAATCGTTGACTGCAACAGCAATGACAGATCGGGACAGTCTTCCTGTTGCGTGCTTGACTGTCTTTGTGAACCACGTCCCGTCTTTCCAGGATGGCAGGAAGAAATCGACTACCGGACGAAGGAAATGATTTATCTCATCGACAGCCGGCTCTCTGGGCCCTGGGATGATGCCGACTAGGTACATATTTTCGGCCTTGTACCAGAGGCTCGGTGGGAGGTTCAGCAGTCCCATCGCGATCGACCCAATAGACTTCTTCTTACCCGAGGTTTTATTCCCGTAAGGGTTGAACCAATCCACCGAGAGACTCCACGCTAACCTGAGATCAGTTCTCTTCAATCCATCGATGAAGGGCTTCCCATCAGAACCCAGAATCTCTCCAATCGCTGTGCCATCCTTGATGTCCCATATCTGCGAATCGTTGCTGACCCTTGTTCCTCGGTCCATGGCCTCTTCCATACCAGGACGGCTCAGTAGGCCGGCGAGAAAAGAGTTGAAGTCTTGTACGACGTAGGGGCGCACGGGTACGTACAATACTTGACCACTCTCTTTCATACGTTTCACTAGCAATTGCCCGCATGGCTTGCTTCCATGGTACTTCTTGTAGGAACAGCGCTCAGGGTAACCTGACTTCTTCTTCATGGCTGGTGACTTTTTCTCTGCATTTGGCGGGTAAGTGTATGAACATCTGGTGCAGGTGGCGAAGGTTTTTGTAACAGCTTCCAGATCGAACTTCTTCCATACAGAACGGATATCACGAGGAATGTATCCCTTCGACCCGTCATATCCTTCTGAGGTGTTCCTGAGCGTGGTCTTTAGGAGAAGATTCAAGAGTTCCAGAACTGCATTACACCATGGCCGGGTAACGTGGCCCAGGATATTCAAGACCAGTGCGATGAACATGGCAAGGAGTAAGGCAGGCTTAGCATTGCTGAATCTTTTCAAGTGGCAGTCTGCTAACAGTTAAGTGATGTGCTCTGTGTAAGTATGCACTCCTGACCTGTTTTAATAGTCTCTGATGTGTCGTCCTTCGAATTCGGATTCTGTGTGGTCCTATGCACAATTACACACATGACGCTTTCCACGGCCTCTTTAGTTTCCTGTAACAACTGGAGATGTGCGTGGCGAAATTGCTCATTACAGGTGTCGGTTCCGACGTTCATGTTCGTCACCTCCCTCAATGTCTTCTCCATCCAGGCATGTTCGTCTGAGAGTGCTGCCAGTGTTTCATCGTCGCCGGTCATATCTAGCTTATCTATGACATTCGTCACTGCACGGACATGGTTGTGGGCTTCACAGTCAAGAAGATAGAGTACGTGATAGTCTCTCCATGCTTCCTCTTCATGCTGACCTGAATGCTCTCCAGAATTGACATCCTGGTCCGCGAGTTTCATCTGTGGCATGCCCAGGGCAATACTGCGCACATAGGTATCATCTTTTTCTGCTACATCATCTTCCAAGGTTATCCTGAAAATGTTCCTGGCAAGATCCTCATCAGCAGCAGCCTGTGCCATTGATAGCTTTTTCTCGACGGGCTAGATTCTTGGTGCTGGTTAGTGTTTCATTTAGGATTTGAATGATGAATGCTCACAAAGTAAATCCCAACAAGGGTGCAAGTTGAGATACCAAGAAAGAAAAATGACAATATGTCGAACACCTTTTTGTAGTGAATGCTGGAGTCGTGATCTTTCAGGTAGTTGTTGTTTTTGCTTTACAGTGTTGTCTCATTGTTGTGCTCCTTGTATTCAACCTTTCGTTTTACAGTTTTGAGTTGTCTATGTATTCTCGGTGTTGTACTCCTTGTATTTAACCTTTCGCTTTACAGTTTTGAGTTTTATCTATGTATTCTTGGTCTTGTTCTTTTGTTTCCATCATTGCCGTTGTCTGTGTCACATCACATTTTGACATCATTGAGTAGTAATGTTTGATATATACCCCAAAATACTTTGCTTTTGCGCGACCCTTCTTGCACCCATCTAACCTAACCCCCAGCCTGCCCATGCCCAGAGTTTGCTCACACTGGCGATATAATCGCCATTTTGTGCCTCTTACCATGCATTGTGAATTTCCTCCAGAACACCCACTGGACCCTCCTGTGTTAACACAGCATAAAGTCTTTCCGTGAGAAGTCGATTCAATTCCTCCCACAATGCCAGGCTTACCAGCTCCTTTGACATTATTCGCTTCTCTCAAGATTCTGAAACCTCGAGGCGAAGTCAGCCGTCTTAACCGAGGAGGCTACAACTTGCAAGAGAAATTAGGGTGGTCATTATCAGAGTACGAAGAAGTTCGCGTATGTGTCTACTATGCTGGGTTTTGTGTGCATGCCTACTAACACTTACTTTGTAGAGTTTCGTCATCCATTTAGCTCGCGAGCACCTTAATGTGCGAAGGTCCTGGAAAATGCAGCTGGTTCCAAAATTGCAATTAGTGTTTTCAGAGGTGAACACTAATTACTCCTTATCTCGAGTTGATGTTTACTTACTTCACCAGGCAAAGAGCCGCTATCCTGTTCTCAAAGAATATAAAGATGATTGGGTAGTGTCGGATTTCTTGCGGGTCTATCTTAAAAATAGTAGCACTCGCACGAACTAGCTGACAGAGAATGTAATCAGAGTATGTCTGTTGATGGCAAACCAAATCTTGGCCTCCCCTCCATTTAGTTTCGTTTCCTAACTTCTATGGTCGAGCCTTTTAATTCAGAACTGAAGCCTCGATTTCATCTTCCAGAAGGGGCAAGGGAAAGAAACCGATCACAGTTGTCTCTGATGCCTTGGGTCTTTGTGGTGGATTGACTCCATGAACCGTTGGGCGAGTCAGGATTGGCGCTCGCGCCTCTACGTTAATGTAAATAGCATTGATTTTATAGTAAGGTCATGAGTGCTCCGCTTAAGTGGCCCAAGTGGCCCGTAAATACGGTACTGAATGCCCCGCCTAGCGGGGCACTCATATGGTCTAAGTGCAGTTCTAAAATTGTGGCTAAAATAAGGCTCTCGACATATTCATGCACATGTTCAGCATATTTCTTAGCACTTCTCGCACAACATAGTCAATGTCTATTCTGTCGTCAAATGTGGAACAGAGTTAAAATATAGTACATATTTAATCATTCGACATATCTAAAATTTACTATTGTATCTGCACATGAATCACAGACGTAACATCTCCTTTATCTGGCTAAGAATCTAACAATATATCAGCCCATGTCCACATATTTAACATTTTTTACCCACACATATTCACCATTTGATCACAAATATTTGACCACAACTAATGGTGAACATTTTCCGACTCTGGTCTTAGATCTTTAGTGAAAATACAGCCTTGTAAATATCAATAATTTGTCCCCGAATTTGAGTAGGACATGTTGTGGAGGCATATTTGGCTGTGTCTCAGGTGTGAGCACTCACAGCGGTCACCGCTCGAGACACTATCATATTACTCTTGTTCTCAAAATCAGATGTACAAACTCAACTGCTTTGTCTTAGGCGATGATTCTTGCCGTAATAATATTTTCCCAGTCTGCATTGCGCTGACGCAGACTGTTGATGACCTTAGAAAGGTCATCAAAGACAAGAAGAAGCCAGAATTACTAGACCATATTGACGCTAGCAATCTCGAGCTATGGCAGGTGAGCGATCTGATGCCTACAATTAGATGTTGATAATATGATATTTCGGAAGGTCGAGCTGCCTGTCAACGAGACGATCGAGCACAATCTTAACTATCTTACACTTGACCCAATGAAATCCCTATCACCTGTGGATGAAATGGTCGATATTTTTGACAACATCAGTAAATTCACAAACTCCTTAGCGTCCTTTTTCGCCACTTGTCACGAAAATCTTCAACATGTTGCCGCTTATTATTCTTATGCACTTGTCATTTTTCTTTCACAAGCACTCACAAGTAAATGTGTGATTCACAAGTGCCCACAAGTGCAACAAGCGCCAAAAGCAAGGAAGACTAAAGTGTGTCGTAGATTACAAGTAGATAAAATTTTACTATGAATAACTACTCCTCGAACATTTGCGAATGGTCTCTGTACCAGACCTCGTATTCTCTGTCCATCCACGGAGGAGCATCATGTTCAGGGTGTTCCCCTGTGTATTGAATCGAGAGACATTGCCAAGTGACATTGCCAAGTTGTGTGGCGTCGATGACCTTGTGCAAATCCTTGTGATCCGTGAATGGAGGGTGGTCGTCGTGTTTCAACAGCTGCGCAACCATTAAGTCGAGTAATAAGTCTGTAGCTTTGTTAGACATATGGCTTTGTTTGAAAACAAACTCTGCCGTTGCAAATTCAATATCGTTACGATACGGGCTCCAGTCGTGAGGAGACTTCGGTGGGACAGGAGTTGGTGGTGTGCCAGGGGGCAGAAACACACCGTCAGCTGTGCATGGTCGTCCTAAGAGCGTGTCAGAATCAGAACACGTGAAAAGCGCAGATTGAAAGGTACTTACCATTGAGGAGCGAGTGATACGTACGATAGTAACGCTTGCTCGCATCAGTGAATTCTGAGTCTGGATCCTCATCGTCAGCCATTGGACCAGGTGGTGATCGGGGAGGCGAGAAATCAGGAGGGGGTGGCAAGAAATCAGGAGGGGGTGGCGAGAAATCAGGGGGGGGTGGCAGGAAATCAGGAGGAGGCGACTGAGGTGGAGATGGAAGCTGTTGCGGTTGGGGAAGATCCAGAGCAGGTGCAACGGGATGGGATGCGTGCATGTGTTGAGTGCGACCAGAGATGTTTCGAAACCAGCGCATACAACCTGGAGATAGGCATGGAAACTGAAGGGCACGGTGAGTAGGCCGGTTTCTGCGCATCATATGAGTAGTGTTGATGCAACGTATGGACCTAGTGAAGGTTTAAAACCAGCCGCTAATATTGAAGAAAAAATTACCCTTGCAAAGGTGCCATTGGAACGAAAATGTGCACTACCCCAGAAAGGGTTTGTTAAAATGGACAGTTATGTCATCGCACCACCGGAAAAGTTCTGGTGAACATTGATGACGGTCACCCCACCACAGGAAAGGTTCTGGTGAACATTCCCTAGGCTATTAGACGTCATTATATCACCAGAAAGGTTCTGGTAAACATTGATACTCACCGTACTTAAGGTATTTCAATCCGGGACATGTCATTTTGTTGAGCACATTGTGCCGAAAAGCGCTGGCGAATATTGATGCTCCGGATGTTGCAATCGACCCTCAATTCAATACGTTAAGAAATATTATTCAGAGTCAGCTTTGGCTACAAATTTTAGAGTGACGAAACTCACCTTCAACTTGGTAACCCACTGCCTTCAATTTTCGTCAGCCTACAAAACCGTCTATCGATAGAATGTCTCAACCTGACGCAGTTACAACGCGCATGGGGACTCGACCTAAGAACGCAACTCAGCATCCCGGGCGCATTTTAATCAATAGTCGTGGAAAGAAGCGTACCACTGCTGAGAAGGCCGCTGACGACCAACGTGAAAGGGAGGCAAAGGAGGCAAGTGAAAAAGCTGTACAAGAAAGTTATCAGCGTATTGCTACTTTGCAGGCACAGATGCAGGCTGACCAAGATGCTATGCGTGTTGATGCACCTAAGCCTAAGCGTCCTCATGCACGCCCGGTGGGGAAGGCTGCAAAGGACTTGAAGACCTCCGACTCGACTATGGATGATAGGCAGGCAGGAGCAAAAATCGTCGCCGATAAGCCTCTTGTCACCAAAGGCAGGGGTCGCGTGGGTGGAGCTAAAAGGTTAGCAGCTGATGCTAGCGTCGAAAATCCTGCAAGTGAGGATGAGGATGGGGAGCTGGTCCAAACCAAAAAGAAGAAGAAACTGGCGGTGAGAGAAGCAATTCAAGCAGTATTAAACGCTGGCATCGTTATCGACTCAACAAAGGCACGTGATGGAGAAGTTCAGAAGACGTCTGATGTGTGAGTTTGTTTATCTATCAGTAACTATGATGATGCTTCTTTTGGATTCCACACACGGTTGAAGCTGATGGGCCTGTCCTTGCCGTTGTACGTTTTGTTTTCAAACGTGATTTAAATCTGTCATTTATTTTTCTAGACCCTTTAGCGGCTGTCAGAGTGGCGCAATACCTTTAGCAATGTGGCTCTCGCCGTGCTCGCCAACTTCTTGACCTCACAAGATGACCTCAAGACTGACGAGGACCGCAAAGATTTTGCATCGGCCTTACTCGACAAGTTCACCTTTTTATGTGGGGACATCGCGGAGGACGGAGAGGTCTCCAACCCGTTCCAGTCTGACCTTATTGTACAGGTTCTCGTGCAGCACAAGTGTGCCACATCCGGCGCTGTCAACCTGCCGGGAACGAACGATACAGTGCCGGGGCACTTGAAGGGCGCTCTTAGTCTTGCCACGGCAGCAGCACGTGTTTTCTACCCTCTCATACAGCTGACTTAACTTACCCTGTATTTCAGATGGAACGCGCCATCAGGCTTTTCGTCAATGGACACATGCTCCTAGGAGACATCGACACCTCTGGCAATGGTCGAGGCAACAAGACCCCGCTCGACGTCAATCCGTCCACAGGCAACCAGAGCAGCGTCCCCTTGGCATTTTCAGAAGCCAATTGGGGTGCGCACACGAGGGCTTACATGGCGTCTATCACACGCTTGCCAGACTCGGTCCTTATCCGAAACTCTGAGCTTGCGCAGAGCCTCACCATGAAGAGGCGTGGCGGCGCGCGGATGGATGTGGACGAAGAATCTGGGGATGAGCGAGCGTTCATTTTCTAGAGGTAATGTCCTTCACTCTTGTAGTTTATTTTGCAACTGACTAGGAGCTTCGACGCTGCTAGTACCTTCAAGGTTATTCATGCTATGTTCCCTGGTCTTTTTTAAATGCTGTCTCGTTGCCGCCTCCATTTCCTTTGTCGCGCTCGTTATGTCTCGTTGCCGCCTCCATTTGTCGCGCTCGTTATGTCTCATTGCCGCCTCCATTCGTCGCGCTCGTTATGTCTCGTTGCCGCCTCTGTTTGCTTTGTCGCGCTCGTTATTAATCTACTTGCTAGTCCTTATTTTTCTCCTTGTTTAACCTTTTATCTACTTAATCCTCTTGTCCGGTTGAAATGCAATTCTTTTTCCTGGTAACAAGTGTGAACAAGTGTGAAAAAGTGTATATAGTGTGAACAAGCTAAAAATAAGTGCGACATAAGGGGATTGTAATGTAGCTCGTTCTAAAAATAAGTGCAAAAATTGTAGGACAAATGAAAAAAAGTGCGAAAATGCTCAAATCAAGAGGAAGGGATCTTCTTGGCAGCTTGTTGCTCCTTGTGACAAGGAGGTGTTCTGGTTCTTGTCCGCTCTTGGGTGAGAAAAATAAGAGCTTAAAAGGAAATTAAGCAATTCGTGAATTTACTGATGAATGCTCCTCAGTATAAGCATCTGCATATTGTTATCCAATGCCCACGTGCTAGTGAGTTGTCTTTTGATATTGCCCCTTTCCTCCTTACTGATCGCGGTCTGACTTAGTGTCTTCTGAACTCAAACTCAACTGCATTGTCTTGGGCGATGATCCTAACCGTGCGTTTGAGATCAAGATTGCACCGACAGAGAGTGTCAGCACCCTCCAAAGGGTTATCAAAGAATACAAGACGCATGGATTCGATGGTGTCGATGCTAAGGCTCTCACGCTATGGAAGGTGAGTGATAGATACCCGAGGTCTAATGCTGATGACCTGATCATTTGGAAAGGTCAAGATTGATTGGAACGACTTACACTTACTAGACACGATCGGAGACCAAGGCGTCGAGTTGAAGCCGTTAACCGAACTGTCTGAAGTGTTCACGGACAGACTAGAGTGCGGATGTATTCATGTCGTTGTACAACACATTCCAGCTGTTGATCGACGACTCGCTTATCTCAAGAAGGGCGCAGGTACTCCGTCAGCTGGCGCAACACCATCCGCATTCTCTACAAAGCAGGACGAGCAAGAGTACCTTTGCAATCGTCCTCGCAGAGCTGCGGACCCTGTTCCAGTCACTCTTCTCGAGCCTATCTTCGCCAAGTTCGTGGATGATTGTCAAAATCATCAACCGACTGTCCGCGATAACGACTTTGTTCAGCAACTTTCGCAATCTATGTCTTCCTTCCATCCCGATGAGCTTACGCGGATGTGTGTATTCCAGCAAGTGCTCCGCGACTACGTTGGCTCGACAAACTTTACCACAGACGGACATCTTTTGTCCACCAACGGAAAGTTTGTGCAGGTGATATTGGAGGTGAAGAACGAGATCGGAAGTGGCACTACCGAACCATTCGCGGAGGCAATGTTGTACTACCGCAAGTTTATGGAAGACTCGAAGATTGAGATAGCGAAGCTCCGGTCTGTCATTCCATGCATCCATATCATTGTCTTCGGTTAGTTCATTTCATCAGATTCATTGCTAAAGCCCTTTATTGACCACAACTAGGGGCATGCATTGGCTTTGCAGGCTCTGTTTTCACAGAAAAGGTCCAGTCTGATGTCCTGGTCCCTATCATTCCTCTGTTTTGGCATTCGACAGACCTCCGTATGCAAGTGATGGCGGCTCGTACTTTCGGGGCTCTCAAAATCGCCATCGAGAAACTCACAAATATGTACTCCCGTCCAATTCCGTCCCTCGAACCCAAAGATCCACGTCTAGGATGTCCTTATCCTCGGAGTTATACCAATTCAACCGGTCGCATTCAGGAATTCTCGTACGATGAGACTCAAATCCTCAGGCATAAACTTATCTTCTTCGGGGAAACCGTCAGCGATGTGGCTGGGAGCAAGATATGTATCAAATTTGTCAGGCACTATTCCCCTGAAGCCCACGAATTCTGTGCCAGCAAGGGGCACGCTCCCAAACTTATCGCCTACAATCCTTTACCCGGCGGCTGGAATATGGTAATTATGGATGTCATTGATATTGATAAGGATTACTTCTCGCAACGGCCTGGCTCATATCGACTGCTCAGTGAGATAGCTGTTTTGGACCGCCAGCCGCTGAAGGAGGCCATCACCTCTCTCATCCGGGAGTTACACGATTACAATGGCGGCTACGTTCATGGCGACCTTCGGGATACCAATTTCGTTGTGAGGAACAACAAACACTTCATGCTGCTCGATTTCGATTGGGCTGGACCGATCCAGAAGACCCATTATCCTATGCTTGTTAATCGGATAGATATTCGACGTCCTGATGGTGCGTGGGATGGGGAGAAGATTGTGCCGGAGCATGACTTGGAAATGCTGGATTATCTATTTCATCCTGAGCAACATGGTCGGGAGCCGGCGCCGCTTTGCTACCGAAGGGTCGCCCATGGCTATGTGATTGATTCATAATTTGTTGTACTTAGGACAGCGTACACATTTTCTCCACATCAAACAATCGCACCATACGAAAATAGCGGTCAATTGATGGGAAGGAGCTTGTTGTTTTTGAGGTCATGTCAATGCTGTCGGCACCGTCTGCCTTTCTCCTGATGAAAGTCATCTTGTTTCACATGACTACTACTGGGTTCGCATCTGGGATCACAAAACCAATCAGCCAGTCGGAGACCAACTCTTGCAAATATATGGAGCGTTGATGCAGCGCTCAAACATGCAGGCGATGATCATGTGGGTGCATTTATTCATCAGTGTCTTTTCAAAGTAGGTTTCGGTTGTCTTTCAGAGTGCGAATTAGAGCAATGCAAAACCCGATGGAAAATTCAAGGCAAGTCGTCTGCGCTTCCCTTTTGGCGGCTGTATCAGTTGTGAACACCCTACTCGCTTGCTTATTCGTCACATCAGATTTTGCACGCTAGTCAGGTCTCCAAGCAGCAGCACGTCAACAGAGGGTTGGCGAGATATGTCAGTATGTTCTTTCGTTTATTGGCTGTTGCAATTCTGACACTGGTATATGGCAAGGACTTCTGGGACGCCGATACCAACACTGAACCTACTAGTCCCGCAGTTTCTCTTGCGAATCCATTGTCTTCCCTTCGTTGGCTTAATTTGCCCGGTTGGTGCATTTTAACACTCGACCTCCAAACACGCCACAATACAATCAATACCGCTGCGGCCCCATCGTTAGAATTTCAACTTATTTCCAGCAGGAATCTCTGTAGGTACTATTCAAGTAGCTGTCGGTTGCAAGAAAAACGTGAGTAGTTTCCATAGCTCCTTTGATATCACGGAAGTTAATATATTTGCAGAGAATTCTTATTTCCCATCCCAGCGCAGCAGAATTGACCTGCACAACATGGGCTGCAGCAGGTACGCACCATACGAATGGCAACGAGGCTGGCAGTTCAATGCAAGCAAGTCGATCTCAGGCTGTGTCTCAAGGACACCCGATGGAAACGCAACCAGGTCAATTTCAGGCTGTACCGGGGACACAAATGCCTCAAGGGCAACCGACAGGAATGCAAGGGGGAGATGATAGGCTTGGGGCAGTTTCATACGAAGCAGTGAGCTGCTGCGGATTTTTCTTCGAATTTTTCTTTGGTCGTCGTCGTCCCACCTCGCATCAGTCATGAGGTCTTCTAAACTAGTTGCTTCAATTCTCTTGAAATTGTGGGCTTTACAGACTATTCCGAAAATTCAATGCCGTTGCTCCAAGTCAGTCTGGAGGGTGTGATATGCCATCTGATCTGGTTTACACTCAGAAGCATGTTTTATGTAAGTAACTTTTAGGTTTGTCCAAGTCGACGCTATTTTTCTGAATGTCGCGCTTGAAATTCACAGCTGATGGTGGTACTACTGGAATGGAGTAGCATTATAGGCTTTCTTGCTATGATACATATGCAGAGAGCGCAACAACAGAGCTGGAACTTCGCCCCTTGGTTCCTTGAGTACTCATCGAGACAAGGACTCGGACTTACCGCCGTCTTCGTGGATCTGAATCCTGAGCACATAGTTGACATTCGTTGGGCAACCAGCGATTAAACTTGAAAATAATGATTCTCTGATCTCAATCGTTTTGTTTTTTTATGTAAGAGATGTGAATTCGAATGGAACGAGCTGACTTGTATTTTGCACTCGTCGAGTACCCCTAATTCAACCCCTCTTCACTACCTCAAACATGGCTACTGTTCCCCCAAGCACATATCAGCCCCCAGGTCCCGTTTCTCCCCACGACCATGTTTTACAAGTTTCAGCCGGACCAAAGGTAAATCATACCCTGATAGTGAACGAGTCTTTTCTAACAGCCTTGCCTCTCAAGCCAGTACAATATGCTCCTGACGACCACACCGCTCATCCCCAACCACGTCAGGAGCAGATGCAACCCACAGGACAGATGGACGCTTCAGAGGTGCCGCAGGATAAAGGGAAACTAGCGGACCAGTGCACTGAACAGAGTCAAAAGAAAGAGGAGGAAGGCTCCGGTTCGGGTGCAGGGCAACCTGGACAACAACAAGGTCGACCCCACAACTATTGGCACACCGGACTTTTTAATTGCTGGGATGATGCTGGGACTTGTGAGTCCCATCAAATATTATCACAAAGTGATTAAATTCACAACCTGCTTCACAGATTGCATGTCATGTTGGTGTCCTTGCATGGTATATGGGAAAAACCGGCAGCGGTTTGACCACTTGCAAGAAAACGATACGGCAGATCCGGAACATGGTGGTTCGGGCTGTGATGCCGATTGTTGTATGCATCTAGCACTTAATGTGTTGTGCGGTTTCGGTTGGGTACTGCAGGTGAGTACAGATTTTGTCGTTCTTCACAGGTACATGCTAAGAAAGGTTATTAGCTTGGACAAAGAGCCACATTGAGAGCGCGCTACCACATTGACGGAAGCTACATCAACGATTGCTTGACTGCATTCTTTTGCACCCCATGTGAACTCACCCAAGAAAGTCGAGAATTGGCAGAGGAGGAAATGACTGCTTCCAATACTGAGAGACTCGGACAGACTCGTAACACATAACACGAACTGGCCAGAATTTCCATGGCTCAATCAATTACTTGCCATGTTTATCTTGGTGAGCGATTGAAAATTCACAACTTGCAAATGCTACAAGTTGCTACAATTGCTTTTACCCAGGCCTCAGGCGGCCATTAAAATTTTTGTACTGCACGAGTGACGAGTGAAGCCCACTTCCAGTTGTTCTGGTTATTTGTTGCCATAGGTTACGGCGAGAACTTGAAGCAAATCTGAGTCAAGGCTAGTCATGATGCATGATGAGCTTTAAGACGAAAGTTGAATTTCACCGGCCGTGACGGTGGAGACTCTTGTTTGTTTGGCAAAAGCCTTCGATCCAAACACCCTTGTGAAAATTGCCTCGATCTTCCGAATCGCCATGCCTGTCTTGCCGAAATGTCTATCGGGTTTCACTGTCATTCCAATTGCATATCCGAGCTCATCACATTTCATCTATGCAAGAGCTCATACCCCTCCTAAATCCAAAACGTTGAAATCTAAAAATGTTCTGCCTGAAGGACGCACACTATTCCTAGTCAACGTACCGCCAGATGCGACCGAGCGTGAGCTCACACTGCTATTCAAAGATTGTGGGACAGTAGAACGCGTCTTATTTGATTTCAACTCGACCGACGCTCCGGAAGAGCACACATCCGATTCTGACGAGGAGATGGTCGAGGCTGCTGAAAAATCCGATACTGAAGCACGACCTCGCAAGAAAAGGAAGCTCCAAACTTCCGAGCCTACGCCTCCTAAAATGATACCCCTCCCTTCTCCATCCCTTCGCACACTGCGCAAAACTGGGTCTTGTGCCCATCTCATATTTCTCGATTCGTCATCTCTTGCAAAAGCTCTTTCGCCCCCTACATCACCCAAACCATGGCCATCCTCGGAGGAGCCCCGTGGTCTCTCTCACTATATGGCAAAATATGATAATGAGCGGCCTCCGTTAGACACTATCAAAGCTCACGCAGACAGCTTTATGGAATGCTTCGAATTTGATCTTTCAAAGAGTAAACAAGAAGCCAAGTACCGCAAAGGGGAAGCAATCGTGGACGAGGATGGATTCACACTGGTCACTAGAGGAGGTGCTTATGGACAAACACTTGGCGGAGGTGTGGGCGTTGCCAGCAAGAAGTTCATGCTCACTGGGCAAATTGGGGGTAGAAAAAAGAAGGACAAAAAGAAGGAGAAGGATGCGTTCTATGCCTTCCAGAAGGCTGAAAAACAACGAAAAGGTGAGTGCGAAGTTGTTTTTCACGAGGATGTCGGTTCACGTGCCTGTAGTTATACTCGACATGAAAAAGAACTTCGAGGTGGACAAACAACGCATAGAAAAACTGAAGGAATCACGGCGGTTCAAGCCTTATTAATGATCTTTGCCAAACGTTTAGGAAAGTGGGTATAGCATATCACGAATACGATATAATGTAAGGTACCGGAGTTTTTCGTTCTAACGGGCGAGTCAATATCCCTTGATTCAGCGGGTGTGCTCCGTCAGGGTGTATACATCAGCGATCTCCCTCGCTTGTGATTATTTCAGTTGTATTTTGAAGAATTCTCTTGACAGGCCGCCGACCGTATGGGTCCCGTCGAGTGGGTGATGAACGTCAACGACAATAAATGAGTGCGATCAGCGAGTCGCCATCACACTGTTCGACGGTACTAGTGTACTGCAAAATGATGTATATCAAAACCTATGGTACGTTACTCTACGCCCTCATTTTGCGTATCACCATTCCTAAACCTTCGGGAGCGTCATCCCTCGGCTGCATTCTCTTTCATTCACAATAGCCTTGCAGGAGACATGTTGACCCATTTCTATAGGCCGTATCGGAAAAAGTAAGACTCGACTAACCCCGTCCTAAGGAAAAACCTACAGCCTACTCCTGCTTCGGTGAGGCTCATCCGTATTTGACAGGGCTGGAAAACCTGTTGCTGTTCTCCTATCACTATGCCATGGTTACTGTTCTACGCAGTATCTTTTCTTTTTCTGATACATTTCTACCCATCAAAACACCCCTTTGCAACCGTTGTTCATATTGCTGGGTTCTCGCTGCGGAATTCTGTATGCAGATGATAATTGATCCTTGCTGATGTTACCAATAGTGCGGAGACTGGACCCCGCGGCGAGTGATCAGCCATCGGGCGATATTGTCACATTCCTTTCCTCAGGGCCTCCTGGTGAGTTGGTACCTCCCTAGCGACATTGCTGAATGCACTTTCCGTGGTACCCAAGATCATTCGACTTGACATTCTACGACAAATGAGCGGACACATGTTCCACCGAGTCCTCATGGTTTATACTGCTTTCCCGCGGAAGTTGCTTTACCCGTGGTACACGCTGCTCCAGGGGAAAATTCACTGGTTGATGCGCCCATAAATTCTGTTTTTGGCGGGTTGTTCTTCAAGTTATAGCAGCGACTACGCACAGAGGACATGACTCCGAGAAAATCTCGGCCCCGATGACGCCCCCACTACTTTGGAGGTCACCGCAACTTGCAAATAACACCTAACATCTGACCGTCGAGAACATTTCAGTTAGCCCACCATCATGATCACGTGAGCTGGCGGCTTGGCTCGCCTATAAATACACCACCAGAGCTCGAAGTTCGGCACGTCGCCTTAGGCGGCCACTGATCAGTAAACTGCATGCACGAATATCGGGTCCCGTTGATGTTGCATGGTCGTATGGCTACCGACGGACCCCGACGGTAGTATGTGATCACTTCCTCACGGGTGCCCATCGCTTATCGTGACAAGACCAGGCGTCATGTCCTGCAATACAGTAGTGAATCGCTTGTAAACTGTCTGATGGTTACAGACAACACCGTGTATCTCGTTCTGTGAGTTCTCAGGAACGACAATCGCTTAGACGTTTACACATTGATTATGCGTACTAGCGATCTGACAACTAGCTCGACATCATACGTAAAGGTCCTGAGACCGAAGCTAGTGCGTCGCTTGTGTGCGTGGAATTGGTGACTGTGGTAGATTCCCCTGTTTGTTTGAAAGCGACTTGCGCTTATTCGAGTTCTTCTTGACATCCCGCGTGTTTATCGCAGCGGGAACATAAGAACTGCGAAACTACGGCGGCCCGCCACCACGGGGAGCTGCACTGTTGCAACTACTGGTGGCTTGGAAGGGGCATTTTGGTACTACGAATTAAATTTAGTTGCATGATCCACATGCATGAAGGTGTGACAGATGCAGATGCATATGGTGGCTGCGACTAAATATTGCTCCTCCTCAAGTTTGTATGTAAGGACATCCATAGCGATATTATTTTCCCATAGGAGAGGTTTCCAGTCAGAACAGCGTGCCGGAATTTAGCGAGCAGATATATGTGATTCATGCCAAATTTGATTTCTGTTCTACATATGTAACTATTACAATCATGATGAAGTTTCTGAAGTGCTGTATGTGTTTATGAATGACCTAGAATTTGTACTTGGAAACGATTTCCCAGAACCCCTTGCCTTGGATGGTAGCGAGCTCTAGTTCAAGAGCTGAAGGCTGGCGTGAGCCATCAGGGCCAGCGTAGGTGCCTGCACCCCAAGGGGAACCTGAGTAGAAGTAAAAATTAGCAACGGTCGATCACAGACGGGAGGAATAAACATACCACCGCGAACTTCGGTCATGTTAGAGAGTTGTGCGAATGTGTTTTTGTAACCCAAGGGAACATAGATAATCCCGTGGTGAGCGAGAGTGGAGAGGGAGCTGATGACGGTAGCTTCCTGTCCTCCACCTGGAGTGCCGGTAGAAACGAAGACACTGGCGAATTTGCCGGCCAAACCACCACTGACCCACAATCCACCAGTTGCGTCCCAGAAAGCCTGTGAAAATGGGGCATATAATTAGAATTTTTTAAAGAGACTAGAACGGATCAGAGACATACCTTCCACTGTGCGGGGAAGTTGCCATAACGGGTAGGAACGCCGAAGATAAAGGCGTCGAAGCCAGCAAGCTCGCTTGGTGTGAGGATAGGATAACTTGGCTTTGCGGGAGCATGCATCTTTACGAGGACTTCCTCGGGTAATGTTTCAGCGATCCTGATCAAATCCAGTAAGCGAGAGATCTGAGACTAGGATTGGTAACATACTGGTAAATGGTGGTGGATCCTCCAGCAGACTCGACACCAGACTTGACAGCTTCGGCCACTGATGAAGGTAGATTAGGATATATAGGGGATTCTGGATGATTTGTACTCACACTTGGCGATGTGGCCGTACATGGAGTAAATGACGATTGCGACTCTAGGAGACGACATGTTGTAGTGGAAGAAAGGATGACTGAAGGTATTGATAACGATCGATGATCAAGCTCAGTATTTGTATCTAGATTTCAGTACTTTGTCCTTGCTTGACAATACCTTGAAACGCATACGTCAGTGACTCAGCGCAATAGCGGTAATTGCAAAACAGTACGAATGCAGTATGTTTCAACCCACACTAAAGACCAAACCCGGGTGATCGAGCTCACCATTATCACTCATTTTATGTAAAACTGACCAAGCTGGGCGTTAACGCGAGCTCGTCATCTTGTGCCTGTCTCTTAGAAATCCCGAGAACTTTTGTCTCTCTTTGGAACAATGATGATTCATCGCTAAACACTTCTTCGCGTATGTACTATTCCTCACACACCGTTCCAGCCAAGCTTGTAGTACAACGCCCACAGCCGAATATTATCTGTGCGTTTGCCAGACGCTGAAGCTCTCAATCCAATTTTCTCACCAACATAACGTGGGTGACCGTCAACAAGCCTAGCGAAACCAGCCTGGATTCCCGGCAAGATCGACAATCATGACTGACCGGCCTCCCACACCTCGCACATAGTATTCTACCAGCAGCAGAGAGGGCAACCGAGTCCGAGATGCCATCAAACACTTTCGGTATGCAGCTTGCTGTATCCAGGGTAACTTCATCCTGATATAGCAACAGTTTGGACACGCATGTAGCACGCATGTGCATGATGTTTTTCAATGAACCAGTCGGTTTTCTGAAGGCGAGGTAGACCATCGACGATCGTATCGCACAGGAGACGTCATCGAATGGATCATGCAACGGTACGGCCAACATCCAAGCAATCTATTACTGCCTCCCTTTTATTGACGTATTCTTAATCCTGTGGTGCCAGATAAACCTTGATCTACAAATTTGCTTCGCAGGCCATTTCCCTCATCTCACGCTAGACGCGAATGTTTCATTTTAAAGGCTGACCTCAAAACCCGTTATATCCTCGCAACTGAGAAGCTAGTGCCTTTTTCTCGGAATGTGTTTCCCTGGAAAACGACAAAAAGACAACTTCACCGAGCCAAAACCCACACCTCTAGATACAAAAGCCCAAGCAAATCAACCAGAGCAACCAGTTTCTCCCCCCGTTCTCCCTCCACTTTCACCTATTTCTCCAACCAGTATGCCTGCCCCTAGGATCGCTATCGTCACTTACTCCCTTTATGGGCACATCACAAAGAGTGCGTCTTCCTCACCACACATCCACTTCCTTGCTTAATACATCATTCACAGTGGCCGAGGCCGTCAAGAGTGGTATCAGCAATGCTGGTGGTAATGCCTCTATCTATCAGTCCGTCCATATCCACCTATCAGCTATGAGCGTGCATTAACTTCACTCCAGGATCCAGGAGACCCTCTCCGACGATATCTTGAAGCTCGTCAAGGCGCCTCCTAGACCCGATTACCCTGTCCTCCTCCCTGATGACCTTATCAACTTTGACGCGTTCCTCTTTGGTATCCCCACCCGTTACGGCAACTTCCCCGTTCAGTGGAAGGTACGTTATCTTACATCTGCAAGGTTGAACACGTTCCTTAACGTACTCATACAGGCATTCTGGGACGCCACTGGCCCTCTCTGGAGCAAGGGCGCTCTTCAGGGCAAGATGTGCGGTGTGTTTGTCTCCACTGGTACCCAAGGTGGTGGACAGGAGATCACCATTTCCAACACGTTGTCCACTTTCGTGCACCATGGTCTCATCTACGTTCCCCTCGGCTACAAGCACTCCTTCCCTCAGTTGTCTAACCTGACCGAGATCCACGGTGGTAAGCCCTTGTCTCAGATGAATGGCTACACAAGCATTGATTATCAACCCTCTATTTCCGAACAGGTTCTTCTTGGGGTGCAGGAACCTATGCAGGCACGGACGGTTCCCGCCAGCCTTCACCTCTCGAAATGGAGATTGCTGCTATCCAAGGCAAGACCTTCTGGGATACCGTGGCACAATACCACGGCCACACCAAGTCCTCGTGAATCTAGATATTGATATGTATGGATTCGACTTGGATTGTATATATTGCGCACGCATAATATGAATTAAATCTCGCGCTCGTGCAAAGTCCCATTACATGGATAGATATTTTCTGATCATACGTGTTCGCATCAATACGCCATCCATCGAGTCTGTGGGTTTGTTCCCATGGGTTTGGTGCGCCGTTACCCGATTAGTATGCACACATGTGACGGCGGCCTAAAATTAATCACTAGCAACTTCCCGGACTGAAATACCTGAACTCACACAGCGTGCATGCGCGAAGATCGTATTTATGTGAAAGCTGGGCCAACTGTAACCACTTGCGTACATGCTTTGAATCACAGGAAAGTGGGTGCTCTTTGACGAGTCTCATGCAGCTCCCTAGTAAGATGCTAGCGAACACTGCGCTACCGGATAGCATATCTTGAAGGTGCTAAGCAGCGCGCGTCATTCCGTCATGATCGTATCGTGGCTCCCAATGCCCAGTACAGGAAGCTCCTGAAGATTGCAGGCACCCTCATTTAGAGTCAACCCTGTGGCACACGGCCTCCGTGTCCCAAATTGCAATAGTGCAACGATAAACGCCAGCCTGATCTATTTGTGCTTAGATAAACTCATGGGCGCGCTGGTTGCGGAGAACGGAAGATGAAACTGATTGGTGGCAAATCGTACGGAATATGAAGAAATTACTAATCAGTGCCAAGCGGTTTACTTTAGGGCCTTTGGATCAAGCAAAACTCATATCTTCAGCCCAGTTGCCTGATGGACGGTCTCCAAATGCGCCATCTTCATCCATTGCTGGTCCCCAAGCTGCGTCATCCTTACTCTTGACGGCCTGAATATCTATTAGCATCCGTCCACTAACCAATTCGATCCCCAAACGTCAAAGCAACGTGGTCGAGCAGAAAATAGTGTCGGAGCCGACAGTGTTCGCACGTCGAGGACACACCTTTGTCAGATATTCTTTGTTCCTTTCCATTTCTTTTTCAAGCCTCACAAGAAGGGCGTCCTGCTGCTGTGCCTGTGACAGCACTCGGTCGACATCAGTCTTCTCGAATTTCACTGGTGGGTCCGAGAATGACACAGTCCCATCTGCAGACAGCTCCGCGGAGATTTCTGAGCACTCAATCTAGCACAAAGCATCAGTTATTCGTACGATTCGCCAAGGGAAAAGAATCCACCATGCTCAAAATCAGAGATTTCACTTTATTCTCGTCCGAAATTCCCACCTCTCGTCCAATATCGGATAAATGTAACGTCAAATAAGTGGTTGTGAGTTTCTTTATGGCCCAGCGGGGCGCACGGTCGAGTGCCTGAGTAATGAGACCAAGAGTTCTTTCCTATACGCGTGGTTAACGATACACAGATCCATGCGCTTTTAATATCTTACATTGGCGAATAGCTGCTGTTCGTTTTCAACTATCGTGCGAAGGTAGTCGCGTTGCAGAGGATATGCATTCGTAAAACTTGCATAAGGAGTTGCCTTGAACAATCGCATAAGAATCGGGTGCATGTATTTGGAAGGAGGTGATGTCTGACCAGTCAGAGTGCGTGAGCGAGCCGTTCACCCATGGAGGATACTCGTACCTTTCCGCGGTATATCAACTGGACGAGGACCAGCTTCTTTAATGCTTCCATTTGAATAGCCGAAGCCGCTGTGCCTGGACTTGATGCGCAGATCTCAAAGAGTTCTTCTGCAGCTGACCAGTTCTTTAGCGCAGCAAGTGCGATACCGCCGGCATAGTGGTATACCAAATTATCGTGGTAGGTCAAGTCGGAAAGTGAGAGATCAATTGTAGTGATCGAATGAGCCAGGACGGGGATTGCGGCTGAGAAGTGGCGAGTGGCGACGCAAATCTATAACAATTGCTGGCGATTCAGAAAACTGGACAGTTATCGCAGCTGGCAACCTTACCGTCAGGAAAATAGGGTGGATAGTGGTGAGATGTGAAAGGGTTGGAGGATATTTTGCGAGCAAATCAGATAATGGCGCGATTGCAAGTTTGGGCTAAGAAATTTGAGATCAAGTGGAGAGCTGAGTCAATAATGTATCTTACATTTCCTTCAACTTCAGCGAATTGTCGTATTCCAGTTGCAAGAAGTGTCACTGGACGTATATGACCTCATTGTACCACCACATAAGTGAGAATAGGCTAACCTCGATCCGGAGCAACACGAGCATGTTCGGGGATAAAATCGCGGCAAAAACTCTCGATATGGTGCCACAAAGGCTTATCAGACGCGACAGTATGCAGTCGCGCGGACCTTCAGGAGATCGGTGTGCGTAATGAAACTTCCAATAAGACTCACTCACAAAATGTAAAGCATACCAAGCGTGTGATCTCGCGCGTTTAGCAGAGTCAATGGATCTTGGCTACCTGGCAAAATGCTGGCCAGCAGGACTTCTCTGACATCTTTGGATGCGCAACTCCTCAGATATTGGTTTAATTGGGAAGGACTTGACGTCGATGTTATGGTCGCGACAATAGAGGCTAATGATACATCACTTGCAGATTGACCAGCTGCGTTCGATGATGACTGTGCAGGGCTGGTGGTTGACGTGGCGGATGTAGGTGGTGGAGTAGGAAGACCTGATTGATTCATGACACAAAACTTTAACACCAACTGCATTGATATAGTCAACGATATAGATATTGTCAAAGAGGTAAATGTTTAGATACCGAGGATTATCCTTAGTGCGAAAAAATCAGAATGAACGGTTGTTGAGACCAATTGGATGGTAGTTTTTTGGTCGAAGGATGTTACCACTCCTGTCACTGTACTTATTCAGGTTGAGAGAATGTTTCAATTGCAGCTCCTGATCGTCTGAATGCTTACCTAATCGACAACGACAAGCCGGGTTTGCGTTTACTTTTGTCCCAATGGAATCCAAATTCAACCTCAACTGCTTAGTCTTAATTAGGCGACCACCCCGGGCCTGTCGAGATTGTATCGACGAAGGCTGTTGGTAAATTTGATCAAGGAAAAGAATAAGCGTGAATTCGATCTAACTTGCATCTCATGCTATGGAAGGTGCACCGGTGAGTAATGGACTGGAAAATTGCTGGTGCTGACCGTATGATACTTGAAAGGTTGATATCAATCCGAAGAAGAAGTTAGATCTCCCGCCTGACGCCGAGGAGCTCGTACGTTTACCCGCTTACTCGACTCTCCAAAGTGTTCACCGTTAGACCGGATGATGAACACCTTCATATATTTGTGGAATGCTAGTACGTCTTTCATCTTATGTCTAGTAGAATTGTGATAATAATGTGCGCGGATGTGAGCATCCGCATGAAGGTATTGATAGGTGTAACAACTCATACAGAGGGTCTGAACGGTGTAAGGTGGCCTCATGTACATTTTTTCCCGAGCGGGTACGTACTTCTTGGGTAAAACAGTCCACCAAATTTCCAAACATACAGTATTGATCAGGGGCTTTGTAAGCCACACGCGGTTCTGACATTTCCCGCACTTCCAAAGTGCCAGGTCTGTGCGCTGACATATAGATAGCGCACTCTTCTTTGTAAGTCTTTTTGAATCTTTTTCGTCTCGTACCGTCACCTTCGGCACTCGACGCTTCGCAAACTTGAAACACACCTCACTTTACTTCCACAACCTTCAACTTTGGTTCCCCTCTTCGTCAGAACTGAGTACGGCATTCCTACAAAGCCTTCATACCACCTCGGGTTCGACTTCAGGTCTCATCAGGATGGCTGATTTCAATGTTCGGGGGTTCACCAAATTCTCTTCCACGTCCATACTGATTTTTCTATGTAAAGGTTCATGAAGATATGGTTGAAGGCAAGCTGCACGAGGTGCTAGACAACTACGTCTTGAGTCGGTCCATCCCTTCCTGGCTCATGCTGATAGGATAAAATATAAGGCAATGAAGACGATGGAAGACCTACAAGCTCAGACCGCTCTGAACGCTGAGCGCGTCGCCGACTTGGAGGTGACCATCAAGATTCTGAAAGACGCACAGAGAAAAGAGCGATGTTGTATGTGAGTAAGATTTTACGTGACTTGGATCAAGTTGCCAACATCGACTTAGGAACGATGCCATCAAACTAGCGTTGTTTTACATCAACCGAATCAAGCATCACCTTGATGACGAAGAAGTTAGAACGTTCCGATTTTATCATGTAAACTGACCTCGAGAGCATTGACCCTTGGGACAACATCAATGCACCTCAGCCAGCCCCTGGCATTCTTTTCCGAAGCTGGCTATCAGTTACGAACGAGGCTATTCAAAACGAATGTCACATCCTGGAGGATTATATGCGTTTGATCACAGAGCGCATCACACTAATGCAAAAACTCCATAGGCAGATCAAGAATGCAAATGATTAGTTTACCGGTCTGTAGTCTGTCATGTACCGTCTCGTCAGGGAGTGGAATAATACGATGTTTGTTTGAGCGGGTGCATACACATCGAATTTGTACGCTGTGCATAGCGCGTAGCAGCACTCCCGAGCAAAGCACTACCAGTAACAAGTGATTGTACGACTGACAGGAACAGGGATGTTATGATATATACAGGAGTCGCTTGATGTTGGCTGCTATAATCAACATCCCCGGGCCGCGTTGATAGTGTCCAAACCAAATTCTTCTCGTCTTAGGAAGCAGAGAGTTTTGAACGTTCAACATCAAAGCTGAAGTCATGTTCAGATGAACGACAATAAACTTCACCAGATTTCCCTCATTCTGCAGTCAACAAACGTGACCTTAATTCGCTGTCCAGAGGATCTCCGATGTAAGCTACGCGGCGTCAACCTGAACGCTCTCACCTGTATGCGTGACCTGCTGCACGACTTCACCCACAGCCGAACCGTTACCACTCGAGTAACAACCTCCGGCACACACACTAGGCCCGCCTTCCACACAACAAAACACTTTTCCATAGCTCTCGCTCAAACGTGCGCGCTGACGAACGGTAAACGTGTAGAGATTGAGTAGTCTGCGTGAGCTTTCCCGAAAGAAGACCGACTATTTGAAAATTATTTGAGATAATTATAAACGACAGGATGTCAAGAGCACGTACCATCGATCGATCGCCCACTTCTCTACCCGACTCAGTTCAATCTGCAGGATCGACGCGACCTCTGAACATGGCAGGTCTTGCATATGCCCGACCAAAATACAGTAGACAAAGATTCTCACGGCTCCACGCTGAGGAACATGGTCGTAGGCTGAATGCACGGTTCTGCTGTGATACCCAAGCGACCGGATGTGTTAGTGAACCCAAAGTTCGAAGACTTCTTTATGCATTGTACGCAGGAACGTCCAGCAATCTGGGAGGACCTCCATCCTAAGAGACACCTTGACTCTCGAGGCACTTGTGACTTTCCTTCCTTCCTCCATATTTCATGTCCCTACGCTAGTACCGTAATAGTAATGGCTTCCGTGAGCATAGTACTAAGAGGTCAGCAGAGGACAAATAGACTTACAAGCTGTCGAGGATCAGCTATTTCTTCAATTAGCCTGGCTCGGGGACGGCGGAGGATAATGCACTCACGTTCTGCCAACTTGAACATATCGCAATTACATTTGGTGAGGAAGACTCGAACGTGAGGAAAGAATGATGTACTCACTCTCTGTGAACAGATGAGCGACGACAGTAGTTAGTGGTGCGCGGGCTCCATGAAGGAAGGTCCGTCCCATCCAATGTCCTCGTGTTTGCTGTGGCACAGCCTCATCGCTGAGTAGACGAAGCACACAGGTCGGCGACCACACCTGTGACACCCACGTATTTGTAAGCTTAGGCTTACCATGCGACAGACGCACCTTGCTGACTCGTTGCTGATCGGACACTGCGTCTTGTTTATCGGATATTATATAGGATCCTGCCTCCATACTGTTTCTCCACCATATTAGCAAGCATATCAAGGAGCTCTTCGTCGGCGTAGCCCTCGAAGGTGAATCTATGCGGTACACAACTCGGAAGACCTGGATTATGGCTGAAGAATTTCTCCATCTGACGGCTGTAGCCGGCAAGGATGAAAACAAGGCTTCCAGCGCGGTTCTCCATCTCTGCTAACAGGAAGTCCAGAACATCGGTACCAGACCCGCCCTATGCGCTAACTAGCTGATAGGCCTCATCGATGAATATGGCACCATCGCCGACTTTCATAACGTCCTCGATGAGCTTCTTTGCACCACCGACGCCATCATGTGCCAGGCTGGCTCCTGTGATTTCCTTGAATACGTTTCCTAAAAGTACTTGTATTGATTCGAGAAACTGGGCATATAGCCTTGCGACCGTTTTCCCTGTAGAAAATTTTAAATTAGCGCAAGAAAATTACACGAAGAAGGGTTCCTACCACCTGTCCTTGGATTTCTCAAGAGCGCAAGATTCAGATGCTTCTTGTTCGCAGGTGTTCCTTGATGTTTCATCAAGTCTAGCTTCTCCTTGGTTTGTAGAACTTGCGACTTCACTCCGTCATCGCCATAATACTATCAATCGCGTCATTGTGCTCGCCCATGAGCTTCTTCTGCGATTCCCAGTCGTCACGAGCAGCAGAGCTTTTTTGGCTACCAGGAGGTTGCGAACGAGTCGATGAGGGATATGAGGATTGCTGTGAGGGAGAGGTCGTTGGTTTGGATGCGTTTGCACTGCCGTCTTTCAAGGAACCTGCTGTTTGCTGCGCGCGGACTTTTGCCTCTTGGATCTCTCGTTCCTTCTGCTTGAGCATAGCCTCTCTTTGCTTCGCAGTATCTGCAATAAATGCAACACGTAGAACAGATAAGAAGGAAGGCAATGAGCAAAAACGCGGACGGACGAATAGCCATCATACATGGGAGGTCCGCTATAGTCCCGGTCCGCTCTTTTCATCACATCAATTAGAGCCTTTCTTGTATATCTATGTTGTCAAGCTCGGACAAGCTAACATGATCAGAGTCACGGTGCACCTCCAAAAAAGTCGTAAGTGTGTGCATGGTATTTGATATCGAGAAATTATGGGTATTCTTGGGAGCGTGCTGCGAGGGCGCGTCCTCTGCGACAGAAACCGGACTCGTGTTTTGAAGTTGGATTGTTTGAAGGCGGAGTCTGTTGAGAGGAGTATCTGGAGAATCCGTGGAGCACTGGAGACCGCATTTTCGTATCTTTAGGACCGAATTTACCGCACGTTGATCATTGTTTGATTGAGCACACAATTTGTCGCATGTGAGTAAACCAAAGTCTTATGGAGATTGAGATTGACTTGGCATTGCAAAGTTCCGAGAACTATGACGGTGGCAGTAAAGCACACTCATGGAAAACGGACCAAATGATGTGATCCCCGCTGTGCGTGGCGGGTACTACTACTAGCTTCTATTTCACGCAACATTCATAACGTCTTATCAATATCAGTTCCGTGCCTTCTCCCACAACATGTTATCTGACAGCAGCACCAGGATAGCCTATCCATGTCAACGACGGTAATAACCAAGCAGTGCGAAGTTCGTAATATGTAAATTCTTCTGAAAGTCTGGAATGCCTTGCTCTTCTTCAGCTTTGCAGCCTTCTCGTCTCGGTTGCTTTAATCAATATTGCACCCTTACTACGTGCCTATGCTGTATAAACCTGACGCCCACTGCAAATGAGGCTATGGGTCCTGTGAGTCGCTTCTGTCCTGTTGACTTTGCACGGTGTTGATGCCATGTTGGCGGTCAAACTCGGCCGTTTTTTGGCTTGAGCAGTGCGCATCAAACGAGCGTCATTAGCAATTTGTCGGATGGTTTGAGAAACCGGTAAGCAGTCCAATATGAATGGTGATGTCGGACTCACAGACATTCAGGGTGGTATTCGCGCAGCTCGCAATGGAACATCCTTGTATCCTGCTTCTTGGTTTGTTCTTTTTTGACTCGTTCCTGGCAATTGACTAATTAGCTACGAGACAGATGAGCTGACGAGCCATTTGGATATGACTTCCATCGATGCACTTGCACTTGCAATCAAGGACTTTGAAGGTGGCGTGGTGATTGTGTCAAGCAACTTCCTTTTGATCAGTCAAGTTGCTGAGGAGCTTTGGGAAGTCGCTGATAAGACAATTCACAATCTAGCGAAGGACGAGATCAGCATTGTCGACTACAAGAGGAACCTTGTGAAGCACAGTACGGTTTCACCCCCCTCATCTGATCGTGTGCTAATTGTCATGCAGGTGAGGCCCAATTGTAAAAGGCCAAGGCTCATCAGCAAGAGCGCCACTAAATGGAAGAGATAGCGAGTGCCACAGCCCTGTTTCTTTGTGTACATATACACACCGTACACTACACCCCTTACATGGGCCACACACATGTTTTGCCATCACAGACGTCTTTTTTCATTCGACTGTCGCACAACTAGCTGGATCTTACATTCATGTATTTGTCATGTTCAACTTGGGCCACATTTTCGCTTTTAGATGTCTTATTGGGAGTCTGTGTTTAGCTATGATTAGATTGTTTGATATCTGCAGTTGAATGGTATAACTCGGAAGACCCATACATACCATGGCATTGAACGGTGACTTCACAGGGTGTGGCCTTGGGAACTAATCATAAAGCACATGTCATACTGAAGACTTTCACAGTGATGCATAACTTTTAGGAGGAAGCAGTTGCTTCGGTGCAACAGTAACAACACAATGTACTTGAATCCAATTCTCATTGTAACTTCCCAGTCAAACTAATAACTGCTACTTACCAACCGATGCTACATTATACTATGAATTTGAAAAAGGTGTAATGGACCAAAGCGAGGTCAACTGTAACTACCTACTACTGGTGATGTGCTATTGCTACAACCCAAGTGAAGAGTCCTCGATGCATATTAGATCCATGAAATGAACAGTTTATGAGGTGGTGTGTTCTGTGACACTGTCTGCATTGCATCACCTCGTTGATGGCCAGCCAACTCACATGACTGTGAAACCACTGAAAACCTGTTCACATTGATATATTGATGTATTTGCTATGATACATATGCCTGAAGTGTGGCAGCCTTAATCCTTCCACTGAACAAAGAGATGATGTGATTGCCAATGGCCAAGCCTGATAAAATCAACTGCTCGAGGATCCGCCGCGACTGCGCTAGTCTTTTAGGCGTGCTGGTCGCTGGTAGTCCTCATTGAAGGCCGTGATCTTTGTCTTTCGAGACGAGGAGAAGCTGGTCTGAAATGTGTGAGAATGGGAAACAAGGAGGAGATCCGTCTGACCGTCTGAGGAACCATGAAGCAAGTACTCTAGGGGAACTACTGATGGTATACGAGGACAGTTGTAGGGTCTTTCTAATCGACTGAAAGGTCAGGAGCCCATTCAGTCACATAGTCCATGTTATACAGACAGCCGAGGTTGAAAATATACCGTTCCACACAGGCTAGCGGATATCGGCCGATTGAATGTGTCTGCCTGAGTCTAACATTCGGCCGGCCGGCTCACTGACAGATGATTTTAACAGCTGGGCCTATAAATTGTGATGCTCGATATTAACATGTTGGCCAGTGTCCAGGAAACAAAGGCGGCGCAGTGTGATACTGTCATCTGGGCCCATGTAGCAAATAGTTGCTGTGTGCACCGGTCAGCCGATGCCAAAGGTCGGCATGAAGCCATCATGTGGGCCGATGTAGAAGATATTTCAGGTGCATATCAATAGGCCCATATGGAACACATTGCTTGTGCGTATCGGTCCGGCAATATTGGGTATGAGGCCATCAGGTGGGCCGATCACAATGAACAGCTGATGCAATCGGGTGGGCTAATGGAACTGATAGCATCAGTTTGGCCGATAAAGATGAATTCCCGATGCTCTCAGGTGGGCAGATAACAATGAATGGCCTGACATAATTGGGTGGGCCGATGGAACTGATAGCATTGGTTGGGCCGATTGAAGCGAATTCCCGATGCTCTCAGGTGGGCGGATAACAATGAACGGCTGACAGAATCGGGTCGGCCGATGGAATCGCAACCGTCGGTTGGGCCTATGGAAACGAATTCCCGATGCAACCAGGTGGGCCGATAGAATTGAGACCATCAATTGGGCCGAGGGAAATGGATTCCAGATGAAATCAGGTGGGCCGATAAGAATGAAAGGCCGATGCAATCAGGTGGGCCGATAAATTTGAGACCATCGGTTGGGCCCATGGAAGCGAATTCCTGACGCTGTCAGGTGGGCCGATAACAATAAATGCCCGATATCATCAGGTGGGCCGATGGAATTGAGACCATCGGTTGGGCCCATGGAAACGATTTGCCGATGCTCTCAGGTGGGCTGAGAGTACTGAATGGCCGATGTAATCGGGTAGGCTGATGGAACTGATGGCATTGGGTGGGCCTATGGAAATGAATTCACGATGCGCTCAGGTGGGCCAATGGAACTGAAGCTGTCAGGTGGGCCAATATAAACAAATGAATCAGGTGGGCCGATAGACATGAAGTACCCCTACGCCATCAGGTTGGCCGAACAGAATGGATGCCTGATGAAGTTGTGTGGGCCGATGAGGAGCACCATATCATTCTATCAGGTGAGCCGGCATGGAGCAGGTCTCCCATGCACATCAGTCGGCACACATCAGCACGGTCGGTCGGTCGGTCTCCAGGAAAGATGATCTAGCAGATTCAACAACATGAATTCAAATTAATTTTCAACCTTGTAAAGGAACCATCTACAAAGTTCAATGTAACTGTCATATACTATTATATGTGATCACATGTCCGACTAGGCTGGAACCGAGACATGACGATCAACATCCATATATTTTGCATACTGTGGCCGGGGTGTCCCCACAAAGTTGTGAAGGCTATCGCGCATGAACCATGCCCACACGATGCGATCACCGGTACATGTGACTCCATGCCTGACAAGGTGTCCAGAGCAAGCAACAATGGCACCAGACTTATATTGCAACTGTATACTGAGGTTGGACAGGGTCATCAGCCCATCACAATAGTGGCCGACACTGGTCATGATGTCGAACCCTTCGGGAGCAGATCTTGGATCTCGGTGAAGAGGGCATTGCCTGTTACAAATGACGGCTGTGCAGTTGAAGACCAAGGCCCAAAGTTGCAGACGAGTGTATATGTCATTGTGACCGTTGTCCATGGCCCACTGAGTGAGTTTTATATGCGTGGTAACTGAGGCCCAATACAACTCTGGATGCATCACCCGAAGAGCCGCCGAGGCCAGGAGTGCTGAGCGCTGCATGGATGTTATGACCGTAGGACCACCTTCACCCTTCAATGCAGCCGACACCTCGGGGGAGAACACACCGTTGGGAGGAAAACCATGTGGCTGGAACAGCTGAGTGAGTAAATAGATCATAGTGGAACAACCAGACCTCACCTCTCGGCCTTGCTGGAACCAGCAAGGAGCTATGTTGATGCATCCTGGGGTTAATGGGCGTCAGTCACTCTTATGGAAATACCCAGGGAAAGTTCGCCATTGGGTCTCTTCTCCCCTGGTGATGCTTCTCTTCAGAAGATGACCCATGCCGACGGTGGCGTCTTCCATGTCGGCCTGATCGGTCAGTCTAAATGTCAACCGACAAGCAACAATGCATGGGGCTTACTTGAATCCACGGGCTGATGGCATCTGGAAGGTACCATAGGATGATATGACCGCCTGAATCAACGAGCACTGAGGGCTTGTCGAGCAATTGTTCGGAACGATAAGGAAATCTTTGGAGTAGAGCCTCTTCATGTTTTGTGATCCGCCCGGTGGAGCGTTTGTTAAGTGCCTCATTATACCGAATCATGTCAATATCAAGCTGAACTGCCACACGGTGTAAAGAGTAGATTCTATGTGGGCGCTACAAAAGTGTTACCTTAAGACTCAGAGTGCGAGTGAGATGTTCATCCCAAAGAGACTGCCTATAGAAATGCTCCTTGATATAAAGCAAGGGATATCTTGTTAAGATCGAAGTGAGAGAAGGAGAGTTACCAAGAGTGCACTTGGTGTTCCGAGGATATGTCCGAAGTACCGAAGTACTCGTCCGAAGTGGTCCAAAGGTGGTCTGATGTCTAGAAATGAAGGTCCGAGGTTGCATGAAGCGTCCGAAGAGCTTCCGATGAACAGCGAGCGTTCCGAGAGAAGTATGGCGGGTGTATCGAAGTATAAGACTTCACGAAGTATAACTAAGCAAAGACTATCGGGGGAACTCAGAGACAGTGAAGAGCGAAATGGCAGCGGTCAGGCCAAACAATCGTTCCGAATGAACAAAGATCGATTGCGCGAAGTACGACTATCCGAAAGTGACTCTACTAACTATGACTCGTAGCAGGGAAAGTGAAGTGAAGTGCGAGTAGCTAGCGAGACAGATTATATCCTACAGCGTGAAAGTTCGGAAACTGCGTAGGCGAAACCAGTAGCGAGATAAGACATCCGAAATGTAATAAGACTCAAGGCGAGCCACTACAGAGATATGCATGTAATAAGACGCAAGGCGTGTATAACCGACGGGCCGACGACATATGTGCCCCTAGACATAATCAATAATAGATAACCAAGTGAAGAACGCACCAGCGAAGTCAAACAGACACAGACAGGACATGGTACGGAGGATCAGAACTGTATACAAGCCTCGGAAATGGACGGATGACCTTCAGACGACTCAGACGAACGCACGGAACTCTCGGAAGGTAAATGGAGTGTCGAGGAATGTGTATGTGGAATACCTATGAGTTTGGCAGGATACGAGCCCAACGTTGATCTGAGTGCTACAGCGGTTGGCAAAACACCGACAATATCAAGGAATAACTCACTTGGGTTTAAATAAGCATCGGCGAGAACTCGGGCCAACTGCTGACATGCAAGCATGGTCGGCACATCCAATGTCAGTGGAGGCAAGACCGACTGTTGCCGGCGACCGACATGATCAGCAAAGAGCTGGTGCACAAAGTCACCAGCAATGCATGTCGTATGCAATGCCCAGTCAATAGGAATTGAAATCATCTGTGGAGGCAGAACAACAGGCATAATAACTTGTCAGCTTATATGGGACATGACTGAGATTCATTGAGTAATACTATATACATTTAGAGAATCAACGTAAATTTGGCAATACTACTGATGTCTATTTAGTAATGATGTCCACAATGCTGGTGATAATAGTAAAATTAACATTGGCGAAAGAGCAGCACAAGCCATGCGAAGTTAATCCTTGCCTGACAATTGCCCACTAGAATTCAAAAGTGCTTCCTCCAGGTCGGCAATCGGTCCCTCAAGTTGGGACATGGTGGATGCAGCTGCAGTGGCGACCTGGGTCTTCTGGTCCAGCAAAGCACCCATTGCGTCACCGAGATGTTTGAGGTGGGCTCTCACTGCCACAATTTGATTGAAGAGGGCATCGCCATCCACCTGCCCAGTCACCACAGGACCAGGCACAAGCATGGCTCCCATCGGCTAACAATTACCATAAGTGCAAGTTCAGCATGAGAAAGAGAGCAATAACCGACCAGTTGTTCGAAGTGGTCTTGGGTCATCTCCATGACCTCATGGATGTTCAAGTCCAGCAGGTCCAACCTCAACCGGTCGAAGCGATCCTTCCACCAATTGTACCGGTAGTTAGGCACAACTTGGTTAATAGCCCTTAGTTCAGGGCTATTCAGAGAGCAGTGTGTGAAGAATTCATCGTGCAATTGTTTGGTGGTGATTGTCCCGGTTTGGAATCTGGCAAGTCTTCCAATGATGGCGCAGAGGAGATCAGGCATTGTTGGATGAATGTTGAGGACTAAAGAAATGTTTATGTATGGGAAAACAAAATGCTGATAAAGGCATGAGTTACAACATAATGTCGACCGACTGACCGACCGACGGACTGATTGATGAGACACTCACATCAGCCTCCCATTGAAGGTGCCAGACGAAGCTGGCTTTGTAATCTGGTGTCCGAGGTATATGGTTCCGGTCGCAAACTAGCCAGATGGCAGCGAATCGGGCAGTGGCAAACTCTAAGACGTTTGCAGCATCCCACACAGTAAAGTCACTGAGTTCATATGTATGGAGTGTGGAGGAGTTGGACATGCTGGTGGTAGTTTGGATCAAAAAGTTTCATCCGGATCGGTATTGTGATACTGACTAATCCACTTCGGCACTTGCTGATGTCCGAATGCAGTTGTGGCCGCATATGGACCCCTGTCACTCTACAACTGCAGCCACCCCTTTCATTCATTCAAAGCTGTCCTGTGCATGTTGTGAGAGTCGGAGATACATTTGAGCCTGGTGGGCAGCATAGCACTGGTGCCCGACTGTGCACTGTACATCGGCCTCCTGCATTCGGCCTACCCATTGTTGAGATTTATGAAGAAAAAATTCAACCGTCCATGTCATTTCCCGACCGACCAGCAGCAGCTCCTCTGCCCAACGATCACGCAGTGCCAGTGTCCTAAGCCAATGGACACGGTAAACTGTTGTGTAAGTATATTAGCACCCCACAGGAACAGGTAAGTCGGTGAAGTGCAAACATTCATTCATCCAGTCATTGCTTGCAGAATCCCCCTCAACATCAATGCTCCAAAACCATGCTAACGTGCTATTTCTTTGACCGCGCGCGTTTGGGTCTGCAACAACCATGGTAGCCTTGAGGTCGGCCTTCTCCAACAGCCAATACTTGGACAATAAGTCATCGGCACTGAGATGGATTAGCTGCTTGCGGCATTTTGAGTATATCTGCGTGTTTAGGTGTAGGACCTTGTCCATTGAGTGCACCCGAGCCCATGCCCTGGTTGACTGTGCTTGGGATTTTGCCGACCGAACCGTGGTGCGAAACAGAACGGCCTTGTCGGCCAAGTTGACCCGGACGGCATGTAATGCATCATTTGCTTGGCCTTCTCTCAATAATATCTCTTGCAGCACCAGGTCGGCAACGCCCCACAGGGCGCATCTTTCGATGCCGATGTTTGACGGCAATGGAATCACCACGGTCTCGGGATTGAACTTCACCAGAATATCATATCGGTCTTCATCATCTGACCTCTCGGGATCCTTGGATGACGACCCAATGGAATCCGCTTCTACTGTATTCAACATCACCGTCATGCCATCCAAATGGTCACAGCCGTTTAATTCATCGCCAAGAAATGTCACTGCGACCCTGACAAATTCATCCAGTTGGCCTTGCAATCTGTCACGATGCCAGGCCACAGCCAGCTTCTGGGTGTCGGTCAGCCGTTTGCCTAGCTTTCTTACGTTGATCAGGAGGGCTACTTGAGCCTCTTCCAGCGTAATTCCAGAGGCTAGCCAAGTAGCAGCACCCTGATGAATCTCACCGGCCAGCCATTGAGCCTGACGGTTCAGCAGGTGTAACTCTTGCTGTTTTCTTGTTGGCGCTTTGCCAAACTATATCAGCATATTAAATACTGATGTTCCAATCAACATACATTTTGTCAATTGAACCTCATATATGTCCATGGAACTTGGATTATGAAGTCGGTCATCCTGAGCGGCAGTGGCCTCCGCTTCCCATGTGTGAAGGGTATCACCCTCAGCGGTCTCGCTTAACCGGTCAAATGCATACTGGCTGTCTCGGACACCCTGCACAGCCTCCTTGAATTTTCTGCCAAGGAATTTGCCTAGATGCATTTGGATTTGTCAACTCGGTATAATAATATTACTCACTGATGCGTATCATCTTCATAAAATTACAGTCATTCATTTGAAAGTCTAAACACTCCTTTTGGTGGGGGGTGGACATCCCTCTTGCCGATGGTGATATGATGTTCAAGGGTGCCCACAGGGTCTCCATTATTTCTCCGTCGATCCTGGCGGCACCGGTTATGAAGTTGGACGCATACCTCACATAGCATTTATCTTGATGGCCGTGGACATGCCACAGCCCAATTCCAGGAATAATGTCCATGCCCCATGGAAGGTCAAGATAAGGCGACTCTTCAATCCGCTTGCTGAGATGCTTGTTGTATTGACAATTAATGTCATAGAATGTGAATGCCCGATTGATCCCATCGGTATTGTACCCCAGAGCTTGACACAGGGCATAATCCATGTTCATCTGCCTTTGGCCGGCCGACTCGTCAGTTGAACCTGGCCGATGTAGCAATTTGAAAGGCTAACCTTTCCCCCTTCTGAAAGTCTACCATTGAATGAGGAACAAAACACCCATGCCTCGCACAAGCACATCCGCCTATCCCTGTTGCTTCCAGCTTGTGGCGTGAGGCATTTGCCTGGTTGACCGCTCGGTGGTTGTTACAGTCTGACCTTTGCACAATGTCCTGCACCTGGGATAGATGCATTTTGTATTGGGCATCACCGACCATGAAGCCCAAGCCATCGGTCAATGCCACCTCATCGCTTGGATTGGTGGGATACAAATGCTCTGCCTTGAAATTGCCATCCATGACTAATGATCTGGAATACAGCCATGCAGGGTCGGACTCATTTCTGTCTGACAAATTGAGATTTACACCGGGCTGAGGACATGCAGGACAGAAGAGTGCAAGCTCCCCTGCCTTCGGCTGTCGCTTCTCATGGCCAAACCCATGCCACTTGAGCTGCTTCACTTGTCTCCACTGCCTGCCGACCCTCATCAATTCTCTGTACCGGTCCTTTCGGCCATGGTGAGCAATGCAATGTTCAAAATCCACATCACTCACTGGAACCAGATGAGGAAACACGCTTGAGGTGATTCGCCTTAATTTACTGTAGTAGTTCATTGCCGATGTCCCGCATTCCAGGTTGTCCAGCAGGAAGTCGTCCAACACCACAAATGTGAATGCTGTCTTCAGCGAAGTGAAAGACACAGGGAAGAGGCCAGTCTCAAATAGTTGCATGTCAGGGCTCAGTGCACCAGTGCACTGACAGAATCTGATCATCATGGAGTGGAGCCCAGAAGTATCTACCACCGTGGTCGTCCGAGGATCGTTAACCAAGGGTATCCATGGGCCTTCAGTCAATTGGTCTCCCTCATCATCTGTATCGCACCACTCGTCGGTCAGTCCGGGACAAGGCTCGCCTGCATGGCCAAGGTGAACTTCCAACCCTATCTTTGTTAAGGAAGTGCCCTCGAAGAATCTCCTGGTCCATTGACTGATCCGATGAAAAGGCATGAGGCTGTGAACTGTCCTACAGCAATGAGTACAGAAGAGAGGTTCACCCATGCAACCGTGACATCTGTAGACTCTGTCCTTTGGACAGACCAAGCACATCCTGTTTGGAGGTGGACCCTCTCGCCGAAGTAGCAAGTCCAAGTAGTCCTCGGTCTTGTGCTGCCACTCGTGCAAATAGTCATTTTGACTCTGATATTTAGTGTCAGTACATGGGACAAGGCAAGTGGACGGTCAACTTGCCATGGACTTGCGAACACGAAAAGGCTCGAAGTTGCATTCGCCCAGGTCATAGTGTTCATAGTCACCCTCCACATGAAGTCCTTTGGTGGATGGCTGCTTGGTAGGCGATTTTCTGGGGGATGAATGAACCGATGTTGTTTTGTTGTAACGTCGAGCTCTGACAAATCATTCTTTATCTCCTCTAGATGTTCTTTTGTTCTCCCATTGAACCAAAGAGGATGTCTTTGGAGGACTCCAGGCCTTTGGCTTTGACTTGACCATGGACCGAAGTAGTGCTCCGAGTGTCAGGATGTCTTGTTTGGAGTGAGATGCTTAGACTTTGGGACGTTTTGGTGCTTACATGCAACTGCCAAATGCAATGCCTAGTATGTAATAGTCACTTTGATCTCTCAGAAATCATTGGCATGGATATTCACGGTGCAATTCCAATGGCCAATAGTGATTTGTCTATATCATATGTCAAGAGCACTTCAGATCCTCCAATTTCATGCCACCCACCCACCTATGCACCTACACCACTCAATAAGTCTTGTAGCAATAGGGCTCACACTATTCGGCACAATCTAGCCCTTACGTTCACTTATGACATGGGTGTGTCACTTATGTGAAGCATTACTCACATGAGCTTCCTTCCATTTTTCATTCCATCAACCACATCAACGCTCTCCTACACTTACATTTCCAGGTCCTTTACTCCAAGCTACCTACTGTGACATGACTCGGACGAAGATAAATGCTGAGGATCAGCCTCGGTTGAACGACCGAGAGAACACTGCTCTGCAGTCCCATGTTGAGGACTGGGGGAAGGAGAGTGGGACCGAGAGATGACAAATCTTCAAAGCGGCCGCCAGAGAAGCCAGACTCTTGGCTCCAAAGATGGACCAAGAGCTCTTGAAGCAACGAAAAGAGGTAAGTGTTTCAGCTTTGATGTAGGGTCATGCTGCTTTACAGTCATCATAAACAGAAATACAGGCAGTGGTTCCACAACCACAAGAAACACAAGGCCAATGCCAAAGTGCTGATGAAGCTGCAAAAAAAATGGACAGCACACCGAGTAATTGAAGAGCAGCGCAAGGCCGACATTCTTCAGCAAATACATGAAGAAATCAAGGAGGAGACTGGGCAGAAGCCTGAGCAGAAAGAAATCTTCAGGAGGTATCAACCCACTATGACGGCAATCATGAAAGGGCTAGGCGACAATGAGTTGGAGGAAGCCCGGGCGAAGGCCGATGAGTGGACAAATCAAGCACCTGACCCTGCAGTCCAGGCCAAGACGGCTAGGAAGAAGGGTGAAAAGATGATCAAGCACTTCGCAAAGGAGATGTTTACTCAGGCCGGTATGAGACTCTTTGTATTGGGTTCCTGGAAGGATGAGAAGGGCGGCCTACTTACATCCAGGCAAGTTGATACAGTCGGTCGGTCGGTCATTTTGCTTACATGGTTTGGCAGATTTGACTTCAATGAACACCTCGGGATAGGCTCCAGCTTCATGAAATGCAAGGACTGGCAGGTCATCTTACCGGCATGGGAAGATTTCATAGGTGATGCATTCAGTGAGTCTCAAGACCATCTCAGAGGTGCTTCATTTAATTTGTCACGTCCATTAAGACCAGGATCAAGACCAGGACGGCATGCTGCTCGGAGGCACTCGCCGGGTTCCCAAGCCTTACCATGAGTTCGACCTGGACTGCATGGGTTTGCCGATGTTGCCCGATATTGAGGGCGTGTCTCTTGATGCCAAGAAGGGAATGATTCGGTCATTTCTCACCATTCATTACCATAAGCCTGTTGAGTCGAAGGTCCCAGTGCCTTGGAGCGATATAATAAAGGGACAGTCCAGATTTATCTCCAGCATATACTTGCCTGAGGATGCAAAGATCATGGACCCTTCGAAATTGCAACGGAATGAAGCCAACGCCTTGTTGGAATGTTGGTTAGACCAACAAGACAACCAGGTAGGGCTCACATTGAAGTTCAAGGCCTGGATCGACGACAAGGGCAAGATGAGGGCTCCTGTCAGCAAAGAGTCTGTTGACTCTAACGGTGATGCTGATGATGAGGGCATGTGGCCCATGCCAACCAAAAAATCATCGGCCGCCGCTGCACCATCACCGGCCGGAGTTCCCAAAGCGCGGCCTAGGTTCATCAAACGAGCTCATGTCAGTTCCGCCGATGAAGAATCTGACAAGACCGATGCAGATGTGCCTCTGCCGAAGGTAAACAAACATGCACCCTACCGTGTAAGGAAAGGCACAAATGCAACACGAGGTGACCCAGTGGGACACCCGTCGGAGTCAGATGACCAACTGGCACCCAAGAGCATTGGCAAGAGAGTCAGAACTCGGCCTGCCATCATCTCACCCCGAACAGACTCGGCATATGAAGACCGACCGATTATAGATTCGGTCAGATGGGTCTCTCATGATAGAGGGGCCTATGCAGCAGGCAAAACCCGCATGCCCGTTGCACAGGTGACCGAGGGATCAGAAGATGAAAGTTGTAGCCATATTGGCACGAAGGCCAGGTATGAGCCAGCCCGCTCACATCATACCGCCCAGCAAGTTTGTGGCTTCGGCCCACATTCAACTCGTCAAGGTCTCGAACATATTCAGACATCCCCTGCGGTGCTGGACCAGACGCTGAAAAAGACCAGGGCTGCCCAAGATGTATTACCAGCGGTAAATAACCGATCACCGAGGAAGACAACGGCTCCCAGAGAGTGGTCACTGGCGATAAATGACCGGTCGGCCAAGAAGACCAAGGTCACCAAATTGGCGGCTTGCTCAATTCCCGATGCACCAGCAAAGAGTACCAGGAGCAAGGTCGACAATGCGCTTGGCACCTGAATTCGGCAAAAGCCTAAGAGATATGCTGACTACATGTAGTTGTCAGCAGCATCTTGTGTCATAGAGGTTGTTCCATTCTGCTCGGTAATCAATGATTTAAGTATATACATTGTATGTGTGGAACATCGTCGGTCCAGGTGCTCGGTTTTGGGTGCACTTGGTATATACATTGTCATTCCTGCTCGGTCTTCTACACTACTGGATTGGGGAATCTCCCCGGCCCATTTTCCTCATTGCTAGTAGTAATATATGCAGTGGATCATCAATTTGCTGGTGCATGTTCATCAGATGTTCGATTTTGGCAATGTCATCGCTGGCCGCGAGGAATTCATCGCAAGCATACCGATAATCTGAAATTAAATCCTGGTTGGCATCCAAGATATCCATGGATTGTGCTCTGGGGTCATCTGCTGTAGGGAGGTGGTCGTTGTGATGACATTCGTGACCAGAAGAAATATGAACCTACCGATAACAGTGTCAATGCTGTCAAGCCTCACATTTGCTCGGCGCAGCAATTCCTCGCCGGCTTCGACCGTCTGATTCGGCGAGTCATCCCTTGGTCCTGGAGATGTGGCCGGCAAGGATGCATCAAAACACAGATCATATAATACCGGTGTGTCGCCCGCTAAACATCATTGTCAGTACGAGTGATTTCATCCAAAATTCGGACAAACCTAAGTTGACCGTCTGACTTGGCGAGTCATCCATTGGTCCTGGAGATGTGGCCGGCAAGGATGCGTCAAAACACAGATCATATAATACCTGTGTGTCGCCCGCTAAACGTCATTGTGAGCAAGAGTGATTTCATCCACAATTCAGACGAACCTAAGTTGACCGTCTGACTCGGTGAGTCATCCCTTGGTCCTGGAGATGTGGCCGGCAAGGATGTGTCAAAGCACAGATCATATAATACCGGTGTGTCACCCGCTAAATGTCATTGTCAGCACGAGTGATTTCATCCACAATTCGGACGAACCTAAGTTGACCATGTTGATGGTTGGTGCAGCGACTAACCCACTGTCAATGTGACCATCTCCGCCAGATGTTGAATCTTCCCAGCACATGTCGAAATCGCCTGAATGATGGTTAGTGATGGTCGGTGGTAATGACTGACACTTGCCCCTGTATCCATCCACCGACACAGACGGACTATTATTCCAACACATATCATATTGATCGGCCACTAGGGGCATGGTGACATCCAAGGTGTGAGTCTTCGTAGCTGCTAGCTCTTGGATTGGCGCCAAATTAATCTTCCGTGGACTTCCTTGGCTATCCCAACAAAGGTCATATGAACCTGCTGCCGGCGGTGTGGCTGCGTCTGCAACAATGATCGGCGCCGGATCGACCTCGGTGTCCCAACACACGTCAAACACTGATTATTCGGTCAGATGCCTGCAACGTCCTCAAAGCACTAGAAGTACCTTGGCCTTCATATTGTGGTTCAGCCGATGATGTTGCAGTGGTTGTGTTCACCGTCCGCACTAGATCAGCCTTGGTATTCCAGCACATGTCAAATACTTATATTTTTAACTGTTAGAAATGGTCGATAGAGCAGGAAACACACCTTCGCCGCCAAAATGTTTCTTGGGAAGTCCTTCAGGATGTGGCTGGCTGGATGGCATACTTGAGACATTGGATTTCGTGACTTGAGGCAGGCCAGATGTAGTTGTAATGTTAGGTCGAATGTGAATGTTGTGGTTACCCACAGGGATCCGCACATTTTGAGTGGCTGGAATCGGACACAACTTCAGTGGCACCCACTGTTCCCAAGTGACGAAAAAGTTCCAGTCGGCTTTGATACGCTCGTCCTGTATCCTGCGAGCTTTGTCAGTGGCATTCTCATGGAAATACATTGACGACTTTGGAGGGCTTGAACTGTAAGGTAAATAAACAATGCAGAAGTCCAACGCCCGCTACCACACTTCGGCCATTTCCGTGTCTTGGCTGATCCCGGCGGTATTACAATGTGGCGGTTTGCGTGGCATCAACTTCTGTCAAGTTCCTTCAACATCCACACAGAGTCGTTCATAGGTTGATACTCATCACATCCTTTTCTCCTTTTGTTGCATCGGTACCTGTGCTATCGTTGCCCTTATATTTCAATTTTCTACCATGCCATCACAACAAGAATCCGACCATGCTTTGGCGCTTGCCAATATATCGGTGCGCGATTTGGTCAGCCTAATCGGATGTGGGGAAGCAGATGGCCGGACAGTCCGTTGATCAGGCTCATGAGATTGCAAGGCAGGTGGTGCGTGTTTTGCTTTACTATAGTTATTATGTACCTGCTCACCATGAACAGTCTCAAGCCCTCCAACAGCACGGCAGGTTGTCCTCGGTCATCTCACCATTTCTTCTTTCTGCAGCCGCCAAGGTCCGTGTGACCATCAATCAAGGTCTTGTTCCTCAATGGAATTGTGTTCGGGTTGATGATCCGCGTATGGAGTCCCATCCCTTCTTCCCAAAGACTGTTGGATATGGTGAGTCGGCCCTGTTTGGATTCACATTGGTAACTTAATATTCTTATAGTACAACCAGCACCAGAACCAGCACCGGCACCAGCACTCTCCCCAGTCCTACCCCCAGCTCCCAAACGGATGTCAGTTCCACCGATCGATGCACTCCCTCGTGCCAGTTGTGCTCACAATCTGACCGTGACTGGCACCATGACCGACAAGGGCAAACAGTCTGACCGCGGCACTCGTAGATCCCGTGACAACAGCCCAAATGCCAAGCCAGGCAGAAAGAAACAAAAGGTGTTGAAGCGTTTGTCGAAGGCCATCATCTCTGACACCGAGGACAAGGACAGGCAGCCAACAGGGACCATTGTAGTGAAACAGGTATGTCTTCCTCTCATCATTTCCAACTGACTGCTTACATCACCTTAGCGGCCCAAGATCATCAAATCTTCAGGTGCAGCGGCGCCAAAATCAAAGGTAAGCATGGTGATAATCTCGGTGCCGATCTCATTGCTGACTCCTTTGCAGGGAATGACTAAAAATGTCAAGCAGGTGAGATTTACTGCATCCTCTCTGTCCTCCCACCTCACCGATCTTCAGCCGGAAGCTGAAGCCAACATCGGCCGAGTCCAGCCAAAGGGCAAAGGCAAGGAGAAGGCTGTGAATATCGCCGAGCCTGTGAGAGGTCGTGGGCTACTGAAGGCCGATGCTGAGGAGGTGAGTTGGGAAAGTCCATGCCAGTTGCAGTGTACTAACTATTTTTAGTATGCTCCACCTTGCAAGAGATGTATAGGGGAGCCTTGTTTTGTTGTGGTTGGCAGGAAGGGCCAAGCCATCAAGTCCTGCACCAAGTGCCACTTCATGAAGGTGCGGTGCAACCGACCGGTGTCGGTCGATACCCAGCATCCCTCAACAATGCAGGCACCAAAGTCACACCCTTGGTCAAAGGCCGCACTGGCGTCCAAGTTGAAGGCTAAATCCCGGACCACTAGAGCGACCTCTCGTGCATGTCCACCAACTCCTATCGTGGAATCTGAGGATACTGCGGATACTGGTAAGTGATTTTGTGCTTCGCGATAACATGCTTTAACCCTGGTCTTTAGAAGTGTCTGCTACCAGTCAAGATGATGTCGAGATGGACCATGATACTGACGCTGAGCGGGACACTGACATCGCCGCCAATATGTCGGATGAGCCCGCTGATCAAATCATGGTTGACCAGCCCGGAGCCATAGCTTCTGCAGCCGACTTCCCTGCTGACCATTGGCTGGAGGCCACTGACGACGCGCCCATTCCAATTCCCCCACCAACTCCTCCGGCCAATCCCCTTTCCCTTCCTTCAACACCCACCATCCTCGAACGCGTGCTCGCCTTGACCACTCAGGTGACTGACATGCAAATGGCCAACAATAATGTCCTCGCCAGGGTAAATGCAATGGAACAGGAGTTCGACACCCGCATTTCCTCGATGCGTGCCGAGCTGTCCTCCATGCAGCTTGATGTTGGTGCCACTGTGACATTGGTGAACGGACTTGTCTGCCTGGTTGAGAAACTTCGGCAGGAGCGGGTCATTGCCAATCCATCATTCCCACTGCCAATGCTCAGCCATGGCAACGAGTCCTCCGCCACCGCATTTGGTATGAGGTACATGAACAGCGTGTTCAGCCCTTCAGCTGCTCCCACCTCTCTTTCTGCTGGAGTCGGTCAAACCTCAGCCTCCCGCCCTCCTGGTCGTCCCGACATGCAGGGTGACACTTTCACATCCGAATAAGTGTGCCAGCGGATTATATAGTTGTTCCATAGATCATGTGTCGGTCGGCTCATCATTCCTGTAAATCACTTGGTTCTGTACTCATTGTTTTGGCATTGATTCGATTGTAAATTGACTCCGGTGACATTGAAATGTTGGCACCGTTTGATCTTGATCGGGTTTGCAGTTGGCGCGGCACAGTATACTTCGGTTTGTTCAGATGTAACTTGGTCATACTTGTGACCGACCGGCCTGTCGGCAGAATTCATCTCGGTCGTTTTATTGAGTTGGTTTGACCTATTGATTCTCCATGTGACCGATCCCATGTTCCATATGATTTGCATATCATATCAGCAAAACCAGTGCATATGTCTCGGCCAATTGTTTTTTCGACTGATTAAGTACACTTGGTGGCCCTTGTTACGCTGCAAGGTGGCTGTTTACTCCAGTTCCTGGCATATCATTATACATTATGTTTGACCTAGCATATTCTGACTGGTTGTCATGGCAATATATGATGACCGATGGTCTATGAACAACTTATTGACTGATCAATCCATTAGTAATATTTGACCAAGGTGGTCCTGGCAGGTGTATTGTGGAAGCTGGTATGTAAACACGGACCAATTGACCGACCTGTGTCCATGATCCTTCTGTATACTTAGAATCTCGGCCCATCTGTATATATCAGCACCACTGCCCACTCGGCCCGCTTGTTCATATCAGACACATACTTCATACACTACCTACCAAAAGTCAATAGAAAAGTCTACACTTATCTACTATACTACATACCATGGGCCCACATGGGATGGCCCGTGTAGAACAGGGATATTTCAACCTCGGCTGTACATATTATACGAGGGTAAAGTGACTGCAGTATGTGTATTGCAATAACCAAGCTGCCATTGCCCTCGCCTCAAACGGAAAATTCCAATCTCACACCAAACACATATCCATTCACTATCACTTCATACGTGCCCACATAAGGAACGGCACGTTCCAACTATTCTACTGCCCCACTGATGACAACGTTGCCGACACTTTCACAAAACCCCTCCCATGTCCTTGCCTTCAGAAGCTTCGACTCTCGATGAGCTTGGAATGCGCTCAAGGGGGAGTGTTGGAGTCCGAGCGATCCGCTGAGTCGTTGGCCGACAGATCCGAAATAGGAACGATGAGGGAATAGCATATTACGAGCGCATCCCAAAAGAGCAACAAACGAGCGATGTTTGACGTCGGCTCGTGCTCTCCAATATACGACTACAATTTTCATTCCTATTCTATCCGCACTTATAAGAGTTTGCATTTTCGTAGGAACATCTCAGTCTGTTTCCAGAGACTGAGATGTGAGTACATACGTCTACCTACCATTGACAAAAGCTAACGAGCCATAGATACTTTGTCTGTTTAGGTACATAGTTTCTGGCCAATGTTACAGTCCGTTTAGCTCTCTCCGCGTCATCTACGTGCCTCGAATCACTATAGGCCCCTCTTCTTCATCAACATTAAAATCACAAAGGTGTGTGGCAAGAGGGCTATCCTCCGTTCCTTCTGGCACAGTCAATGGCAGGCCTGTGATTGCATTTTGAAGGTCAGCGAGAAGCTGATCAGTGCTGCAGCCACCAGATATGGCCATGTTTTTGATTTGAAGTGTGAAAGTCACAGTGTTTCCGATTCTGCTGAATTTTGGCATGTGGGAAATTTGTAGATAAACTGTACAGTTCACATTGTCTGCGGTCAATTTGTCTCTCTTCGTTTGTGTTCCCGGGCCACCAATCTTCAACTGTACTAGGTTTGTTTTATATTAAGTGTTATGTTCTATCTAATTTATTTGAATTTAAGGGAGTGAACAGGTTCACGCAACTTGCTGACGACAGCGAAGAAGTCCCCAACTTACAAGGGAAAACATATTCGGCATTCAAGCTCACACAACAGGAGTGGGCAAAGTTGGAGTTGATTCGAGACGTGCTACAGGTCAGTTCCTTCAACTGTCTTTTTTTCACCTTCTGTATTAACTAGCACTACACTGCGCAGGAGCCTGCTAACGCTCAACAGACTTTCTCAGCTACTCGGGAACCTACAGTCTGGCGCACCATTCCTGTCCTCGAATATCTTCAAGAGACGTGGGAACGCATGGCTGGCACTTCAACATTCGACGTACTTTCAGCATCTGTCACATCCAGCCTGGACAATCTGGCTAAGTGGTACCGCAAGACAAATGACACAGATGTCTACTTCATCTGCCTTGGTACGTGCCCCATTCTTAATTCACACATTCTCATTTTGACGACACTCTTACTTTCATGCAGCCCTCGACCCTAACTACAAAGTTGCCTATGCTAAGGCAAAATGGGCGTCTCAAGACTTTGCTGATGGAGTGAAATGGCTCGAAGATGTGGTAAGTCCATGGGTATCTCAATAAATTGTCTGCGCACTAACTTAGTATCTAGTTTGATCAGTATTATCGTGCCCCTCCTTCATCTGCCACAACAACACATTCTGCTACACCATCCCTCTCACGCCAAGGTTCCTACGGCCAGAGCTGGATGCGCAATGCAATCAAAGCTCGCGTCTCAAACGATGCAGCTCGTCAAAGGCCTCGTCGGGAATTGGAGGACTACCTAGCTGCACCACTGGAGGATGTTGAGAATGTAGTCATGTGGTGGGGTGTAAGTTCACTTCCCTCATATCCTCAATATTCCGTGTAACTTGAAGCTGACAATTATTTTTTTAAAGCATCACTCGGTTCAGTATCTCACTGTTGCTCGCATCGCAAAAGACTACCTCGCTATTCAGGGGTCTGTGGTAGCATCTGAACGGGCATTCTCAAGTGGTGGCATCACTGGCACCACACATCGCAACTGCTTGCTTCCAGAGACATTCGAGGCACTTCAACTGTTAAAAAGTGCATACTGTCAAGGCCATGTCTCAGCAATGGTGCAGGCTGAGCTCGTTGCTCCTCAAATGTTTATTGTTGAATAGTCTAGCCTACTACAATTGTTTGTACTTGGAAAATTTTGCTAATTTCATGTTGCGTTCGGTGGTTCGAACTGGTTCGAACTCGAACCTGACCATTGTGAACCCGTTCGAAGTGGTCCAGCCCAGAGTTTACCCTACCTTGGTGAACTTGACCGAGGTTCAGTTCTCGGTCCTCGATTATTTTGAAAAAACCGGACGGAACTGAACTTCGGCAGCACTAAACTGTAGGTATTCAGAATATGGATAAATACAGTGACCGTAATGTATTATATTCATAATGTATTGTAACATATTCACCCATAATCTTCATGACTAGGAATACAGGACCTATGTATTATATTCAGGGTATTCGAATATAATCTGAATAATATTCAATCATATTCAGTATTGTGGACAGCACTGCACATGATGTAACCGTTGATGAATTCTGTCAGGGACTCGTTGACTAGGGCTGCACACCGTCGCCGTAATAGACGGTTTGTATGGCGACCGTCGACGGATATGGTTGCCATACCAGCGGGTCTGCAAAGGGAGGCAGACAGGTACGGTGTACGGCCAAGCCGTACACCGTACAAACCGTCTTCCATACGGCCGTCGACGGTACCTTTACGGCTTATACGGTCGGAACAGGGTGCTGGTTTACCCGGTAGCTTCTTGCCCTGAACCGCCATGCCCTGCACCACCAACGACAACGACAAGCTGACTATATCGCTACATCCATTGCATGGGACTGCACACCATCTACCAGCACAGGCCGCCATGCAGATGTGTCAGATGGCAGAATGTCCCCATCAAAGGTGAACTTTACAGCGAGGTATAAGAAGCGGTCGAATCTGTCAGTGGACGAATTTGAGGAGTATCTGAAGCTTCCGCAAGAGGACTTTGACCTTTGCGACCCCATTCAATGGTGGGCAGGTCACCGAGCACAATTTCCGAACCTCTCTCAACTTGCGCGTGATATCCTTTCAATACCTGGTTAGTACTTACTCCATGTCCCAGGTGTCTGTACTTAGTTCTCTTCTTTGTAGGATCTGCTGTTGCTGTTGAACGAGTTTTCTCTGGTGGTCGTGACACGGTTTCACTGCGGCGCGCTAGTCTCAAGCCTGAGACTATCAGGACATTGATGCTCGTGAAGGCGAGGCTTCGTTTGGGTCGTTCATAGTTGATTTGCATTCCGTATGTACCGTACACCGCCGTATACGTCCGTATAATTCACTGTACCGTACCGTCCACTTCGTCCACCACCAATGTCATGTACGGTGTACAGGTTAGCCATATACCGTATTTATACCGTATGTATATGGCCGTCTACCGTATACGGTACGGTGTGCAGCCCTATCGTTGACTAGGGTGATAGTGAAGCAAGGTGTTACAGGCATCCGTAACACCTACAGGAGCCCCAGCTCCGCCTACACCAGCCCCCACTCTGCTAGACTCCCGACGCGGCGGAACGCCGCCTGCACTTAGAAAGACAGTGGTCTGGACCGCTGTGACCCTGCCCCTGGCGCTATGACCCCGCCCTGGCCTAGATGGCCTTGTGCCTGATCCATGGAGGCTGTACGCCTCATGGTCACCCTAGATCAAGTGCATGTATACAGCATGTCGCTTCATGAAGATCCAGAGCGCCCTTGGCGCCTCATGTACCCTATCTGACCTCATGTCTTGTTATCATAGATCCTAGATATACTATAGATTACAGACTGAGCTAGAATACCTATATGTAGCACATATAAGTAGACAGATTATTGTACTTAGACTTTACTTTAATCTACTAGGTTCATCCCAGAACTTGTTCAGCTAAGCCTCCCAGCTCAGCTGCCTAAGACCGCACTTCTAAGTCGCTCCCCGCTTCTTAGCCGTATCCGCTAGGCCCTGTATCTCGACAAGCGCCATCTTACTGAGATTACCGGAGGAACCCTTGATGTTCCATCAAGCCAAGAACCACCCTCAGCTTCAGTAGGCTCACTCGAGCCGTCGCTGAGAAGACCTATCCTAGTTCGCACACGCTGACCGACGTCAGCGTAACACAAGGCCTTCAGGGAGCGGTATCCTGAAATCACAATGAAAGTGAGCATGTGAATGACTCAACAGGTTACAGATGAAGTATTTACAGAAGGAGAGAAGTGGAAGGAAGCCATCAAACATAGATGAACAAAGTTTAGTGCTCACTGTTCGGCATCTTCCGCATCAATCCCTGTTCTCGAAGCATGTCTTAGTCGAGTGCGCACAATATTAACTCACATCAGACCACTTTTTGACCATTTTTGACCAGTCATTTCAAGTGAGAATTATAAAGGCTTCAGATTCAGAAGTCATGGACTCGAGTCACTTCAGCATCAACCTTTCTTCTGTTTCCACTCGTCATCGGAAAGTGTCCTTAGACTCTAGGGTATCATGGATCCTCGTCCAAGGGTAATCTGTCTTCCAAACACCATGACCAACTGGCCCTGGCCCCGTGCGATGAATCCTCATTATGAAGTTGTGAAAGCTGAAGTCGATGCTTCGTTTCGTGAATTCAAGGCTCTGAGTGCCGAGTCACAGGAAGCATACGACAAATGTGATTCTGGTTCGGCCTCTGTTTCTACTTGCCCATAACTCTTTAATGGTTGACAGCGGACAACTGCTGCTTTTGTAGCCCGTTTAGCAGGACTGGGTTATCCCAATGCATCAAGAGGTTCGTCCCTGACCCTAGCTTGGATTCTCGTGAATCGCACACCTCTAATTCTGTTCTGGCCATATAGAACACCTTCGAATCGCCTGCGAGCTCATCAATGTTTTCCTCATCGTGGACGAGTACACCGACGTTGAAAATGCAGCAGTTGCCGAGGCAATGGTGGGCATCGTCATCGATGCCCTACACAATCCTCACAAGACGCGACCAGAAGGCGAGTGCATCCTCGGAGAAATCATACGACAGCAAGTATCTTCAAATTGTCTGATCATGCATTCTGAAGTCCAAAGAAATTTTGCGTAGATTTTGGGCTCGTGCGATTCAGACCGCAAGCCTACCTTTTCAACGTCACTTCCTTGACAGCTATACCGCATACCTTCGTGCAGTGATTGTCGAGGCTCTCGACCGCGATAAGGCTCATTGCCGTAGTATCGGTGATTACATCAAGCTTCGGCGGGATACATGTGCTGCAAAACCTGCTATCGCAATATATGAAATGGAAATGGATCTTCCCGATGAGGTGTTTTATCATCCCGTCATTGTCGAACTGGTCGAATGCATTGCAGAGTTGATGTTGATTGACAATGTAAATCCGCATCGAAGACGTGATCTGCAACCGCTAACAGCATTTACAGGATATGATCTCGTACAATAGAGAGCAAGCGACAGGGGATGAAAACCATAACTTGATCACTACTGTTATGGTGGAACTTGGCCTCGACAGAAGCGGTGCGATGGTCTGGGCAGCACGCTATCACACCGAAGTCGAGAAAAGGTTCACCGATGGTCTTGCCAAGGTACCTTCGTGGGGACCTTCTACCGACGTTCTAGTCAAGGAGTATCTTGATGGGATGGCAACATGGGCTCGAGCAAACCATTCTTGGAGTTACGAAACTCAAAGGTCTCAGGAATTTCCAATTGGATAAACGATTACTTACCCTGATTGAAACTGCAGATACTTGGGTACAAGGGGCCCAGAGATACTGCGAACTGGTCTTGTCCAATTATTGCCCAAGGTCAACTGCAAAGCCTCATCCGCGGGAGCAAAGGTCAATGTGGCTGATTTATCCATGATGGATGCCACAGCAGACCGTAAGCATCTAGAAGTTCCAGACCAACCCAACTCGTAACTCGTGTGTTCCACAAGCGCCGGGCACACCGTCGCCCTAGGTGATAAGTGTAATATAATCCACATCTGTTCAGAAGAACGGGCATAGACCGCAGATAATGTTGCAGCGAACATGAAATTTATCTTCAGGTGTGGGGCCCCTCTCGCAGAGTTCGCAGCTCGTTTTCCATGCATGTACCTCACGTTTCGTGGATTGATTGTTCAAGCTCGTCAGATGCACAGTAGTTTACAGCGGCGATATCATGAATACAACATCTCTTTCTACTAGTTGTGGACTTGATACGGACACAGAAGCAGGGTGTAATGTGGTCAGGCCGCTCGCGCATGATCGTTACACCAAAAGGTGAAATACTGAAAGCTTGGCTTTCAGCATCAGCGACGGTATATATAGAACTCAGGTAAGCCAGCGTGCTTACACAGGGGCGATCTACTGTAAGCTCTCCTTTTATATGCTGCCAATCTCGGGTTACCACCAGCGCACAGTGATGACGGCTCGCTTGATGTGGACAGTGTATGTATGTAGTTGGTAGTACTAGAGATATCGGCCTACGTATTTCTGGTCAGCGATTTAGCTACAAAGAAGGTACAGAATGCCATCCAAGCCAATAAATAATACATAAATGTATCAGGGACCAGTACATGTGTACAACAAAAATGGTCCGTATGTTTGATTGATGTAACAAATTGTGACGACCATAAGTCCAGAGTGAAAAGTTCTTGGATCAAGCCTCCAGTTCAGTAAACACTATGATATATGTATGCGGGCTTCATGGAAGTAACGCCAGTAACCAGGAAGCAGATGTGCAACAGAAAACCAAAGCTTCGGAAAGTACTTAGTCAGGCCGAAGTTACACAGATGAGAGTATAACTCACACTATATAGCTGACACGACAGACGGTCCGCCTGAGTTGTCTTGCATACCATGAATCGTAATCCGACAAGTCCCGAATACAATACGAATGCGACACTACAGTATGCATCCATCCTCCAGACCTGAGTAAGACAAATCGACCACATCGGAAGTCCTACAAACATGGACACACGAGCTGGAGAAGGATGTGCGATCGGCAGCGTTCGTCTGCCTATGGAGCGATCTCCTTCCTGGTCTTTGAAGTCCTGCGCTTGGAGCGTGGTGGCGAACATAGCGATGCTAAGCAGCACAGCTAAGAGAGCATTCGGCTCTAGCTGTGACATATCTCGACCTGGTTGTGATAGTCAGTAGGTGTTTTCTTATTTGATGTCAGCTACATACCTGCAATGAGGGTGGCCCCAGCCTGGAAGCAAGCATATCCCAAGCCGGTCATCAAGTTTTTTGAAAACCAATGACTATGGGCTTTGAATTCATTGTACCAAAGAGTGAGCAGAGTTATCGCTAGGCTTGCACTGAGCACTTGGATGCTGTAGAATGCTGATGATACCAAGCATATGGGGACCAAGGACCAGCGTAGATAGACCGCATCTCGTAAACTGATGTATCCCGCTGGTATTGGTCGGCTAGCTTTGTTCCTACCATCTTCTGCTGGATCAATCACTTGATTGGCAACATTGAAATGAAGGAGGTGAAGCCAAATCCACCAGACCACATGAACACATCGGTAAGGGCTGTAGAGGGGGGCTGACACCAGTGCGAAAAGTGTCTGCGTCTATGATCTCAGAACAGAAAGTTACTGGGAAACGCTATTGTTTACCGTTGGAATGATCGTCGTCAGAATGTCATTGTGCGTGAAGAGATAGAGTGTAAATAGGGATTTTGAGATGGCTCGTCCAAAATCAAGGGCGCTCATGAGTGTGGAGATTGTAGCACATATCCTGTATCCTTAATAAATGTTGACCAGAAGAAGCAGAACCGAAATTAGATGTTTGAGCCTCATCAGAGACACCGTGCGAAAGCACGGAAGGGGTCGAGGAAGAGCTCGGTTGGGCATCCTGAATAGGACGGGAAGAACGATCTTGTTAGACAGGGTGGGTGTTCTCGGGGGACCTACGAGATAACTGTCAGCTCGGAGAATTGTTCCTACAGGATAGAGAGTCGAGATGCGAAGTGGTGCGGATGGGCGGTCCGAGCGGTAAAGAGGAAATAGGACTACGCATACCAGTACAGATGTTCTCCGAGTCCCGTAGCCTCGTAGTGGTTCAGGAACACCTCGATAAAATACGTCAACGATTGCCCAAGGGTATGGTGAACAGGCAGCGCGTTAGATGATGTGCGAGAAGCAGGTTCCACGCTGATTGCCACAGAATTTATGGTACATGGGATGCCGCCAGCCGGATCACATCAGAACATGTGGCTGTGGTCCTGGTACAACATACACAAAGTAGTATTGTAGTATACGGTCGCACAGTTGCTCGAATTTGAAATTATGCCAGCTGTCGACGGTCGTCAACTTGACCGTGGATTTCATACACGGCAGCACGCACCAACTCCACTTTGCGAGCCGGTGATACGGATCGCTCCGATGGGGTGTCCTAGCGACGGAGTAAAAGTAGTTATTAAACAGTCAGCTTGTATAAGGTAAATGCTTTGCAAACATACCCCTTTTTAACCGATATTAGCGGAGGACTTAGGCGCCTCCACCGATAATAACATGGAGATACGGCTCAAGCGCTCTTCAATCGCTGTCAAATCAGACATCATAGCGGCGTGTCTATGTTCCAGCGATTCAAAAGTGTTATCGTCGCTTTGCAGATTACTGCTTGCCGTAAATGTAGCAGAGGGGAGGTTTAACAAACGAGTAGAATAGGATCCGGATATTGTGGGCGTCACGCTTCTTCGGCTGAGTATAGACATTGCAGAACCGGGGCGTGGACTGGGGCTGGGACTTGGTGGTCCATCCGACTCGGTTTCCTCTGCTCCCTCAGATGCCGAAGCAGCCACCACGGCTGGGAAATCATCCGAGTCATAAGTTTTGTCAGTAACAACGGGCCGAAGACAAAAGCGCAGCTCTTTTCGAACGGTGTTTGAGAAACTTCGGCTAGAGGACTGTATCAAGCGCGGCTTGCGACCACTGGCGAGGACTTTCTTCCTGGCACTCATTCCGATGCATTCCACGAGTTGCTTCATGGCTTCACGATCTGAAACAGCGCGCCGCTGAGCTGTACGCCGAATAGTGCCTGTGCGGGGAAGGGTGTGGAATGCTGATAAACTATGGGGACGAATAGGTGTTGCAAAAGCGGTGGCAGTGCTGGAAGCTTTGAGCAATTGACGAGGGCTATAGTTCCCGGAAGTGGCCTGTAAAGGTTGAGGAGTGGCCAATCTGCCTGTCTCGTATTTTCGAGATGAATTGGTTGGCAGAAGGTATGCATCCTCAGTAGGACCCCACGAAAATCCGATGAAGGCCGACTCGGCTCGTGGAGATATGTGATGAGACGTGTCCTGCAAAATTGATATTCCAAGCGAAGTGTTCGGGGAAGAATGAAATAAAGCAGAAAACGCAAACGGCTGTGAATTTTCTTCATCCGTGGGATCAGGGGGTTCGGGTACTGCTGATGCAGAATATGTGAATTGCGGCACATGGATATCAGACGGTGCAAGGCCTACGCAAGAAAGAATGGATATAAGAAGAACTATTGATACTCAAGACTCACGCGAATCTACACAAGACCAGTCGGTGTTTCCGAAAAACTGGTGCTCTGTTATTTCCAGCACGCTACATCTCCCGAGACGATGGTGCCGATCAGTGAGAAATCTGTATCCACGTGGTTTGAATGATAGTAGCATGAATAGTTTCACAACAGACCTGCGAAGTAACTCCTGTAGTTGTTTAGAAACGGGAATCGCTGCATTGAAGCGCAAGCTTGTCTGTCCAAATGAAGGGTCAAAGTAGGTACTAGCGAGCTTAGTAATACTGCAGTACCTGATAGTCCAAAATCCTCAGATAAGTAGTTCGGATGTCTTTAGCGAAGAAAGGGGCCACTCCATAAGCCAATTCATACAACATTGCGCCGAGGCTCCACCAATCGACTTCAGAGCCATATGAACCAACTTCTTCGGAGAATGAAGGAGAAACATTGTCGTCCGACAACTCCAACGCAAGGAGGGCATCTTCGTGTGCTTGCAGAACCTCAGGAGAAATGTAATCACAAGTACCACAAGGAACAAGGGTATATTGTTTCGGGACCGACTGGCTCCCGTCAGGCTCTGGAGGTGAAAGTGGCGCAGCAGACCCGAAATCTATTAGAAGCATGTGATTTCTTGCTGTGAGAACGAAGTTCTGTGGTTTGATATCACTGCATTGCGTTTATATGAGTACGCAATGCTAGAGGGTGGTTCTCACCGATGTACAAAACCCTGGGAATGACACCAGTTGATGGCGCAGACTGCTTGAGGAGCCCACCAAAGTAAGTCTGCCTCAGGAACTCTACCTTCAGGGTTCGACTCAAGCACGTCCCATAATGTACCTCCTTCGGCATAATCCATGACAATATTGAGATGAGTGGAGGTTTGGAATGCACAAAATAAGTGCGGAGCCCACGCAGAGCGCTCACGTTTTGCACGTAAAAGAATGTCCCTTTCCAACTGTGGAGAACATTGCTGCAGAATTTTTCAGCATGAAAAGTCGCCGATAACAAAAAAGTGCTACTTCACGAGTCCGCTGGGCAAAATGTTTCTCAATAGATTTGCGAACATATACGCGACCATTTAGATGGCACGTCACGACGTCAATCTGAACAGACAAATCAGCGTATACGTAACATATGTTCTTTACGGACCTACCGTCCCGAATTGGCCTTGGTCCAGTGTGCCCAGGACGACAAGATCTCCGTCTGAGAAACGGAGAGATTCTATCTCTGCAGTTCTCGCTATTTCAGCGGAGGTTGTGAGTAAAAGACCGCCAGAATGCATCTGGCTCTTACCAGTCCTTCCTATGATCCGCTGACCATGCAAAATGCGATCCAAGGCAAGGCCTTCTTCATCATCATCCGAGCTATTGAGTAATGAACCCAACAATGTTTTCCGTTTTGTCCAGGGTAGAGACATGCATTAGGTCAAAAATGAAAAAGATGACGTTTCTGGCTCCTATAGCTACAGAGTGAAGGAGATGATTACAGGAAGCTACAGACTAGTCGTTATCTAAGTCTAAAGGTTGTGTTGAGTGTGTTGCTAGACAATCAATAATATTTTGGGCTCGGCTTTTTGCGTGATGAACGTTAACTCGTCCACAACATCAACAACAACGTCCATATTACTGACAACTGGCAACCATATTTTACCATGAAGCTTGCAAGGTGAATATTACGCTTGTTTCTATGATATTAGACTAACCCCGAAAGTTTTCTCTATTCGAGCATTGCAAGGTTCGGGCGCTGACCCCAAGTTGTTTTCATCAGATTCTTGATGAAACTCAACAATGAGACGGTGACTATCGAGCTCAAGAATGGGTCACTAGTCCATGGAACAATCACCGGTTCGTCTAATCGGCTCGTTTACTCAAGCCTTACAACCCTCAAATTATTCGCAGGTGTCGACATGCAGATGAATACCCACCTCAAAACTGTCAAAATGACAGCCCGTAATCGGGACCCGACATCCCTAGACTCCCTATCTATTCGTGGCAACAACGTCCGGTATTTTGTGCTCCCTGATGCACTTCCTCTAGATACCCTCTTAGTGGATGATGCGCCGAAGCCGAAAGGTAGGAAGAAGGACGAGGGGCGCGAAAGGGGAAGGGGACGAGCTCGAGGGATGGACCGTGGGCGTGGTAGGGGAAGAGAACGAGGAAGAGGAAGAGGTTTCTGATGGTATGGTCAAATACCATTATCATCGGAGGATGAAGAGCTCGCATAGGATGCACCACTCAGCGGATATAAATCCCTCTATGTAAATCTAAATGCTCCAACATCTGGTCCTTCTGAAAAGTGGGCGCTGCATTTAGTAAGACAGCCGTGTATTGAGGTGAACATTTGGGAGCATAAACGGCATTATCAAACAATGTGTTTTCCCAAGGGACCTTGTTGGCGTTCAGAGTCAGAGTCATTCACCCAAGCCATCAGTGTTGTAGTGGTGACAAAGGTTTTTGCTTCGAATCCCCTCTGTCGACATCTCGCTCGGGGAAGAGCACAACATACCTTTTCCAGGAATTCAACATGTGTCAGTCCTTACTCAAGAATCTACGGAGCCTGCTAGAGACTTGGAGGGATACTAGCACATGTGGGTCAGATCCGCAGGATTCAGCGTTCCGTCCTTATATATGTTAGACTAGTTATATGCTGGGTTGTATGCGCAAACTAAAATCAAACCACACCACGTCTGCAACGAGCTTGTCATATCACAAGACTCCGGTTGGAGCTGAGTAAAACACAGCCAACAAAAAAGCTCGTGAAGGTAGAAAATAACAAGGGATTTGACCAAGAGTTTCGCACCTAAACCTGCAGCTACTCTATCGTGCCCACACCTTCCCCTGATAATCTAGTAAAATTGGCACAAAGTTCCAGAGGCTGAAGTTGGGCCAATAGGTATTTACCATGTGGACTGCATGTTTTCGCAGTACTGTGGGAGATACAAATGGGTTTGGTGAGGACAATACTTCGGATGTGTATATGACTGCCATGTTCGCCAACAAAAGAATATCTGCTTTGAAATGGGAGATGGAAGACAGGGAAGGAACAGAGACACACCTGCCACTGCAGAAAACCGCTCAATCGCTTCACGCCACTCGTGCGAATGAAAATGTCGAGCGGCGGACTGCTCCAAAGCGAAGTAATAAGGTTTTTCTCGATAATCTGTTCTGTGCTCAATCTGCGTGTATTGGTTGGCATAAAACATGACGGAGAAGTCGCACATTGAAACAACGGTCAAGGAAAGATCTGTGCTCACAAAGAACCAAAGTTCTCTCTATCAAGGGCCTGCTACACGACGGATTGTACATGTCATCCCATGCCACGAGGCGTGTGGTGCGCAGACATTTTATAAAGTTGCTCTGTTGGAGTGTGTTCAGGATGGAAGGCGAGGGTAGAAATAACATACTTGTTATTCTGGCGCGTCATTTCCCTCTGCTTTATCAATTGCAACTTGAACATGCACAGGTAGCAGCTCACGATGGCTAACGGACAGACCTAAGAGAGCACTGAAGAGTAATTGCAGGCAATCCCATCAGGCGAGTGAGCACTTTAAACGCAATGTATTTCAAATAAGATCTCACCGATCCTGTGCAGTCTTTACGAGCCTCTCTTCTGCTAGTGCAGACCTCGTCGGGTGGACCTGGTCTATTGAAGTTTTCGATCGCAAAGGCGTGGACCATGACACAGCGTGTGCCAAAACCTATACATACATCTAATATTTGTAGTCCATGTCAGGAGATCTCCACGACTGAAACAGAATCAAGGGATGTACCTGCGTAAGTGTATGGAACCCGTCTGAATGATCCTCGACTGCGCGGCAGCCAGGTGCAAAGGGGCGATTTCGAAGGCCACACGTGACGTGAAATAGTGCGCACAGAAAGAACAATGGAGGGGTAGAATCATGAGTTGGGCCGTGATAACTTGAAAGGCGAGTAAGGAGAACGTTTGTCCTGTCTGTCCAGCCAAGGATCCCGGGTAGACTGGTAACCAGGCCCCTCATAAATAGAGGGGCTGGTCACCAGTCTAAGGAAGTGCTACCAGAGGTCTTCTCTGAGTTACATTCCACCACAACTCTCATGCAAGCCAAGGCGGCTGGTGGCAACACTAGTAGAGCGAACGTGGCTGCACAGTGCAGAAGGTAATAAATGAGCACAGCCACATACATTCAATTTCGGCGTCACGGGCCCACGGCCACTGTCAGTTGTTTCAGTTCCCTCTCGACTTTCTCTAGATCTTCGTCGTCGTCGTCTTACGCGATGACAAGCACACACAATTTTCATACATCAACCACGCCTGACAAGCGACACGTTTTACTTTTGAATGTTGACGACATAGACGCTGTCCAACCTGATGTCAAGGAGCAACCTACTCACCCTGCCCACCCTGCCCACTCACACAAACGCTTGCGTTTTGCTGAATTCAGTGTCCTCCTCTCGCTTATTATCACTACTACCATATTTGAATTCTGGCCCCGTACTCGACACGACACGAGTACTGGAAGGGATTCATTGTACTCAAATGGAACACACGAGTTCAAGAAGACTGTGCTTATGGTTTCGATCGATGGTCTTCGTGCGGATTATTTAGATCGTGGACTCACGCCGCATTTGTTAGATATCAGCCGGGAAGGTGTGAGGGCAAAGTACATGCAACCTGTTTTCCCCGTGCGTATTCCCTTTCAGTCATTTGCTCTAGTCCTAAACATTTCCCTCTCTGCAGACTCTGACGTTCCCGTGAGTCATAATTTGTTAAAATAATTGATACATCCGAATGGGGTTTGTTCCAGAAATCACTGGTCACTGATGTAAATATCACTCGTACATTGCTCGACATGAGCTCATAATCTAGGACTGGCCTCTACGCCGAGTCACACGGCATCATTGCGAACGTTCGTTCTTCATCACTTTCTTCAACTGTCTGGCATTCTCACATCGGCTATGTAGAACTTTTGGGATCCCGTTTTCCGAGACACATTCCATTTCGATCGTGTTGAATCCGCGCAGAACCCGAGCTGGTGGCTCGGCGAACCTGTCAGTACTCGCTGGTTTTTTTGTATGCGTGCCTAATGCGCCTCTTTTCACTTCTTGTTACTTTACACGTTCATCTGGTCATCTGACTGACACATATATCGGTCTCTCTATCCTCTGCACTTGTTATCCTTCGTACAACTTAGATGTGGGAAACCGCAGAACGTGCAGGTATCATCACCGCAAACCTCATGTGGTCAGTTTTTTTTTCTGATCATAATTTGCTCTTTATTCATTTGACCAGGCCTGGTCCTTGGTCTACATCCTCGGGTGTGAACTCCACATATTTTCTACCTTGGGAAGTAAGAGTTGGTCTTAAACTCGCAAGGAATGTAGTGTGATTAACACAGGAGCGCAGGATAACTACGCTCTCGAGAAGAAACTTTCCAATCTCCTAGAATGGATTGACCTCCCGCTGGAAGAGCGGCCGCAGCTTATTCTTGGTGTGTTCTTGTATCTGATTCTTCCTCTGCTTCTAGACGAAATGTCTGTAAACTTCTTTTGCTCTAATCAGGGCGGGTGTTATTTCTTCTGCTTGTCGTTTCGTCCTCTTTAATTTCACGATTTTCCTTTGTGGCACTGACGTTGTTTCATAGGGTACGAACCGTCGCTAGACCATGCTGGACATACAACAGGGCCGATGTCTAAGGCCGTTAATGTAAGCATTGTATTAATTCCACTGGTTGGTGTGCCTAACTTTGTTTTTCGAACTTGCTACTTACTACAGATGAGTCTTGCAGCTATCGATCTTTTCGCTCGGAACCTAACCCAAGCACTAGGCGAGCGCAACCTCACGCATATCGTTGATATCATCTTCGTCAGTGACCATGGGATGGCGGACATGAGCCACCCAACTTGGATATATGTTGACGAGATTGTTGGTGAGCTATGGAAAGGTGTTACCAAGATGGATGGTAAGTGATTTCAGTGTATAGTCTGCTACTTATCGGAATGTTCTAGACTGAGTGGCGGATTGCTTACCCTTCGCTATTCAGGTTGGCCATCTATGGGCTTACGCTTCGCTCCTGGCACGAACGTGACTGATGCCCTTGAGCGTCTGTGCGAGTACACACTTATCCACCCGGATCAGTTCGATGTGTTTACCACCGAGAGCTTCCCTACCGACTCTGGCACCTCCTTGGTAGACCTCAACGCATTCAACTACGGTAAGATGTCTGGATGCACAGTGGAGCCTGTGCCCGAACGATACCATTTCTCTCATAATTACCGCATCGCCCCTATGTGGATTGTACCACGCATAGGCTACGCACTGACTGACCGCATGGGTGGCGAAGGCGGAGTGCCAACTGGAGTGAGTTTACTTTAACGTATCTCATGTCGCTTGATTTCTGTACTGCAGGCCATCGAGCTAACGCATTGCGCCTTCCTAGAACCACGGCTACGACAACGAGGACCCGTTGATGCGTGCCATATTTGTCGCACACGGGCCTTTCTCGCGGGGCGCCAAGGCTTCTGTGGTCGCACGAGGAGAGGGCAATGGCACAGAAGAGTACGTGATGCCAGAGTTCCAGAATGTCGAGATTTACAACCTCGTGATGCGACTGCTGAGCCTCGACGCTACGGATATAGCTACAACCAACGGAACCGCTGGATTCTGGGATATGTTTGTCTTGCCAGACGTTTGAACTTCGTACATATTTGAAGTGGAACTGCGTCAGATGCTTCGAGAGTTATCATTACCCATCACCTTCCTGGACGTGCTACATACATATACATCATCTTACTACGCGCCATATGTATCTGACACACGTCCTCAATGTCGGACAACTAAATTTCGTTATTCTCACTGCTACGAGATCAGACAAAGTCTTCGACTGCGCACTGACTACGTGTTGTGGAGTACCAGAAGTCCTGTCTGGATATTATATAATCACGTTATGATTGAACGCATAGCCGAAAGACTCATATCATCTGCTACAACATATTCAATGTTCTCGGTACAGTACAAAACATATTCAACGAAGATATCATCAACTCGAGGACACTCCGGATCTTGCATCCAAGTCATCTGATTTGCTGTTCCACTTTGCGCCGCGATTTGTATGACACCGACAATCGTTACTCTTGCTTGTGGGATGCTAGGGTTGACTCTCCGGACGTTCGCGATGAGCATGGTGTCCTTCTCGATGTGGGCGAGTACAGGACGAAATTCCAAGATGGTGATGTCGTAGAGGTTGAAGTCATCTTAAAACTGCATGTTTGTTCGATTTATTTCCTCCAGCTTTCTCTGACAGTTCTTACCAGGCCACCGAAATATGCACTGTCCAACAGTCACGACGCCAATGGGTCCCGCATATATCAACTTATCTTGCGGCGTATGCAGTTGCTGCCATGTGCAGCCTACACGAAGAAAGCTCTCCATGATCCAAAAAGCAAAAGGAAGGCTACTGATGAGCTCGGAGGTCAGTCACCTGCTAAGAACTCGAAGATGTCGACCGAGAGCCATAACATATTTGATATGGAGCTGGAAGCTGATAATGATTAGCCTAACTCGAATACTGTTGTGAAATTTGTAGTGCTGCATCTGATTTGCGAAGTGTCTAATTGCTGTACATACTCGATTGTTTGTTGTATATCGATAAACTGTTTGCTACCAATCCATCGTCATTTCTTGAACTCCGAAGTTGAACTCGGGGACTGGCGCTTCCCAGCGCCGCTACGATATAGGACCAAAGAACCGCTCAATTTGAGTCATGTTCAGGTGAATGACCATGAACTTCACCGGTTTTCCCACGAATTGCGGTGAACAACCGTGACCTACGCGGTTTCCTTGGGTGCAGGTACATACTCGAATCTCTTTCCTCCTTCTTCGTGCTCCAAAAGGTCGAACTCGGGCGACCCGGCAAAGTTGCCCCACAACTCAGATCCAAGGTATTCGTATGTCTGGGCCGCACTTGCTGGGTCAATAAGACGCGTTTTCATTCCACGAGCAGCGGCGGCCTGGTCCGCCATTATTTGAGCCCGGCAGCACTTTTCCAAAGAGATGAAAAAGTAAAGGGAAGATTCAATCGACTCGGTGGCAACGAGGATCCCGTGGTTCTACACGATGGAGCATAATAAGCAGGTGAGAACGTTTGACTGAGCTCTTAGAGATACCTGGAGGATAACAGCCTAGTAGAATCTTGTGAGCATCGACACATGTAAATCAACGCATCTGCAAACCTTTTTCGAACCAAGAGCATTCGCTATGGCCACACCTTCCTCGGGTTCATCGACGATGCCATTGAATTCGTCATACAAAGCATGATCCTATAGGTTCATTTTCGTTGAATGGGATATCTCTTCAAAAACGGATGAATGCGAGATTACCTTATAAAATGCACAGCTGTCCTGAGTAAGGGGATCAAGGGGTATCCCAAGAGTGCCGAATGCCCCAGCATACGTAGTATGCGAATGCGCAATGCAGACAACATCCGGGCGAGCTTGATGAATCGCTGAATGGATCAGGAACGCCACCCCGTTGAGCCACCGGGAAGGTCCAGATTCATTTTCCTGTATCTTCCCTGCTTGGTCCACGAGAATGAGGTCCTCAGGCTGCATGAACTTGAAATGAACACCCTGTGGCCCAGTAACTGGTGAGTAACATGATTTCACTATTTTGACAGGATATCAATCACCCAGGGGTTGAACCAGTAACAGTCTTTTCTGATCGGGTCCTTTTGACGAAGTGATTAGAAATGTCACGCGCAGCATCATATGAGCGTTACTCTTACCTGGACAGTAATATGTCCAGCGACCCCTTCATCGAAACCGTACTTTCCTGCTTTGGCATGAATACGACGAGCGCTTCTTGTTACAAATAGAGCTCACCAAAGATACGATATGCTTGAGCCAAGCGGAATTTCAGGAACGCTCGATGTTCGAGTGGGTCAGAAAACGTGGGAGGAACCGGTACGGTTTTTTTCCAAAGTTCAAACTTGCTCAATGGTGCAGCCATAGTAGTAGATGTGCGATTTGAAACGGAGGAGTTCTAGTACTTATACTGACCCTGCCAACGAGCGCTTACAGGCTTCTCCGTCGTCGTTCTCACAAAATATCCGACTTGCTCAGGACAAAGCAAATACTAGTCAGCACTAGGCTCGTAATCACGGCCCAGCTGTGATCACAAGCTAGCTTATCGCACTTAAGACATGCAACGTGATCTCCTCGGGCTGTCGGCGGACCAGATAGAAGAAAGTTAGTCAACTCGTCTCTTCTGCATGACACTTCTATCTGACATTATCATCAGAGAACTAGTAAACCGATGAGAAAGTTGTTTAAAAGTCATAGCCAAAGTAGAGCATCGCCACAATCTTCGTACATCTGCTGACTGCTTTCACATGGGAATATTTCGGCTTACCAAGGAATAGACGAATGTACAAGCACATCAGTAAACCAGAAATGTCCCACAGACCTGACTTAGAGTCCCACAGCTGCGACAGCTCATCCAGCCGCGCAGTTATCTCACAGTCTTGGCACCGCCCTAATAGAAGCCTCGCCGGAGGTACATTCCCGACTCTATTTTTGTCTTTCCAAGCTTCTGACTTCCATCACCTTCATCAGCTTCGACTCGGATGGCCAGCGCTATTATGTCCTGTGTTTCGCGAGCTCGACATACTTACCATGGACATCGTACTCTACTCTAAGTCAAGGAGGCACTCAGAAAGGCTTAATGTAACAGTGTATAGTGCGTTAAGCACAATATTTTGTCACTAACATTCCTGTAGTCTCTCAATCGAAAATTAACTTGAAGCAACGTTTACGGTTAGGGTTATGATTATGTAAGGTGCTTATTGTCATCAATCAACTGTACAGTTTTTTCGAAAGCGTTCCCATGCATCGTGCCTGGGGCCCGCGGGGATTTGGATCCTACTTCGTGTGAAAAATTGACGTCATGGTCCTTTCAGCACAGTCGGCATTCAAGACTCGTTGGCCGGACGAAAATCGGGCAGCGCCGGCCAAGACGAGTTATGTCGGGGAGTACACGAAAACACTAAACAAAAAAAAGTGTCAGGTAACACCAAGTGCCAAACCGGTGAGACTCGGATATTAGTCGATATTGTAAGCCCGATGCTTCTTTCCTCTGCATAAACCACGCAGAACTTGAGCTTCTCGATATCGATGTGGCCGGCCGCGCTGTTCCTAGTAGAGGGTTGATGGTCCCGACGTTATCTGGACGGAGGGGCGGTATCATGGTGCTTGGCATTGAAGTTCCAGACCCAGAAGGTGCCAGCGACGGTGAAGGTGTATGAGTTGCCTGAAAGAACATATTCCGTAGACCTCGCATGCGCACCCGCACTAGCATTCGTTGGTGTCGGAAGAAAGTTGCCTTGAGCTACGATCCAAAAGTCCGTGCTGTAGATAATCATATCATAGTATCGGTGCATTCGTAAGGTAACGCAGAGTGCTAAGTGTGGGGAGATGAGCGTCCTCATCGCACCTGATCATACATACATACAAACTCGAGACATCATGCAGTTGCCTAGGTATATCCAACTGACAAGACTTGGCTCCAGGGCTCACGTTTGTTGAGTATCTGGCACGAGTCCTCAATATCTGACAGTGTTAGACAACTAAATTCCTTCATTCTCACTACTACGAGATCAGAGAAAGTCTTCGACTGCATGACTACATCATTGTATACCTTCAACCTAACTGGATTCATGGACAGAGCGCAAACATTCGCGCACTTAGCCAAGTAGAGGTAAGGGCTACACCATCTTTCCTTGCATCTGTTATAAGCAAGGTAGGCTGGAGCGTCAAATTTCGCTCACTGTGAATACCTATGCCGTGTTTTAGAGAATCAAAGATTAGCAGAGATATTTCTGGACGCTTCAGGACTTCATATTGGTAAATAGGTGAGCTAGACGGTCTCCTAGGGTGTAGGAACATACTCGAATCTCTTTCCTTCCTCGTGCTCCAAGAGCTGAAACTCGGGAATCCCATTAAACCAGCCCCCCATCTCAGATCCAAGGCGTTCGCATGTCTGGGTCGCACTTGCTGGGTCAATAAGACGCGGTTTCAGTCCACGAGCAGCGGCGGCCTGGTCCACTACCATTTGGACCTTGCAGCACTTTTCCAACGAGATGAAAAAGAAAACGGTAGATTCAATCGACTTGGTGGCAACGAGAATCCCGTGGTTCTGCACAATGGAGCATGATAAGGTGAGAACGTTTGACTGAGCTCTTAGAGATACCTGGAGGATAACAGCCTAGTAGAATCTTGTGAGCATCGACACATGTAAATCAACGCATCTGCAAACCTTTTTCGAACCCAGAGCATTGGCTATAGCCAGACCTTCCTCGGGGTCATCGACGATGCCGCGAAATTCGCTATACAGAGCATGATCCTATAGATTCATTTCATTAAACGGTATATCTCTTTAAGAATGGATGGATGTGATATTACCTCATAAAACGCACAGCTGTCCTGAGTAAGGGGATCAAGGGGTATCCCAAGAGCGCTAAACGCCTTAGCATACGTAGTGTGCGAATGCGCAGCGCAGATAGCATCCGGACGAGCTTCATGAACCGCTGAATGGATCATGTACGCGGCCCGATTGAGGAACCGGGAAGGTCCAGATTCATTTTCTTGTATCTTCCCTCCGTGGTCTACTAGAAGGAGATCCTCAGGCTGTATGAGCTTGAAGTGAACGCCCTGTCGCAATTTGGTGAATTGTGATCTATATATTGGACACGATAATTAATCACCCAGGGGTTGACCCAGTAACAATCTGGTCTGATCGGGTCCTTTCGATAAAAGCAATTAGGACTGGCACGCACACTGATATAAGCGTCACTCTTACCCGGACAGTGATATGTCCAGCGACGCCTTCATCATAACCGTACTTTCCTGAATTGACATGATAACGATGGGTACTTCTCGTTCCGATTAAAATAAGTGAAGCTCACCAAAGATACGATATGCTTGAGCCAAGCGGAATTTCAGGAACGCCCGATGTTCGAGCGGGTCAGAAAACGTGGGAGCAATCGGTCTGCTACTTTTCCAAAGTTCAAACTTGCTCAATGGTGCGGCCATAGTAGTAGATGTGGGATTTCAAACGGAGTTCTTGTACTTATATTTGACCCTGCCAGCAAGCGCTGGAGCCTGACAAGCTTCATCATCGTCATCATCATCACGAAAGATCCGACTTGCCCCAGATGAAACAAATACTAGTACGGCACTAGGCCCGTGACTAGCCTATTAGGTATTGAACACCAAGACTATAAAAGAGCCATCGTAACGCCCAATGTAACGGGAAGGACTGCAAGGGAACCAAGGCCAGACTTCTATGGCGGGAGGCTACGGCGTTCTCCATCGAGGACAGACTACGACACACGCGGGGAGGACTACCAACTACGAGCCAGGACTCCTGCTCCTGCGCCAGGACCCCTGCCACTCCAGACTCGATATGTCCAGCCAGAGCGCCCCGTTCCACCAACAACGCAGGCCACAGAATACACAATAGGCTCTGTGACAGTCACTTACAATAACAGCGCGACTCGGATATTATATCAGATGAGTCAGATCCCAGAAAATTCAAAGTACAACTTCGTGCCAATATACTAGTACATGATATTACACCTCATTGGTAGATATTGCAGACTCACTGCATGAATTCCCCATCTACTGGCGTCAGATAAAATCCGTCCTTCCATCATTCATTACTACATGTAATCTACCATCCAGAGGCATTTTGCCAGACATGAACTGAAAAACACTCGACGGCTGCAGCCATGCACACTGCAGAATGGTAAATTTAATCTTATCTTCAAAATATAGGATTGCAAATTTGTATCGACGTACATCAACGTTCTTCGTTTTATATTTATTCCATCGATGTCGTTTGATTTATATCAACCTCTATTTTGCTTGTTTTCACTGGGAAGCTTGGGCCGCCGGTTTAGGCTTTCAAATTGAAGCCCAGGCGGGCATGCGGTGACCTGTTCGGCTTATAAATTAGGCCCGGCTTCGGCTGGCCCGGGGCTTGAAGCTTGAAGCCGGGCCGGAACACCACTAACTTTGGACTCGTCAAAAAACTATGGTTGAACGATCCCCTTCTGGTCACGGTGTAGTCTCACTGTCGAACTGGATTGAGCGAGGGACGTTGCCAAAAAACACCAAACGAAAGTGAAAAAAGCAAGCGAGAACGAGCGCGTACCAGTTTCACCACATCTCCGCTGTCAAGGCTGTGTCTTGTTCTGCTCGTTTCACTTTCTGGCTTCATGCTCTCGTTCCACCCGCCGCCGCTGCATCATGCCCTCATGTCATTCGTCATTCGCTTGCTGCATTATTCATACCTGCTTATTGTATTGGGTTCTCGCCTCGCTCGCTCGCTACACTTGCTCGACGGCCTGCCCTCGCTTTCTAATGTTTGTGTGCATAGTCCTGATCTCCCATCAATTTCCTGCTGACCTCTGTCTCGTAGAGTCGCAGGTTGAGAAGTAAAATCTTAATGGCATACTACCATTTAGTCCCTGCGGTACTCTGCACTACTGTACGTGCATGCCATCATGATTCATCACCGTGTTTTTTTTCCGAAATATATCTTCAAGTTTGCGTTTACACTGGATGTATCCTAGTTTTGGGTTACTAGTCCTATTTCGATATACTATTCTGGCTGCATGGCCTCGGACTGTCATGAAATGAAATCGTGGTTAATAACAGAGTTCAATAGACCGAGATGTCATTTTCTAGCATAATCACCTCAGACCTCGCGTCACAATCTCAAGACTTACTCATATGTTCATTGAAACATCCCCATTGCCTCCCAATAATCCACCCACTGTGCCGCATCTGCCGAAGACAGCGACTTCAGTTCCTTCATCGTTGGACTGACGCATTCGGCTACGGCAGTGGTGAATAAAGTCATGCCACCCGCTTCGGAGCCCATCTCTCCGGATGCCCTAATCGCGATGTCTGATTGAGTCATGGAACGCATGAAGTTGAGAAGCTTGATGGCAGGCTGTAATCGAAGAATAGATTGGAAACGTTCGGGCCAGCTATCGAGACACGTACTATGCGTTCCATGCTCTCTTCGCCCAAGTCCTTGGCACTCGATTCGAGCTTTTCGAGCCACTCTGAGAATGGCACAAGAGGTAGCGGGGAACTTGTTACTTTACGCTCAACCAGGGCGTCCGCAATGGGCTGCATCAACGTCTTCCATGCAGTCGGTCTCGGATGCACCAGATTCACCGCGATGGGAGGTTCTTCTTCCGCGAAAGCTACATCAAGAATAGCATTTGATACGGCGTGGGGAGGGATCCAAGACACAAACTAAAACGCACATGTCACGAATCGATACCTTCGATAGTGATGGACTTACTCCTTTAGCTTCCGGAAGTGCGCCTAGACTAACACTTGATTTGACGATGATCGGTAGCCAGTTTGTCGTAGACCAAGCTCCTCGTGGGGGTCCTCCTGATATTTGTCCAACTCTGAATGATGATGCCGGTAACTTGCTGTTGACGAGAACCTTGATGGAAACAGTATTCGTAGAATCCACGCCCCCCAAAGTAGCTTGTGACTTACCCTTTCCGAAACATATTTGCTCGCGCCATAGCCAAGACCTACTGCGACCCCTGCGTCGTATTCCACTTCTTCAGGGAGTGGTCCTTTCGCTTTATCCCAACTTTGAGCAGACGAGATGGAAGATGCGAACATGAAACGCGGCTGTGGATGACGCGGGGAAGATAATGCCAAGTCTATGAGATTCCGCATTCCCCGCACATGAGTTTCGAATGACGAGAGCGCCAGGTTAAAATCGAGTCGCCAAGCGTTGTGAATGATGACAGTGACAGACGTGCAGATCTACGCTATCTTTAGTCAATTCAGTGACACTGGAAATGACACAAACCTTCTGGTATAACTCCTTATCCAGACCTAGGTGGTCATCGAATGTATCAGTTTCTACATACACTAGTTTGTCGGATTGAAGCACGGTATAATCTAAACCGCGATCTTTGAACGAGTTTTCCTGTCGTTGTTGTATGGATGCCCCCTTTGACGGGCGATTGAAGGCATATACCACAGACACGTCCTCACGCTGGAGTAGATCTGCAAGCAGGTATGAGCCAAGACCACCCGTAGACCCAGTCAGGGCAACCACATGATCGCTTTGGCTGCACCCATTGACTAGAGTGGTGTTGGTGTTTGTGACAGAGTTCCCTAATCCGACTGAATACCTCTCGATCATGTTCTCGATATCAGCCTTGACGTCGACGGTATTTGTACCATTCCGCCGCAATACTGCATTAATGACGCTTCTCGCGAGCCGGCAAATCGAAGGACTTGAAAATATGATGTTCTGGTCAATCCGCGATGCTGATTCCTGAAGGTCACGATCTGAAGACGAGCGGAGAGAGCTGATAATGCGGTTTTTGAGAAATGTCGCAGAGAGACTAGATGTACGGAGTAAGCAGAGCACTACCATCATAGGGCTTCGCCCCAAAGGACAATAACCAAGGATTCAAAAAAAAAAAAAAAAGCAGAGCACTAGCCTTTGTCAGTCTCGACCCACCTGTCAAAGCCTTGAGTAAAAAGGTCCGCATCAGGATCAACTTCCTTGTCGGCGTTCGCAGCGGCAGCGTGGATCTTGAGCCATCCCTCAACATCTTCCACAGTCCAGCTTGTAGGCAAAGGTACATCGATACCTGCTCTAGTGCTGCCCCCCACCTTTTCATATCTATCGCCCATGAATTCTAGTTAACAGAGCGACAAATGGGTGCTATGCTCACAGGGCATTAATCTCCTCCTCATACAGCTTGACGGTTGCTTTCTTGATGACGGTCCCTTTTGCAGCTCGAAGCATGGGCTTCTCACTGTGTGTCACAATAATCATTTCTTTGAAGATCCTACTGAAGGCAGGAGCCTCCTTATTCGCTTCCTCTATGTCCGGCCTTCAAGAACTTCTTCAGACATAACAGTAGCATGCGATCTTTCAGGGGACTTACCACACGCGGTTCCTAAACTCAGCAAGTTGCTTTTCGTCATCAACGTCAATTTCACACCCTGCTCGTGGCTCTATGAGGATCCCAACTTGATTGCGTCCACGGCCAAAGATGACGGCACCGGTTACAGAGGGGTTGGCACAAATGATATTTTCCATGGGAGCCGGTACTGTCTTCTCCCCGGACGAGAGTATCAAAACGTCGTCAATCCTTCCTACGCTGCAAGGAAAATGTCAGAGAACATGAATAACGCAAATTTCAGTCGTACATCTTCCACAAACCCTCTACGGTGGGATGCTTGATAAATACATCTGAAGTAGCATAACCCTTGACGTCCGGAAGATTCTCTACTGATACTTGATGCATCGGGGTTGTCTGCAAAAAAGTGTTTGACGCGTGTTCAAAGATCGACTCGGAGACGCACCAAAACTTGACATTCATATGTACCATCGTCCTGTAGAGCCCATCTGATCTTGGAATTGGGTCCGAATCGCACCCAGTCCCAAAACTTTTGATCGACCAAATTTCGGATAAAATGAGTGCTGGAACCAAATTCTGTAGCACCGTAGCCACAAGAAAGCTTGACCCCTGCATTCACCAGGATATTTCCTATCTTAGGTGCGAGAGGACCGCCACCATAGAACTGCATTGGCATCAACACCAGTCATTCCCTGTCACAGCATCGATAACAAACTTACAACATATTCGAGGGTCTTCAGAACATCGACAGCACTCGGTGAAAACGCCCACTGTTCCAGAAAGGCAGGCACAACTGGCAAAATGTTCGATTTCGTCTTGAGTATAGAGCCCAGGATGTTTTGCGAGTTGGGTACTACAGGAGTCGCCAAGGGATCGAGCAAGGATGTAGGCGGGTAAATAGACACACTGCTCAGGGCGGCGATAGGGGAGAGCAGCTGAAAATATACACCAAAGATATGAAATGATGGTAAAGACGCAGCACCGAGGCGAATAGGAGTGGGAAGGTTAGTGAGGTCGAAGATAGATGCTAACAGTACTCTATCTCAGCATTGTTCGCTGTGAGGATCATTTTACTGACTCACGCGATAGGCACCAGTGGATGGCAGTCAAGTTACTTATTGGAATGGGTTTTGGGAAGCCAGTGCTGCCAGAGGAGTGCAGGTAGAATAATACATCGTTCTCAGACGACGGCGGACCTAGGGAAGAGTACGGGACAATAGCCTCGTTGGGAGTACCACTAACGAGTGATGGGTACAGGTGTTTCAGCGCCGGAATTTCGTCAATCTGCAGCTGGCTCGTTTGAGTGGCAGACACAAGACCCGCTTCGACTCCGTCGATTAGGGAAGCGAGAGAGTGCCGAGTGGTGATCAAACGACGGCATCTTGTTTTCTGCATCATGCTCGTGACTGCCGCCGCTGAATTACGAGGGGACATAGGGAACGGCTTGAAAACAGTAATCAGAAACCCAATCATTCAGAAAATCTATGTACATACAACTAGTCCAGCGAAGATTATGCCCATGAATACTGTCTGATAAAGAAGAGTGTCTGAGTTCGCGATGAGGACGACCACTTCTTTGTCTGCGCCTGCAGAGGCTGGCCCAATTGCCTGGGCGGCCCGATGACAAGCTCGATAGAAGTCTGAGTGAGAAATATAGACCAGGTCATTGCTGTCAGGTTTGTCATAGACAAAGAAAGTGACATCCGAGTTATGTTGCGCATTAAATTCAACCAATTGAGGGAGGGACAGTGATTCATTGAGAGGAGGGTAATTGACACAACCTCGATGACATGAAGCGACCATGATTTGGATGATTGTAGACACTTGGGCTGACTGTTTATACGAGATATCAAGTGCACGAATGAGTGGTCATTTTCGAGCGGGATGAGAAAAACCTCATTGGAAATTACTGGGAAAGCCGCCTATATTCCTATCTGGATCTACAAACGGGTCTACATGACCGGGGGCGGCGTAGTTGATGTCGGATGGCGATCGAGGATGAGATAGTCTACTGTGGAGATAACCCACACGTTCATGTCTGCCAAAATGCCTCGTGGTTGGCATGTACTTGAGAAAACTGAAAGTGAGAAAAGCAAGCGAGAACAAGCGCGTATCGTCTCTGCACGGAGACAAGTTCAAACCCCTTTTCGGCTCGGATTCGGAAACGACCACCGTTCGAAAGTGTTCCCACACACAACCCACACATCAAGCTTGCCTGGATTTCGTGGGAAGTCGGTGAGTACACGAAAACACAAACACGAAGTCACATCAGTAAACCGGTGAGACTCAGATATTAGTCGACATTGTAAGCCCAATGCTTCTTTCCTCTACATAAACACCACGCGGAACTTGATCCAACTGACAAGACTCGGCTCCAGGGCTCACGTTCGTTGAGTATCTGGCACCAGTCCTCAATATTCAATATCGGACATTCTCACTGCTACGAGATCAGATAAAGTCTTCGACTGCATGACTGCATATATACCTTCAACCTAACTGGATTCTTGGATAGAGCGCAAACACTCGCGGACAAAATGCACTTAGTCTAAGCTGAGTAGAGGTAAGGGCTACACTATCTTTCCTTGCACCTGTTCTAAGCAAGGTAGGCTGGAGCGTCAAATTCGCTCACTGTGAATACCTATGCCGTGTTTTAGAGAATCAAAGATTGGCAGAGATATTGCTGGACGCTTCAGGACTCCGATGTATTGGTAAATAGCTGAGCTAAACGATCTCCTGTGGTGCGGGAACATACTCGAATCTCTTTTCTTCTTCGTGCTCCAAGAGCTGAAACTCTGGAATCCCATCAAACCAGCCCCCCATCTCAGATCCAAGGGATTCCCGTGTGCTAGCCGCACTTACTGGGTCAATAAGACGCGGTTTCAGTCCACGAGCGGCGGCGGCCTGGTCCACTACCATTTGGACCTTGCAGCACTTTTCCAAAGAGATGAAAAAGAAAACAGCAGATTCAATCGACTTGGTGGCAACGAGGATCCCGTGGTTCTACTCGAAAACGTTATGATAAGCAGGTGAGAACGTTCGATCGAGCTCTCAAAATACCTGGAGGATAAGAGCCTAGAATCTCGTGAGCATCGACACATGTAAATCAGCGCATCTGCAAACCTTTTTCGAACCAAGAACATTCGCTATAGCCAGACCTTCCTCACGGTCAACGACGATACCACGAAATTCACTATACAGAGCATGATCCTATGGGTTCATTTTCGTTGAATAGGATATCTCTTCAAGAACGGATGAATGCGAGATCACCTCGTAAAACGCACAGCTGTCCTGAGTAAGGGGATCAAGGGGCACTCCCAGAAGGCCGAACGCCTTAGCATACGTAGTATGCGAATGCGCAACGCAAACAACATCTGGGCGAGCTTGATGAATCGATGAATGGATCATGTACGCGGCCCGGCTGAGCCGCCGGGAAGGTCCAGATTCATTTTCTTGTATCTTCCCTCCGCGGTCCACGAGAAGGAGGCCCTCAGGCTGTATGATCTTGAAGTGAACGCCCTGTCGCAATTTGGTGAATTGTGATCTATATATTGGATATGATAATCAATCACCTTGGGGTTGACCCAGTAACAATCTTGTCTGATCGGGTCCTTTCGACAAAGTACTTAGAACTGGCACGCACAGCATCATATCAGCATCACTCTTACCCGGACAGTGATATGTCCAGCGACGCCTTCATCATAACCGTACTTTGCTGAATTGACATGATAACGATGGGTACTTGTTCCGATTCAAACAAATGGAGCTCACCAAAGATACGAAATGCTTGAGCCAAACGGAATTTCAGGAACGCCCGATGTTCGAGCGGGTCAGAAAACGTGGGAGGAACTGGTATGGTATTCCTCCCAATACTAATCTTGCTGGCGTCTTTGAATGGTGTGGCCATAGTAGCAGATGTGAAATTTCAAACGGAGTTCTTGTACTTCAAGTTATATTTGACCCTGCCAGCAAGCGCTTGCAAGCTTCTTCATCGTCATCATCATCATACCAGTACGGCACCAGGCTCGTAACTAGCCTAGGCATTGACCACTTTGTCGTAGCGTAGTGCTCTTGATCACTTCTTGCCTCGCTCGCGATACGCAGGCACACAGTCGCGGATACACCACTCCAACAGCACTCGCGGACAAAATGCACTTAGCCGAGTAGAGGTAAGGGCTGCTCTATCTTTCCTTGCACCTGTTCTAGGCAAGGTAGGCTGGAGCGTCAAATTTCGCTCACTGAATACCTATGCCATGTTTTAGTGAATCAAATATTAGCAGAGATAGTGACTGCTGGACGCTTCAGGGTTCCGTATTGTTAAACAGGTGAGCTAAACGGTCTCTTATGGTGCGGGAGCATACTCGAATCTCTTTCCTTCTTCGTGCTCCAAGAGCTGAAACTCGGGAATCCCATTAAACCAGCCCCCCTTCTCAGTTCCAAGGGATTCCCATGTCTGGGCCGCACTTGCTGGGTCAATAAGACACGGTTTCAGTCCACGAGCAGCGGCGGCCTGGTCCACTACCATTTGGACCTTGCAGCACCTTTCCATAGAGATGAAAAAGAAAACGGTAGATTCAATCGACTTGCTGGCAACGAGGATCCCGTGGTTCTACACGAAAACGTCATGATAAGCAGGTGAGAACGTCCGATCGAGCTCTCAAAAATACCTGGAGGATAAGAGCCTAGAATCTCGTGAGCATCGACACATATAAATCAACGCATCTGCAAACCTTTTTCGAACCAAGAGCATTCGCTATATTCAGACCTTCCTTGGGGTCATCGACGATGCCACGAAAATCGCTATACAGAGCATGATCCTATGGATTCATTTCCATTAAACGGTATATCTCTTTAAGAACGGATGAATGCGAGATTACCTCATAAAACGCACAGCTGTCCTGAGTAAGGGGATCAAGAGGCACCCCAAGAGCGCTGAACGCCTTAGCATACGTAGTGTGCGAATGCGCGGCGCAGACAGCATCTGGGCGAGCTTCATGAACCGCTGAATGGATCATGTACGCCGCCCGATTGAGGAACCGGGAAGGTCCAGATTCATTTTCTTGTATCTTCCCTCCGTGGTCTACTAGAAGTAGATCCTCAGGCTGTATGATCTTGAAGTGAACGCCCTGTCGCAATTTGGTGAGTGATGATTTTTATATCGGACACGATACTCAATCACCCAGGGGTTGACCCAGTAACAATCTTGTCTGATCGGGTCCTTTCGACAAAGTAATCAGAAATGCGCACATCATGTTATCAGGGTCACTCTTACCCGGACAGTGATATGTCCAGAGACGCCTTCGTCATAACCGTACTTTCCTGCATTAACACGATAACGATGGGTACTTCTTGTTCCGATTAAAACAAATGGAGCTCACCAAAGATACGATATGCTTGAGCCAAGCGAAACTTCAGGAACGCCCGATGTTCGAGCGGGTCAGAAAACGTGGGAGGAACTGGTATGGTATTCTTCCCAAGAGTAGTCTTGCTGGCATCTTTGAATGGTGCGGCCATAGTAGCAGATGTGGAATTTCAAACGGAGTTCTTGCACTTATAGTTGACCCTGCCAGCAAGCGCTTGCAAGCTTCTTCATCGTTATCGTCATCACAAAAGATCCGACTTGCCCCAGATGATCATGAGCACCAGGCCCGTGACTAGCCTAGGCATTGATCGCAATGCCAGCTGACATGTATACAATGCCAGCTGATATGCATACAACGCCAGCTGACATACATACAATGTGATCTCCTCGGGCCGACCAAATAGAATCAAGATCCATAATTGACCCGTCCTTCGCAATGAATCGCACTTCCATCTGGCATTAACCAAGTACATGAAAACACAAAATCGAAATAATAAAAAGACAAAAAAAAAGTAAACACAAACACAAACATCAAGACTAAAGAGCCATCGTAACGCCCAACAACGCAGGCCAGAAAATGAACACCACGCGGAACTTGAGTTTCTCGATATCGATGCGGCCCGCCGCGCTGTTCCTAGAGGGTTGATCGATGTTTCCGACGTCGCCTGGACGGAGGGGAGGTATCACGTTGCCTGGCGTTGGTGTTGAAGTTCCAGACTCAGAAGGTGCCAGCGACGGTGTTAACAGTGAAGGTGTGTGAGTCGCCTGAAAGAACAGATTCTGGCTTGTAGACCTCGCACTCGCACTAGCATTCGTCAGTGTCGGAAGAGAGTCGCCCTGAACCACGATCTTAAAGTCCGCGCTATAGATGACCATATCATACGGTATACTCGTGAGGTAACGCAGAGTGCTAAGCGTGGGAGCAGATGTAAGCATCCTCGTCATCGCACCCAGTCAATCATACATACAAATTCGAGCCATCATGCAGCTGCACAACACTCCTGGGTATATCCAACTGACAAGACTTGGCTCCAGGGCTCACGTTCGTAGCGAGCGTCGCGAGGTACGTCTGCACAAAACGTCAAGTCCCCCCGCAGTATCTCCAATAAAACTGGAACGCACGTCAGAATCGCAGTATAGCTGTATAGTGATGCCCCCCATGTTGTTCAGCGGCGGATACGTCCCGTCATCTATCCAGCTCGTCAGAGCGGTCTGTCCAGCGTAGTAGACGGTATTTTGGATAGGTTGAATGGGATACAAGGACGCGGAGACTGGCGTGAGGAGGGCGAGTAGCAGTACCACGACAAACATCGACACGCCGTTGAACATCCTGAACTTTTCAAGTTGATGATGGAATCTGAAACCCGGTACAGACAATAATGAAGTATATGACAGACCCGCTGATCACTGGCGGCGAAAGAATGAGGGTTCCGGGGACGAATCTGGCAATATGGACAAGTGAACGCAGCAAGAACAACACAAGTCAACCTGGCGAGAAACGCGTCACATCACGTGCCTTGATTTTACAACGATGATAAGGTATACGATTTCGATCTATCGATCGCTAGTTGGAAAAACGTAGAAGCTGAAACATAACTATGCTCGTAGATGGTGTATCTCTTAGTCTTGATCTATGAAAAAAAACACGCCACAGTATCCAGAAAGTGTACGAGGGAGCGGGATGAGAAAAAAAGGTTCTGAATAGGTGCGCGATGAAAAATGGTTCGCAATGTTAAGAGGTTCCGACCAGGTGCCCGACGAGACGAGAGAAAAAAGAAGGAAAGAAAACGTAAATGAGAACGAGAACATAGTGAAAACGTTTAGAAAAGTACCGGCACAGCCATTATTAAAAAATGCATAAGAGGAAGAGAATGATAATGAGAACGAGAAATCAAGAATCACATCACATCACACGTTCCTTCTCGCGAACCGCCCGAATCCAGATCTCACCAGGACGACTATGAAAGCAAATGAGTTCAAGAGACCCACCAGAAAAAAGAAACTTACCTCTTCTCCCTCAAAATCCTATAAACGCATCTACTCCCCTTCTCCTTCTCAATCCTCATCTTCGACGTAAGGTTATCCGCACGAGGGGGGAACACACCAGGTCCGCAGCGTGCTTGGAAATCTGCAAGACCTTCGTTCGTGCCTTCAGCTTCGACGATCACAGTCCCGTACCAGCCAGGATCGATGAAAAAGCCTGCCACGTTCGGGATCGGCAGGCGCAGGTTTTGGCTGTGCGAGTAGGCGTGCGGGTGGTGCGCAGAGACCGGAGGTCGAATCGTGAATGAAGAACGGTGCAACCAGTGGACGACGCTGTGCAGCGTGCCGTGGGGGCTATTCAAAACGATGTTAACATGTGATAGACTGGTGGAGACAAAGGACTCACGTCGCTGTCGTAGCCCTATCCTGTATCAACTGCAGGTTCGCAGCGAGTTCCTGGCCCCAAGGACGAACATCCAAATAAACGATAGGATTGCCCCCCGGATTCAAAATAGGATTAGCACCCGTCCGAATGACGCGGTGGAAATACGACGGAGAGAATGCCAGACTGTGGAAATATGGAGGCAGCTCTCCCATCGGCGAGTACTTGTAATCAAGGTCCTAGAACATGCTGTAAGCCAAACCCAACACGCGTGCGATGAAAAGAGGACTCACCACAAGATAACTCCCATCCCAAACCATCCTCCCCAAATTCCCCTCGTCGCCCACAGCAACGTCCCACACCACATCCCCAACCCTCAACATTTTCAACACACCAGCCCTCTTCAACTCAGCTTCACACTCCACTACGCTCGAATCAGATAACCACTCTCCTTCAGGGGAAGGAACGAACACCCGCAAGAGCGGCGCACGGTGGAGTCGGACCAAGGGAGATTGGAACGTACCCTTAGTCGAACTAGAAATCGAGGACGACTTGCGATGGGAATATGACGATGTCGGGGATGCCGTACCACTCGAGGGGCGCCGTGCTACTTGCCCGTCACGTGTAGCAGGCCTTGATGGCACAGGGCTGATATGTGACCTCGCAAGCGCCCTCGCTTCACTCTCAGCCTGAGCCCTCAACCGTAACACAACCCTCGTATACGCACGAGTGGTCATAGCGAGCGACAGAATATCCGGGACCGTGAACTTGGGACGATCTCCTGGGGCCGCTGGGTTGGGGATACGGGGCTGGAGATACGCATCTGCTAGTTGAGCATATTGGTGAGTGGGCATTGAGACCCCTCGCATGTAGTCATTTAGCTCCTTTGATTTGCGTTAGTACATCACACCATACAGTGTGCGGAAGGGAGACTGACCTTCAAAGACAGTGCAAGCGGCTCCGCCCACTCGAAGCTCCACCTCTTATACCCAACAGTTCCCAAAAACTGCTCGAGCACATACTCCCTCAACACCCGACTCTCAAACAGAGCCCTCACCTCCTTATTCGCCGCATACAGCGCACACCAATCACTAAACGTCAAATACTCGAGGAGATGCAGGAGAAGCGACGCATCGGCGAGATGCGAAACGATAGGGTAGAACGAAGGAGGCTTCCTAGCGAGCTCTTCTTCCAATCGTTGCTTCTCTTCAGCTTCTTCCTTCAGTCGCCTTTCTTCTGCTTCCTTCTCCATTCGTTCCTCTTCCTCTCTTTGACGCGCCTCTTCTTCCATTCGTCGCGCCTCCTCCGCTTTTCGCAGCCGGACAGCTTCCTCTTCTTGAAGAAGTTCGGCTTCCTTGTTCATCACTTCTTGCTGAACGATCACGTCAGCGACGAGAGGAGGACGCGTCTTCTCGAGCCATTGTCCTCGGCGCTGGGTCCGGGCTGATACATAGTCTTCAGGAGACTCGGGAGTTAAAGGCGATTTGGGCCTCGTCACAAGAGGTGACTTGGGCCGTGAAGGCGTCACCGGCCTCGCCGACCCCTCGTCACTTCCGCAGGACTTAACAACCTGCACCCCCTCGACCTTCTTAAACGGGTCCTCATCCAAGAACAACGCGTCCTCCGAAAACCCCTCCATCGATACTTTCTTAGATAGTAATTTGGCCGGTACCGAAGGCCCAGAAGTAGAAGAGGAAGGAGTAGGAGGACGCGACTTTGTCAACACGCGAGGCTTGAGGCTTTCTTTACTCGTCACTCGGTTGAGTTTGCGCAGTGATGGGGGGGCAGCGTCTGATGAGACTCTGATACGGCTTGGGGGTGGTCCTGCGTCTGATGATCGGCCTATTATGGCGTCTGATGAACGCCCAGGATCCTACATCCAATGAAATACGCCTCCCAGCTCCAGCCGCAGCCGGGCCCGAAGCTACAAAGCGTCCCTGTCCCTGCCCCTGTCCCTGTGCAGAAGTCGAAGGCGCATAGTGATACGCTCCGATCCCCCGCGCATCAATCCCACACGCTCTGATGTCAAAGGCACCCCCGTCGGTGCATATGTCAGAGGCACGGGTGCGCGCTCCATGGAAGGCACGGACACACCCAAAGGCACATTAACACCCCTCCCAAGGTCTAGAGTCCTATACTCCGCGGGAGGAGACGGGTAACCAAGCGTATCATGATCTGCACCACGCCGCGCTGATGATGCGGAGATGTGCGTGGCGTTCACAGAGTTGTTATGTTGGCTGATAGGTGCTTGCGGGTGTTGGCGTTGGTTGGTAATTATAGGTGCTTGTGGGCGTTGGCTTCCAGCGAGAGGTACATTTTGTTGTTGAATGATGGATGAGCGCTTGTTAGTCATTGCTGGGTTTTGATTGGGCGAGATATTTTCTCGTTGTCCGATGGGCGCTTGATCAATAGCCATAGCAGCGAAAATCAACGGACCTTTCCGGATTGGAGCGGCGCTGAGCTCTATCGAAGTTGAACGGTTCGAGTTGAGCTGAAGGGGTTGGGTGCCCTGGCGAGGGGGTATCGCGTGGTTGCTAGGGGAGCGGGCGAGTGGTGGAAGGTGCGCGATGGGGAGTAGTATTGGGGGGACGAGCGGTAGAATGGGGACGGGCAGTAGCGGTAGAAGATGACACTACTGACGACCGAGCGGTGGTAGAAGACGGCGGGGACTGCTGTCGCTTTGGAGCGAGTAGTATTAGATGATCGAGTAGCGGTCTGTGTCATAACAGTCGTAGTCGTAGTTGGCATTAAGTTTCGTTGCAAATTTTTGTCTGGCAGCACGGGGGAACGTGCAGACGGAGGGACAACAGACAACGGACGAGTCTGAGTCAAAATCTTACTAGTAGTTCGGACGGTAGTAATAGCAGCGGGTACGTTCGCGTCGGCAGGCTGACAAAATAGGTTAGTCGCTGGTGCCAATAAAAAAAAAAGGAAAATGAAAGGATATTATATTACTAGTACTCACGGAGGTGTCAAAGATCTAGAAGGGGGGCTAACCGGCTTAATAAGGTTTGCCGCCAATCTTTGTGGTTGAACCGAAGTAGATTGTGATCGACCTTGAGGGCGCGTGACGTCAAGGTGCTAAAGAAGACCAACGTGTCAACGGCATTCGAAGAACGGAGATGAAGTGGATTTGGCGCAAGGCGGGAGTAATAGACTCGTGTGTCGACACTGAGGCAGAACGTGTGGGATTTAAAAAAAACAGCTTACCTTGATAGCCGGAGCGATTGAGCTGGTGGACGTAAACGCGCTTGAAGAGGAGTGGGTGAAGCGAGTTGCATCCGTATGATTACTGCTACTGCTTGAGCTGGAGCCAGGTTTCGAAGGAGGAGGAGAGATTTGAGTTTGAGTGAAGTGAGTCTGAGAAGCCGGCGGGGGATATGAAAGGACCTGATTTGCTTGTTGCGAGGGGTGGGTTGCGAATTTTGAGGGGTGTCTGGGTGTCATAGGGGAGAGGTGATCTTGTCGTGTGGAAACAGCACGGATTGGGTGTGCGTCGGGGTCTGTGAGACGGATGGATACACGATGATATGATTAAAGAAAGGACATACCGGCGAGTTTTACTTGAGGTAATAAACCGGGACCTGTATACTTGCGGCGACCGACAGGTAATAACGGGGGCAGCTTTGGAGGTTCTGGTATCTTTACGGGCAAAGGTTGGCGGGGAGGCTCTGGTGAAGGTACCGGTGAAAGTTCTGGTGGAGGTTCTGCCAGTACTTTCCAAGGATCCCATTCATCCTGTGGGGGCATTGTACAAGAATCCAATAGAGAAGAGGAGGTCGCGAATCTAGCAAAGAGAGGTGGTAGTGAAGGAGGAGGAGAATCGACTGGAACGGGTTTTGACGGTGCCGGATGTTCTACATCAGCGTGCTTCCTAAACTTGCGCAACAAACCGGCCATTGCGAGGTGATGGAAGTACCAGTACAAGAAAAACAACGAGCGTGGTTTTAGTTAATAATAATATTAAAAGGAAAAGGTTTTTGAACGTGCCGAGTTAGAGAAACGACACAAGGAATAGGACTCATCTGAGTCACGTGATCATCCGTTTTAAATCCACAAGATCGTCAATCCAATTACCTCACTCTGTTCCGCATCTTCTCTTCCCGGTCAAGCCGGTCATTCAAGAATTAACCAGGCAAATCGGTCAACGACGTCCGACTACAAGTTAACTGTCAAATGAATGTACAACATTCTCCCGACATGGAATATAATATAAAATATTCAAATTCGTGTACTAATCACTTACGAACTCATCTCAAACTCGATCACATCATCTTCTATTCGAATATCCCATTTTAGACCGACCCTTTGACTTCTCTCGTAAGTACTGGCACTGGTATCAGGAATTCATTACCTTCACTCTCTCGATATCCGCGCCAAATCTAATCCACCTTCAGTAACAAACTTGTCTCCCCGTGTTCCTAATAAACGCTGTGCATCACCGATGGTAACAAATTCAGAAAGTGCATCATACACCGCATCCGGTCTCCTCGAGCTCCCCTGTTTCCGGGAACAGCCCACGCCCAAACATAGACGAACGACTCTACCCGTAAAGGGCGTCCCTCAATCATACCATCATGATCCAACATCAGTGAACACGAGATAGGAAACAGAAATGCCCACTGAGGAGGGGAAGCGAGCGAGTCAGAATCTGAGTCCATCACGTTGCAATCACGAGCTCTTTCTGCTATTGCTAATATTACGATCCGTACGGCGTACGGACAGCGCCAAGAATCTAATATACGAGTTTGGATTCTCTTCGCGATACACTGCGGATGCGATATCGACCCGTGAGTGAATCGACTGGTTGTTTGCTTCGGTGAGACTGCTAATAGTCAAAGCATTGCGTACCGGTCTTCCTACGATGTCATATAGCCGGAACCCCTGACGTGTTCGATAATGACGGACTCGGGTGATGTGTTTCATGCAAGGACCCGAGTAACGACTCCAATGCAGAACCTTCAAGTTGCGCCCAGGTATATATATCTAGCATCAAAGTTCAAACAAGCGTGCATCGATGCATCATTTACCAAGAGATACGCTCTTCCTCATCCCCACCATGACGCACGACTATGAAGAAACAGAACCACCACTTGCTCGAGCTTAATTAAATTAATGTTGGTATCCCCGAATAGTGCCACAATGAGTCAACAAACGCCCCGAAACCAAATTCGGAGTCGACATCGAACAAAAAGCTATGCTGATGCCGATACCAGTTGCGCCTTCCATTCTCTCTGCCTTCTCTAATAATAGTGATTCGCAGTGCCATGGTACCGGCACGTTCTTGTTCGCGTTCTAGATTGCGTTGGCGGATGGGGATGCAAGCCTTGAGGATCGGTACTAGTACATCACGGGCATCAATGCCCTGAGCTATAGTAGTATACACTAGCGTAGCCACTGGCAGTTCGCCGTGTTCGTATTCGCGAGCTCAAGTGCATGCAATGGAGCTCTATCATATTGGGTGTGGCGGCTTCGTATCAGTCTATGCCGGCATCAATCACGCCTTTTGCCGTAGGATACAGGGCAACAAGACTCTGGGATAGGCGAATCGTGTAAATGTCACGGATGACGAGCTTGGCAGTGTCATTCAAGTTTTTTGTATTCGAGTTCTCAAAAGTTGATACGCGCTAGTAAGAAGACGGAATATTTGATAATCGGTTCATGTCAGTAACCAGTAACCACGGACTGAGAGTTTGGAAGAACGGTGGTGATGGTAGACAATAAGGTAGTGCCAGTGATTCGGTCACCACGTCCGACAGTTGTTTGAGACTTTGAGTCGACTCGTGTGTAAAAGGCAAAGTCATCCTGCGACAGAAAATGTATCAATCAGCCTCGCTTTTGCTATGGCATATCCTGTCGCGATATAAAAATAGACGTTCTATCTGAACATTTACCTACAACAAACGAACATCCTGAACCAGATAAGTTCTCAGAGAACTTGGACCCTGGGCTCAACTGCCAGACCGCCAGTGAAGTTTGGCCCTGATTGGCATAAGCCTCTCATCCTAACAGATACAAACAACGCCTTCGAAAATCTATTTTCAGGTGCCTGTCACAGTGATGCCGCCATCTACTCCTCAGGAGTCGGCTTGGAAGACCCAGGATAAGATCAGATGACGGAGCTTCCTTATCGCACGGATCAAATTTCACACATCAAGCGACAACAACACAAAAGAAATACAAACGCACTTTCCAAATTCCCAGGTCCGCCGACATGCGTTCGTATCGTGACTCGAACTGCGGCTAACACAATACAAACATCTTACGTCCACCGACCTGCAAATAACATTCCCTGACACCCGTGCGCTCCGTCTTTTGCAAGGAACGTTGGACGCTGCGAAAAGGCACGCCTCGAGGACTCACGGCTGCTGATTCTCCTCCGACTTAAGCCCACTTGTATAGGTTCCAATCTACTTAAGTATGTATTGTGATTGTCCATGTGATGCGCGTAAGGGGTTTCCCTTACCTCATTCCGCACCGCGCCTCATCCTCCCGGACGCTCCACCACTCCACGTTTGGCATCACACTTGCATCATGGCGACGTCACGGCCACCCAACTATCTCCCAACAAATCGGTCAACTCAATGCGGAGAAGCCTCTGATTGAAGAAGTTTCAATCTTGGCGGATACATACCATCTTCGCTCAAGAAGTTTTATCCATCCATCAGACACGCCGACATATGTTATTTGTCAAATCGGAGGTGTCCGAAAATGATAGATATGGGCATTCTCGTCAGCGTACGCAATCATTTCCACCAATTTGACAATTTGAACAGCTTCGGAATGTAATTTAGCTATCAATGATGATTAACTGGCCCCTTCCAAGTTTTTGATCATCATTCCGGAACAACTCCAATCCCTCCGTTCCTGTTCCTCCCAAAAGGCAGTTGCCGCCATCATCATCACGAAGTAACAGTCTGATAGGAACGTTCGATAATGTATCCAAGGGCATCGATAAACCATACTCTTAAATGAAACGTCTCGCAATATGGGCTTACGACGCGATGGCGGGGTATTCGTTCATTATCGCGTTAGTGGCTGAATTACAATTACGCTATACCCAGAGACGATCAACGATCTTCGCGACGCAACAAGGGCACCTACGTACTCATCGTCAAGACGTCTTACACATCGAAGCTTCATCTCGAGCTCGATCATATGATTCCTTCCCAGGATCGATGCGCGTTTGTATCATCATCGAGCGTCTTCTGCCCGAAGAACCCTCTTTTGGATCGTTTGGGCTCAAGTTGAGCTTGGACGGTATGGCCACTTGGCGTTCTGGAACACCGGAACAACCTTCTCCGCCTTCATTAAAATGGGCCTCTTCTCTGGTGCCTAAGGTTCTGGGGCAGATCAAGGGATTGTACCTGGTCGAGTTTGGGTACTTGCTTAACGTTTATCCTGATAACCTTTCAGATCTAATGCGGACGCCGTCCTTTGTACAAGTTAGTCAGTAGTCAAACTGCGATATCCTGCTTCGCACAACAGTCTGATGAGCACGCAATCTAATCAAGTTAGACTATATTGAACAGGGGGATCGTCCTGACGAATAGGAATGCTCGAATTACTGGTTTATTGTTTCCGTTTTATTGATTGGGCTTCGATACTAACATGGGAAGTCTTATGGAGCCTAGGCTGTCGGACTTTGTTTTGATGACCTCCTTGTTCTACGGGCTCACGAGAGATATGCATATGCATCGTTATCATGTGCTCGCAAAATGCACGCTGTACCTAACCACATAGTCACCTGAACATACAGCTGCCCACCTTGGAAGACAAGGTACATTCTTCTCCATCCTCGTTGATCGCAATTGAGGTTTCTTCGGTTGATGCTTCTGCTTCGGACGAAAGTCTTATGTAGTACCTGGTCAAGTTTGGACGCTGTATATCCAAGTATTAGTTCAAACTGATAGCCTTTCAGATCGACTGCGGATGCCGTCCTATATGCAACGTTGGGATAACATAAAGAATGGAATTAATTAGCTTCGCCAGTACTTACTCGTCGATATCCCGCCTTCGCGCACGAAATCTAATCGAACTGAGGCCTCGAGGGATCATCCCGATGAATGATAATATTCCATTTAATTGCTCGTTTCTTTGATCGCTGTACACTACACTTCGATACTAATTCGCAGCCCATGCTATCGGGTCGTCTCCCATGTTCGGCATGCCCGAGAAACGTCTACGTCCATGTGCAATGTACTTCGTCACAATCACAAGCACCGACGCATACGGAACAAATGCAGAGTTACCTACCAAGGGTAACATATCATTGCATGGCTTCGATAATTCCTGGGCATCCATCGCCGTAAGTTTCTTCCAAGTTTCGGTCTCAGTCCCCCATGGCCAGGTTTGGATGCACGATGTCCAAGCGCAAGTAATGGGCTACTTATCCTAATAGCCTTTCAGATCTGTTGCGGATGTCGTTCTATATACTTGGCTGGGTTCACCTAAGGGATGTAATTAATTAGCTTTAGTGTCGATATCCCGCCTTCGCGCACGAAATCTGACTGAGCTTGATAATAGCAGAGTAATCATCACGATGAATAACCTGTTATTCATCGCTCACCTATGCACTTCGATAATAACACAAGAAGCTCTCAAGCTATCGTTCCAAGAAATTTACGCCCACGTGCATGTGCATTATCACAATCACACGACACCGCTCATATCGAAACACATGGAACAAGCACATAGTCAACTCGCTTAGAAAGGTAGGCGAACCACTACTCACAAAGAAGCCCCGTTTTTGAAACGTTCTGTATATACCATCATTTCCGGGCGCGCTGATCAGCTTACCAATGATGAAGCGGCCATCTGCATGATCACAATCCTGGGAAACAAGATAGGAAACGCGACATCGCTATGTAACTGCAAGAAGAGGAGGCATCCGAGCTTACCGCATCTTTGTGCAATCGCCATTACGATCGGTTGTATCCTCGCATGCGCATGTGGCTGATCACGCCTTCTTCTGATAATATAATAGGATTTTAGATCAAAGTTCTCTTCGCGATGCGGATAGACGTTGCGTCTTGGATCGACTCGCCGTTTATGTGGAAGAGATACCTCGATGGCATCGGGGACTCGGCCTCGTATGCGTAATGGGCGTATTGATTTGATCTGCGAGTAACGTTGCAGTTCACCGCGATCGTGATTCTAGAATTGATGATGATGGGCTTTTGAAAGCTGGGCAATGATGGTTTCATATCGAGATCGGTGTCAGCCGAGGCTTGAGCTTTGCACGTGGTGGGAAGTGGGCGGATCGTTGTATGCTTATGTGCCACGGATGCAGAACATCATTAGATGAGCGCGATGGGTGTGCTTGATGGTAGTGAGGAAGGTTCAGCAATATCGGCGTATCAGATCGCAGTAGGATGATGGGAAGCAGTCGCATGCACACTGATCGAGTGATCCCATAAACCGAGAATTTGGGAGAACGGTGACAATCTGAGAGTCCGATAGAAGGTGAGGTTACGACTCACTGGGAAACACCAATCAGCCTCTTCCATCTTCCTTTTGTGATGTATCTGTTATGATTGGTGGAAGTTTTAAGTTGCAGGTCACTTAACACCTCGGCCAATCACAAAAGATGCATATGGATGCCACCAGCCAGCTCTAGTAGTAATGATGTCGGAAAAAATATGGTTGACTTGGGTTGACCTAGCATGAGTTTGGCCCTAATTGGCAAAGGCCTCTCATCCTAACACATACAAACAACGCCTTCAAAATTTGAAAGTAAGGATCTGCCACGCCAGGCCCTCCAAATCTAGATGGCGACATCACTCGGGAAACGCAGGCAAAGAGAAGAAGACGCACAACCCTCATCACAAGCACACGGGTAAGTCAACACTTTCACATCAAACACCAAAACAACATAACATCGCGCTTCATCAGGTCCACACTATTCGTATCCAACCTCCCCTATGATGCAACATCCACCGACCTACAAACAACATTCTCAGATTTAGCACCCGTGCGATATGCTTTTGTCGTATCCAATAGTGAGACTGGGGCGTCCAAGGGTTTTGGTTATGTATCTTTTTCTATCAAGGAGGATGCGCAGACTGCTTTTGATACCGTGTCGACTGAGGGGATCAAGATCAATGGGAGGAAGCTGAGGGTCAAGTGGGCGGATAAGAAAATGGTGTGTTTTTCTGTCGTTTATTCGTAGATGGGTTTCTTATGGGTGGTATAGGACAAGGGTAAATTTGAAAGCTCGAAGGAGCGCGTTGGAAAGGAGAAGAAGCCAGAAGTGAAAAAGCAGGTGGTGGTAAAACAAGAGGCGAAAAAACACCAGCAAGAAGTGAAAAAGCAGGTGGTGGTAAAACAGGAGGTGAAAAAACACCAACAAGAAGTACAAAAGCAGGAGGAAAAGGCGAAGCCTGAAGATGTTGATGAGAGTGACGCCGAATCAGATGATGTCGAAGAGGATGATGTCAAGATGGTCGACGTTGAAGATAGTGATATCGAGAGTGATGCTGAAGACGAAGACGAGCAGTTGGGTCTTCATGAAGACGAGCACAGCGACAAGGACGAAGACGAAGACATCGAAGACGACGACGATAAAGAGGCTATAAGTGCTGAACACCAACGACGTCCCATGAAACCTCAACTACCTCAAACGGACACAGGTACCACACTCTTCATCCGCAATATCCCTTTTATTGCTACAGAAGACGAACTACGGGTACTGTACGTGTACCTTCTCCCACCACTCCCTGTGCGCTCACTCTTCATGATGTAGATTCCGCACGTTTGGGCCTCTACGGTATGCTCGAATTACCGTCGAACCAGGCACCGAACGTTCGCGAGGCACTGGTTTCGTTTGCTTCTGGAATAAGGAGGTCGCCGACAAGGTGATCGAGCAAAGCGAGATCTTGCGCGCCGAAACCATGGGCTCGCATCAAGTACGTCTCACTCTCCAATGTACGATGTGTCTCTGACACCTCTCAGCCAACAAAAAACCCATTTACCCTGCCGTCAATATTGACGCCTGACCCATCTGCAGGTGTAGCCAAAAGTCTTGTACTTCATGGTCGCACTTTGGATGTTGTGAGAGCTGTCACGCGGGATCAAGCAGGTAAGCTGAAGGACGAAGGCGAGAAAAGACGAGAAAAGGCAGACAAGAGAAATCTTTACTTGTTGCGTGAGGGAGGTAATGTTGATTTTATTGTCATCACTGTTATCTTTGTAAACCAGAGTTCTCCAGTCATCTTGCCTAATACGCCAGCGGCCAGCACCATATCACCTGTTGAACTGGAGAAGCGGACTAATTCATTCACTGCTCGCCGCACGATGTTGCGGACAAATCCTTCCTTATACGTATCGAAGACCCGACTCAGCGTTCGTCAAATACCCCTATTCGTCACCGAGCGGACTCTTAAACGCCTCGCCCTCCACGCTCTTCGTACATTCCAAGATGAAGTCAAAAAAGGAGAACGAAATGGTTTGACTCCCGAGGAGCTAGAAGAAGTCACCAAGGAATCCGATGAACCAGGCGACTCCAGCACGAAGCCGAAGGCCGGGAAACGATTGCAGGGAAGCAAAGTCAAGCAAGCCAAAATCGTGCGGCAACATGAACGGGTAGATCCTGTTACAGGAAAAGGTCGCAGCAAAGGTTATGGATTCATCGAGATGCCGCGGCATGCGGATGCGCTGCGCGTTCTTCGGTGGGCCAACAACAACCCTGCTGTGGCGCCACTTCTGAGCACCTGGTGGAAAGAAGAGCTCGGGGATCTCATCAAGCTGGAGAAGGGGAAGGGGGATCCTGATGAAGCTAGACTGAAGCGGATAAAGGATGAGCTAGAAGGCCAAGTGAAAACACCGAAGGGTACGCTTGTTGTGGAATTCTCCATAGAAAACGTGCAGGTCGTCCAGCGAAGAGCCAACCAGAACAAAGAAAAACCAACAGTAAATGTATGTATGATTTCCGTCTATGATCACTATTCCTGACTCAGATTTAGACACGAGTCACAAAAGACCACGGTGAAATATCTCAAGAACCACCTATGAAGAAACGACGCGTTGCGGCTGATGAAACACCAGCGAAGCCTGTGAAAGAAGAACATGCTAGTGGTAGTAAGAGCATTGGCGCAGTTATTGGCAGAAAGAGGAAGGAGCGTAAAGCTGCCAAGAAGAGCGCAAAGTAGCCCTGAGGCCTCAAGTGCTGTCTTGTTGTGTTCTTTACCTTTGGTCGTATCATATCCCGCTCAAATGGACCACAGTATCAAAGATATCCACTTTCATTGGCTGACCGACTAGAGACAAATTTCTATATTTATATACTGCAACATTTAAACAACGGAGACAGCTGTAAGCAAAATTGCGCGGAAACAAGTGAAACTGGCGTCATTAAAACATCCGAAGCAGGACCCCGTAAGCATTAGGTTTGTGCTCGTTCGTATACACTGAACTTCAGCCTGCCGCCACACCAGCCACGCACACTCACTCTCCCTTCTAGATTTCGTATACCTGTTTCTCACCGATGCGGACACTTCGTCACAATTTACTCAGTGTTAAGAAGATACCTGTATATTATGGCTGACTCGGACTGCCAGCATTGCATCTCAAAATACAAACGATGAGCGTCGCAGCCTCAGTATCGATGACATCACCTTTCTCACTGCTATCCTCCGCCGAAATACCACCATGTACTGGATGAGCTACACCGCGAATTACGGGCACGTCATGGTGTGTGTTTGTACATATACTTCTTCGCACCCTGCGTACTGGCAGGCTACTTTACAGCCAGAAGGGTATCTCCGCTCGCGCTCTGGAACGACTCGGAGATGAAGAACGATGTGCCAACTTCATGAACCATATTGCCGAGATGGCTTCGAACCCAGGAATGCCGATGTTCGGTGACGAAGCTGCGAAAGATCCGTGGAACAAGGTTTGCTTCATTTACAGCCTAGTACTAGTCTAAGTGTACTGTTTCTTCTTAGTGACTTTATAGAGTGATTTATCGTGCTAGTTGTGGGGAAGTCAAGGTATTTGAGCTCGGAGGCATGCATCGACATTTACAACAGAGACGGTCTCCTACTGAGGTATTTTTGGGTCGGGGGATTCAAAAGGTGAGGCCATTATTAAAAGTAAGTCCATCTAAAGACTAGTAAGTAGTACTGATCTCTCGCCGCGGCAGCCTGATGCTCACGTGCTTACGGGGTCCTACTTCGGTCACTTGCGAGACGTAAAAGTCTCCACATAATTTTGCAATCAACGGTGCTCTACGAGCTGTTCTGGACTCCTGGGGAATGGTACTAGTGTACGAGAATAGGCCTAGGTACGGGTACGGATGGCCGATAAGGTCTGTTTGAAGTGTTAATGTTTTCTAGCTGATTGGATATGAAACAACCCTTCTACATGCCCTCGGGCCTCCGCCATCGCCATCGCCATCCTCCTCCACTCGTTACTAGTACTCATCACCAACTAGAGACTAAACAACAGTATGGGATTCGCCGCATTTTGATCATTAGGAGATAGTTGTTACTAGACGTATCTGTGACAGCGGGTTTCCAGCGGTTGAACTTGCGCAACCTGAATTTCTCACAGGTGACAGTAAGCAATACCGTTTGACAGGAGCAGTATAATCCCAAAGCTTGCATGATCCGTTATCGATATTTATTAATCAAACCACATGGGCCAAGTTAATTCAAAAGCTACATATTGAGAACCAAGGCCGTAGGAGAATAAGGTCTTACCACCGAACGTCTATTCGCTGCGCACCGCAACTCTGTACTTATGTCTGACTCTAAAGTATGGCTGATCACAGGTGAATATCCTCATTTCCTATGGTGCGCACCAAGCAGTAGCTTACGTCGATCATTATAGGTACATCATCAGGCTTTGGTCGCCGTTTAGTATCAATCGTTCTAGAACGCGGTGATCGCGTAGTCGCGACGGCCCGATCTCTCCAAAAAATTCAAGATTTTCCCCAATCTCCAAACTTACACCTCCTAGAGCTCGATGTGACTGCTGGAACGACTGCCATCAAGGAACGCGTAGATGAGGCGGCTAAAGTATGGGGCAGGATTGATGTGTTGGTGAACAATGCGGGTATTGGATTACCAGGAATCCTTGAGGAATGCGGGTAGGACACAGACGTGTTTTTTTCCCGTGCCTAATGCATGTTATCGGTTTCAGGGTGGATAGGCTGCAAAGACAATTCCGCCCTAATGTCTTCGGTGTGCTGGATGTCACGAATGCAACATTGCCATACATGCGCGAAAGTAAGTTTCTGGATATGTGCATGTAACACACACTTTGAGTTCTGCAGGGAAGAGTGGCACAGTAGTTATCATCGGGAGCCGTAGCGCCTGGAGGCCCGAAATCAGGGTGAGTGGCGTTGTCTATCGTCGATAGTGGCTGAACAACGTCTATTTCAGGGAATTGGTGAGTAATGCCTTCTAAACTTTTCCCTGGGTGACCAACACTACGGCTGGCAGGCTCTTATGCCTCATCAAAGGCAGCTGTGCATGGTAAGTCGCGTTGACCCACACACGTTACATCGTCCACGGACTGAAAAATCGTGCAGTAATGGGCGAAACACTTGCCGTGGAACTCGCATCATTCAACATACGCGTCCTTATCGTCGCGCCTGGCGCCTTCCGCACCGAAAACATATACAGCAATAAGTTTGACACGACACATCCTATTCCTGATTATGATGAAACACGAGCTAAAGCACTGCTGAGGTATGAGACTGTCCCTGGGAAGCAGCCAGGAGACCCTGCGAAGGCGATGAAAATAGTCGTAGACGTCGTGAGAGGAGAAGGTGTTGCGGTCGGGAGGGAGTGGCCGTTGTATCTTGTCTTGGGGGAGGATGCAGAGAAAGATGTCAGAAATAAATGTATGAAGGTGTTGAAGCACCTTGATGAATGGCAAGACGTAATCAGGGACGTGAATCTATAAACTATGTAAACATTGTATACATGATGTAAATGAATATGTTTATTGCTCTTTTCGGGTCTTGAGGAAGCTAAAAGGTGCATCATCATAAACCTGGTTCCACGCTTCATTTCCTCCTCATGTATTAGGAACTCATGAACGACTGCAGTCTTCCTTCTCTATGACCTGGCTAGGTACTAAGAACTAGATTTTACGGACCACGCCAGGCTATACGTCAGCAATTCACCCCCTTTCATGCGGCTCGCGAGCACCCTCCCTATACGCATAATGACTACTTTGATTGATGAAATGAGTGTGAGCCATCTACTCTTCGACCATGCAAATATTCGGTTGCGTATATGCTGTAGAAAACGCATGACATACAATCGTGGTGTTTGATGTATTATTGGTCATGTCAGCAGCTGCCGACGTTCTTTGTCTGGTGTGATCTCTGCACCCACAACGAGATATCAGGATTGCAGCCGCGCATGACGTATGGCAAATAAAACGCCTCCTATATTCATATTGCCCCCAATTTTGCAGTCCATGGTTGTTCAAATTAATCTGACATTAGGTGATGTCGTACCATTCGCTGCATCACGGGTCGGCAAGAACCCTCAGCTCTGTCTCAAGGGACAGACTCGGAGACCCATATGGACCATTGGCCCAAAGCAGGTCTCCAGCGGGATCGTCTGGTGATTAGCCAAGCGAAGTGAGCTTATGAAATCCTCTGCCTCTTCGAAAATCTCCCAACCTCTATGTCGCCCACCGTACGATCCAAGTGATCGAACACAGACCCTAGAGCGTGAGCTAGCTCAGGATGACAGGGGCCGGATGCTATGCTCATCATAGCGTCAAATTTTCGTCTCAGTCCAGCAAGCTGGTCTGGCGAGAAATAAACCTCAGGCTATAGCAGAAGTGAATCATTAGAGAATGTACGCCAAACGCTATCTTGACGTACGATGCCTGGAGATGGTCCTCCGTTCCCCTGTGGCTGCTCTAATATAGGTCCCACGCCATCTTCTTCTGGGCCCACGTCATCCCTTGGCATTATTTGAGGCATCTCAGTAATTCCAACTGGTACTGTCATCGGCGCCGTTGTGAACAAAGGTTGTTTCGGAACTGGCTTTGGTGTGGTCTCCATCTTGAATTCTCCCGACTGCGACTTGCGGAACGACGCAGGGAAACTTGGGTGCGCTTCAGCATGTGTCATACGAATGCGAAGAAGAAGCTCGTTATCGTCCATCGTTGTTATACGTAGCCAGCCACCACAATGATAACGAGTGATGCGAGAACGTGACTTGGCGCGATCGGCATCTTGGTTTCGCGACTTCGATTGCTCTCCTTCAAGCTGGGCACAAAAGTATGTGACGACCGTCGACTTTCCACCGCGCTTTGTTTTCTTTTGACTGTATGAAAGACGTCTTGTAAGAACTGCTCCAGTGCATGCATGACGTAGACAACGCACTTCCAGTGATATTCGGATGCTTCTGCCAGAAAATCTCTAATCTTGTTCGTCCGATTATACAAATGTTCCCCAGCTGCAAACATCCCCGGCGGTAGATTCACCATAGTGTCAAAGTCGAATGGTCGACCTTTGTTCAATGTGACGAGTTTCAAGAAGTCATCCAAGCTCATCGCCGCGGTGGCAATCTGCCCACATCCAGATGAATCAACAGTGGCAGCGGACTTCCGTGCTACTTGTTTGTCCATACAGCCGATGCATACTTTGAGGTGACCTGTACCGGTACGTCGGGGTGGGTATGAGTCGACGGGGCCCATATAGGCACAGCGAGTGCACTTCTGAAGTATAGTTGGAGAGGTGGATGAGGAAGGACCCGGAGCCATCTCTGTTGGGATCTCGAATGTAGTAGGAGCCATTGAAGGGGGTGTCGGTGTGGATGACAAGCCCAGCACAGGAGCGGGAGAACCTGCGAAGTCGCCCTATAAATTGGGAATAAAATTGCTCAAATGCATCTGCCCATACCTTTTACTTCCATCTTATACTATCTCGGAAGATCTTAACGCAGTCCGTGATATTCTTGAATTACGGTGGTAAGGTTTCTGTCAGGTTTCTGTGGGTGCACTTCGCGACAATCCCACAGATCACGTGCACATCTCAATATGGGAAAATATGACGACTCTTTGTATTTCATCATATGATCACACAGCATGGGTAACCTTGGGATCTCATGAAATCAACAACTTTCAGAGCTGGCAGCCTGGGACGAAGTAACGGAGCCCAGGGATTAAGACCTGAGGGATCAACTTTTCGAGACCTGGTTTAAACTGCGCCACGTTCGCGAGCCCCCCGGGCGATGTAATCTTTTCCTCGTGGCATCACATACCCGAATCACGATCACTGTCACTCTGCACCAACACGCGCTCTCCTGCCGACCGTCCTTCTTTTGTACAACATCATCTCTCTGTCAGCCAGCCGCAGATGCAGCTGGTTGCTGCCCGCCAAAAGAATCTGAAATTGTTCACTTTGATCACGACGACTGATTTCTCTCGCATTCCTGCTAGGCAACATGATCATGGTAGTCTGATGAGCACAATACTCGAATCAGAAATTATTTACGCACTTTTGGGTCCCCCTTGTTTGATGTTGCACTCACGGGGCCTATCAGCTCAAACGTTTCGAAGGACGTTGATACGCTTTGCTACAAGAGAGCATCAATGCCTTCCGAACATATTTATGGCTGAGGACACTTCATGTTGGGAGTCCTTGTGCTCTCAAACCATAGTTGAAACGAACCTTCGGCCGCCCTCAGCTGTAGACATACATAAAATCTAACCGATAACACCTAATAGGGGAGCGCCTGTGTGCACTTTACCACCCACTAGAAATGCTGATTTGAAGATGTCATAGAAGGATTTCGATGGCTGGTTGAGGATCACAGGACCTGAGCTCGCGCAATCACCCTAGAAATGCACATATGCAAGAAAGCACTCGTCACTTTGTCAACGGGTTAGACAGGTATCTTGATCGTACAGTACACTTGCCTTTAAGTATTCATGGTGCCCGAGCTCCGATATTCTGCAAAACGCCTGAAATAACGCTGGCACCACAAAGGGAACCCTGCATTCCCTCTCTACTTCACTGAGCATACGCTCAGCACGGAGACGTTGTGTCCTTTCCTGCTGCAACTCGATTTCAAGCAGTATTAGTCGCGCCTCCATATCTACAAGAAATCAAATGAGTCAGCGACGTGCATACCGAACTGCTGGTGTACGAGACCATGGGGTGAGGGTGCTGTTTCTTCACTCTTCGACTGGGGAACACCAAGACGCATAAGTTCTTCCGATATCCCTTTCTCAGAATGTTTTAAGGTGGTTAGCTGACCGCGGACCTTCGAAAGCTCGAGCGATAGCCTATTAATAGTCTCCCTATCTCTTGGTGGGCGGGGCCCACTAGGGATGGGGCTGTTGCTTATGCCAGGTGATCCTGGAGGGGGTCTGATGTGATATGGAGGGATGCGTAATGGCTGTTGAGGGGTGATTGTGAGAGGCGCCCGTGATGTCGGGTATCTGGACCGATGAGTTTTGTCGCCCACTTGAGTGGGTTGGTATTCCTCAGTTGAAAAGCCGTTTAGAGTATGATTCCCCTCCGCTGTACTGTTCTGAATGGGGAGGTGCTGCTCGGTTCGAATTCTCTTCAACAAAGGATTCGAGGGCTCATTATTACCATCTGACCCAAAAGGTGGTGATGAAACACCTTGCTCGTTGATGAACTTGGAAACGTTTAGTGTATAGGAACGGCAGATGTATCACAGTACCCACATCGAATCGAGATCTCTTCCTCTGAACTACTTCCGCGGTGAATTGCGAATCAGAACGTTCTGACGTAGATGATAACGGTGGACTCATTCCTTCTGTCCACGGCAGCTCTATTGTATGTTTTGGTCCCAATGGTGACAAATTTGTTCCGCGTGTTCCCGTAAAATCAATGGACGGTAGTCTATGATGGATCTTCAATATATTTCGTTTGTATGAGGACACTCTCACATTTCAACAGTCACCGATTCGCTTTACAGATGAGATCGCGCCTGAATTTTATTTGTGTACATGTGCTTCTGTAAAGGTGCTTACATAGAGAGCTCCTCTTTGACCGCGTTCAGCTCTGGATTCCCCTTGGAAATGGTCACCCATCTTGGGTACAAACTGCCCTAAGAGCGGATCAACCGTAGTTCACGGTACAAGACGATACTTGAGACATACCTCAACCACAGGGACTGAGGCATGAGTGGGATGAGGCCATGACAATAAGAACGCAGCACCTTCCTGATGGATGTTTTCGCCTTTCGGACGATGTGCTCTAAGAACATTGAGATCTGCTAGAAGGACGTGGAGGGCCTCCGTTTTATTCATCATCCCAGATATCAGTACGCCCTTAGCTCCGCCGTACTTGAGCGTAACTTTAATGGTCTCGTAGTTCTTGAAGGAATTCATGAAGGAGATGATAAATAACAATTATTACGGGAGTTCAGAGTAGGCCGCTTTGCTGGTTGCTGCCGCACGTGAGCAGGCGGATGTTATATAAGCAAATTACACTGTCCTAAACCTTTTCACATTTGATCATTCTGCCTAAACCTCATCGCAACAACTTTCATCCTACTAATACTCTTCACCATTCAGCACTTCAAAGTTCAGACCTACATCTCTCAATATATAACCAATCAACCAATCAATCAACTATTGAGATATTCATATATCTTGTCACCCACGTGCAGCAACAGCAAAAGTGAAGGTGACGGGCGGCCTACTCTGAACTTCCTTGTAATACAGTACTTCTTTCCAATAGGTGAGGTTTTCCGGATAAAGAGGTGGCAAAAATGTATTCATTGAATTTCCAGGCGCGAAGCTGGAGACATCGAGATCCAAAGCAAAAAGAATCAAGTGCGGTAAACAAGCTCGTCCGATTACACTCTGTATTCATAATGCTCACCCTATACATACTAGTTGTGTGATGTAGTACATTGGTTCATAGATTCACGTCCCGGATTACGTCCTGCCATTCATCAAGATGCTTCAACATCATCATGCATTTATTTCTGACATCTTTCTCCGCATCTTCTCCCAAGACAAGATACAATGGCCACTCCCTCCCAGCTGCAACGCCTTCTCCTCTTACGACGTCTGCGACGAGTTTCATCGCCTTCATGGGGTCTCCCTGTTGCCTGCCAGGGATAGCCTCATACCTCACCTGTGTCTCCGCTCGCGTTTCATCATAATCAGGTATAGGATTCGTCCACGTGTCAAATTTATTGCTGTATATGTTTTCTGTGCGGAAGGCCCCAGGCTCGACGACCAGGACGCGTATGTTGAACGGCGCGAGTTCTACGGCAAGTGTTTCGCCCATCACTACAAGATTGTTCAGTGATGATGTAACGTGCATTGATTTAACGCGACTTACCCTGTACAGCTGCCTTTGACGAGGCATAAGCGCCTGCCAGTCGTGGCATTAATGGTCACCCACGGAAGAGCTTGAAAGACACAACCCACCAAGTCCCTGAAATAGACGTTGTTCAACCACTCTAAACCATATATGATGCTACTCACCGTGATCTCAGGCCTCCAGGCGCTGCGACTTCCGATAATAACTACTGTACCACTCTTCCCTGCAGAGCTCAAAGCGTGTGTTGCATGCAAACCCGTGGAAACTTACTTTCACGCATATATGGTAATGCTGCATTCGTGACGTCCATCACACCCAAGAAATTAGGGCGGAATTGTCTTGTCAGGATGTCCACCCTGAAACCGATCACATACATTAGGCACGGGAAAAGAATATATCTGTGTCCTACCCGCATTCCTCAAGGATTCCCAGCAGCCCAATACCTGCATTATTCACCAACACGTCAATCCTGCCCCATACCTTAGCCGCCTCATCTACGCGTTCCTTGACGACAGTCGTTCCGGAAGTCACATCGAGCTTTAGGAGGTGTAGGTTTGGAGATTGGGGAAAATCTTGGATTTTCTGCAAAGATCGGGCCGTCGCGACTACACGATCACCGCGTTCTAGAACGATTGATACTAAACGGCGACCAAAGCCTGATGATGTACCTAGATGATTGGCGTAAGCTACTGCTATCTCTGTATTTGATACGCACCATAAGAAATAAGAATACTCACCTGTGATTAGCCATACTTTAGAGTCAGACATAAGTGCTCTTACGAATAAAGAGGTTCGGACTAGAAACGAGAAAAGGACTCAGTCTTGGATCAAAAGACTAGATTAGCTATCATGATCATACCTAAGAACGGGAAAAGGACTAGGTGCGGTGGTTATAGTCAGAAAGTGTACGTAGAACAAGAGAGCTCACCTCAGTCTTGAATCAAAAGAATATGGGAGATTCTTCGATGGGAGAGGAATTGATGCGGCGGTTGAGACGGAGGGGAATGTGTATGATCAAGGCGTGTAACGAGAAGCGATTGCGTGTGTAAAAGAAACGTACTAGTAACGTACAAGACTAGCAAGATTGAGAGTCATAAATAATACTATCATTCCCTGTAATATGCAACATTTTCAGCAAATATTTGATAGTTCCTCGATCGACTACATCACTTGTTCTTTCACAAGTTTCTCCATCATATATTCATATTTCCTCCATAGATCTGATTTTCACTGATTTTTTAGGATGATGTGGTGTGGTGTTGACTCGGAACGTTGGGGGCCCGAGCAAACCCAATAGGCTAAAACTGTCCTGTCACGCGGCATGCCTCGGCACAGTAACTTTCACTCTCCGAAGCCAAACTCTGTCAAGGCATCTCGAAAGCCTGAAAGGCTCATTAATGGCAGTATCATTAACTTGGAGTATCGTGCTTCATCTACATAATCCCCAACCGCCCTCTGCGCATACCCAGGACTTTTTTCGGTCCAAGCACATGATATGTCAATTCTGTTGTACACGGTGTACTATGGTATCCATCAATACCGAAGCTGTAAAGTTAGCTGGCACGAGGTACGAACAGCATGGTTTATGCGCAATGTTCAGAGCCTTCTCGGGCCAGGTCTTTGTTGGAAAATGAAGCTAGAAGGGTCTGAATCGATCAGTCGAAACACCCTACACGAAGAAGTAACACTAAGAACAAAAACAGTACCTGATGGTGCCCGTGACGATGGTGTCGGATGTTGAATTATCGCCGACGTCTAAATCCACAATTTTCGGGATGAAGGACGATAATGCTGAAAATGAAGGTTATACAACTGATGGGAGGAGGCCGCCTCCTCCCATCAGTTGCATGAGGGGGCGGCCCCCCGAAGGCCTCATGCACGTTGAGGATGGTTTCGTTTGTGAGTGGAGTGGAGGACACGACGTCAGTTGTGAAAACGAGGGAAGGGTACTGATACGTGTTTCGACAGCGCACTGAACTAAATGCAAACATGAAAGAAATGGAGCAAAGGTCAGCCTCAAGAGATTTGGAAAATTACGATGTAGGATGGTTATTCGAAGCTGTGACCGGGGCCAATACGATAATTTGTCAAATTGTGAGTAGAACGACACACCTATCGCACCCATCCAATCATGTAACTTGAGAAGAAGCGAACTGCTGTTCTTACTGAGATGCTGAAGTTGTGGCTTCGAGCAATATTATGGCTAGGTATACGAGTGCTTCAAGTTTTGGACAACTTACGAGTAATCAGATATAGACTATATATCGAATTTTACCAAGGCAGCCGACCGGAAGTTGGGGTCAAATTATGGTACGAAGAAATGTTGGGGAAACGTCAAGTAACGAAAAGAAATACACGAAATAAACATAAGATAATAAACACATAGCTGGCCAGTATAGCGAGTGTTAGTATAAACATTTTAGAAGTTCAGTCCAAATAATATTCATACCTCTATTCTATATTCCAAAGTCTAATAACTACATAGTCATGTAATGTTGTAGATCGGTTCATAGATTCACGTCCCGGATTGCGTCCTGCCATTCATCAAGATGCTTCAACATCATCATGCATTTATTCCTGACATCTTGCTCTGCATCTTCTCCCAAGACGAGATACAACGGCCACTCCCTCCCAGCTGCAACGCCTTCTCCTCTTACGACGTCTGCGACGAGTTTCATCGCCTTTATGGGGTCTCCTGGTTGCCTGCCAGGGATAGCCTTATACCTCACCAGCATCTCCGCTCGTGTTTCATCATGATCAGGTATGGGATTCGTCCACGTGTCAAGTTTGTTCCTGTATATGTGTTCTGTGCGGAAGGCCCCAGGCTCGACGATCAGAACGCGTATGTTGAATGGTGCGAGTTCTACGGCAAGTGTTTCGCTCATTGCTGCAAAATTCTTCAGATAATGTAACGTGTATTGATTTAACGCGACTTACCCCGCACGGCTGCCTTTGATGAAGCATAAGCGCCTGCCAGTCGTGGCATTGGTCACCCACAGAACAGCTTAAAAGATGCAACTCACCAAGTCCCTGAAATAGACGTTGTTCAACCACTCTCAACCATAGATGATGCTACTCACCTTGATCTCGGGCTTCCAGGCGCTGCGACTTCCGATAATAACTACTGTACCACTCTTCCCTGTAGAGCTCAAAGCGTGTGTTGCATGCAAACCCGTGGAAACTTACTTTCACGCATATATGGTAATGCTGCATTCGTGACGTCCAGCACACCACAGACATTGGGGCGGAATTGTCTTGTCAGGATGTCCACCCTGAAACCGATCCCATAAATTAGTAGGCACGGGAAAAGAATACGTCTGTGTCCTACCCGCATTCCTCAAGGATTCCCAGCAGCACAACACCCGCATTGTTCACCAACACGTCAATCCTGCCCCACACCTTAGCCGCCTCATCTACGCGTTCCTTGATGACAGTCGTTCCGGAAGTCACATCGAGTTCTAGGAGGTGTAGGTTTGGAGATTGGGGAAAATCTTGGATTTTCTGCAGAGATCGGGCCGCCGCGACCACACGATCACCGCGTTCCAGAACAATTGATACTAAACGGCGACCAAAGCCTGATGATGTGCCTAGATGATTGGCGTGAGCTACTGCTATCTCTGTATTTGATACGCACCATAGGAAATGAGAATATTCACCTGTGATTAGCCATACTTTAGGATCAGCCATAAGTGCTCTTACGAATGAAGAGCCTGAGGTTCGGACTAGGAACGAGAAGGGGACTCGGTCTTGAATCTGTGATGCTGCTAAATGAGTTCGACAGGGATTGATGGACCAAGAGAGATGAGTTGTTCACCGTAGATACTGAAAGTAAGGACATGCTTTTATATCTAAGTGAGTGGCTATAGCGGCGGTATAACGGAAACACCATAGACGGTATAGTAGCGCTTCAAATCGGTACAAAAGGAAGTGTGAATGGGTAAGGATATGTGCGGATGGCAAATGAAAACATGCATGACAACGACTCGGAACGCAGACACCAACGCATGTGAACAAGCGCCGACACACATGAACAAGCATGAATGAGCCACAAAGAAGTGCATATGAATGCAGATGAATTCTGTGACAACAGATAGTATGGCCAAACGCAGATATGCGCAAATGAGTATGTGCGACCGAACGAGTATGAACGAGCCACAAAGGAGGTGGTTGAAGGTGCAATACTATCGCCGGCTACCACAACTTCGGACAACCACTCGTACAAATGTACAATGATATGTGCAGAATATGATTTGAAGTAAAGTTGAGTGAGATATTGCAAAATGTCCGAGCCAGTGGTTGTCCGAAGTTGTGGTAACCATGATAGTACCTAGTTCAAAGCCAATCAGTACCGTTGCTTTTGGACAAAATTTCATGCCACTGAAGGTTATAATTTATGTACTACATAGGATGCTGAAGTTGTGGCTTCGAGCAATATTTTAGCAAGGTATATACGAGTGCCTCCAGTTTTGGACAACGTACGAGTAATCAAATATAGATTATATATCGAATTTTGTGCAGAATATGCCAAGGCAGTCGGGGACTTGGTGCGTGCTACGATTCGTGTTGAGATGACGGTGTGACAAATTTGTTCCTTCTGAGGTGTGAGGAAGAGTAGAAGGGCAACTCGTGGCCAGGAAGATGGGCCCATGGTGGCTCGGGATCTCCCGATTATATATCGAAGAATATGCCAAGGGGACCCTTGAAGTTGCTACGATTCGTATTGAGATGACGGTGTGACAAAATAGGAAATCCTTGATTGGCTGCGGCTTTACCAGTCGGACCTTGAAATACGCACCGGCAATGCGAGCCGTCCACTCCGAATTCACGCGACACATCCTTCCTCTACCATCGACATGCAGGTCCTCGCTAAGACCGCCCGCGCCAGCGCGCCGCGCTTCTGCATGCGCTCGTTCGCCTCGTCTGCGGGAAGATGCCAGGCTACTCCTATTGAGAAGCCCGTACTAAACAAGGAATTCAAAATTTATCGCTGGGTGAGTACTATACAATGCATCAAAATATGGGGAATTGATGATGTTTGTGTTATAGAACCCAGATGAACCTGCCAGCAAACCCACTCTCCAGTCTTTTACCATTGATCTTAATCAAACTGGGCCCATGGTACGTTCACTCCCGCATGCTCCTCAGTGTAATGCTTAAACTCGCCCTTGGCTTTCTTTTGTAATAGATTCTTGATGCGCTCATCAAAATTAAGAACGAAATCGACCCCACGCTCACCTTCCGTCGGTCATGCAGAGAGGGTATCTGTGGTTCTTGCGCGATGAATATCGACGGTCAAAATACCCTCGCCTGTCTCTGTCGTATAGACAGAAACCCGAGCAAGAATTCCAAGATCTATCCGCTTCCTCACAGTAAGTTCTTCGCCGTGATTCCCACCTGTGATCCTCATTATATGTTCGCGTTTACAGTGTATATCGTGAAAGACCTGGTTCCCGACCTGACGCTATTCTACAAGCAGTACAAGTCCATTAAACCCTACCTCCAGAACGATAACTTGCCCGAGCAGGGCGAGTTCTTGCAATCGCAGGAAGACCGCAAGAAGCTCGATGGAATGTATGAGTGTATTCTATGTGCATGCTGCACGACAAGTTGTCCATCGTATTGGTGGAACCAGGATGAATACTTGGGCCCTGCTACGCTAATGCAAGCATACCGCTGGATCGCCGACTCTCGTGTACGTGATCTTTTTTCGTGAGATATGTCGTGAGATCTTATTCGCGTATTTGGTGTCAGGATTCATATGGTGCCCAGAGAAAGGAGCAACTCCAGAACGAGATGAGCATGTACCGCTGTCACACAATTTTCAATTGTACGTTGCGTCAGTCACTTCGTGCGTATTACAAATATTCATAGCTCCCTTTAGGCGCACGTACCTGCCCGAAGGGTCTTAACCCTGCAGAAGCCATTGCAAAGATCAAGCTCGAGCTTGCCGCTGACTAATAGCCTTGTGTGGACGGTGGGATGGAACTTGTGTGAACAGGCCGTCACCTGTGGCCGTTGCTCATGATTCCGAGTGAAATTCCATCGTGATATTGGCACTGTCTTTGTCTTCGTCGACGCCAATAAACAGAATGTATCTTGTCGATTGTTCACGCGTGACAACGCGGTATATAGTTGACCATACGCAAAAGGATCAGTTCTGAGATCCAGGACTGTGTGAAAGAGCGTGAGATTTCGGCAGCCATTGAAGCTTAAGCTGCTCTCAAAGGAAATCATTTGCAATTCACTATCGAACTCGAACGACACGGATGCATAGAAAACGTGATACATGGAATACGTACGGTGAGTTTCGAGATAGTTGAACAGAGTAGTGCATTTCTCACCAATCCCTTTTCGACTGAGGTTGCGTTGTATGGTGCATATGCAACTTATTTTGAGATCTAGTCGATGGGGAGAAATCCCGGGCGCAGTAAGCATCATTAAGTAGTCTGGTATTGTTTCAAGTGCGTCAATTGGTGCGATCCTAGACGAAACCCGTATTAGCCCCAAAGGTAAAAACGACAACGGCTGAGTACTGATTACCGAGTCACCGTCAGGCCAAGCAATGTAACCGTTGTATTTCCAATAACGTTCTGCTCTCATGGAGGTGGTGCCGTATCCATGTACGGCTGACAGTGATGTGAAAGTGGAAGAGTACTTCAAGGTCCCAATCCATTGTAATTAACAACCTCGACCCCATCTAGAAATAGCCCTTGGTATTATTCCTTCAAGTTCGACATGATCACAATCAAAAGCATTCTCCTCGAGCACTTCAACTTCACTTGTCGACGGCGGGTGAGTGGGTGAATTTCAGAATTGGTTGAAATAACAATGCGAGGGGGCATCATCCAGCCTGACATACATCATCTTACTTTAGGGACATCGGTATTTATTGTATCGAATTCAAACTGTGAAAAGTTGGCGTGGCATTTTTTGCCTCGTCCGACATAGCCACGTCAACGGTGCATCACGGACATCACAACCGATGCAGGATCCACGAATAACCGGAAGGGATAGGTTCTAATATCATACGCCAAGCATATGCATTTTGCAAAACCTTTACATGATAATATAAAAGTAAGTCATTTTGCTACCGTCACCAGCATCCACCCACCTCAACGAAATCATCCGAGCACCTCAACCATACCACCTCAAACAAACAATGCGCTTCTTTTTTCTCACCTTTATTGTTGCGTTGACAGCGTCTATATTGTCTGTCACAGCAAGGCGACCAAAATGTAGCCCACCTGGAAATATTTGCGTAACGGTTAGGGACTGTTGCGACAAAACTGGTGCCTGCAATGGTGGCGTGTGCGGCATGAGATGAGCCTCCTCCACCCTGAGAATAGGCCGTAGCGACACACCAGTGAGTGTTTCCGCATTCATATTGGCGTTGTTGTTGATCGAGCAACATGTAGAACGCTGCTGATTGAGAAATGAATAGAGGTGAGTGAAAGGAGTACATGTATGAGGTATCTGCGCACTGTTTGGTCTTGGCGTAAATATGACACCACGGCCCCGGCAGACTGGCAAGCGATAAATCAAATGCGTGTTAGCTAAAAGACGCGCAGAAACTTTGATTGGGTCAAAAGTTCATTTTTTTCGCCGCTTTTATTCATCCACTCGACAAGAGTGAAGACATGCAGTTGCTCATACTTTCTTCTGTGCGAGTCTCGTTTAACCGTCTAGTTGGAGTTCACAAGACAGTCAAGACCTGTGATATAAATTATCAACTTATCTGGCTTCGAGTCGATATAGCCTGACCTTCAGATATAAAATCATATTAGCACAAACCATCAACGTCCGGTATCGCAACAGATAAATCATCAGCCCTAAATAACGATTTTATTTCATAACTATGATGACAGTCAACCAATAAAATAGGCACGTTATTGAGTACCCATTTTATTTGCCATTTTATTTCGCACTCGGCATACTGTATCGAGTACGGAGTTTGATATGACCATGTGCACTTTCTTGCTGGTCCATGTTGGCATCAGCGTTTGCGATGTCGAGCACTGATTGCGTTGATCTCACCCAGTCGGCATTTCGGCAGCTCTCTCTCTCCACAACACTCCAGAAAATCTGCTGCCCATGTACGATCAGTCGACGGGGCTGATATGGGACCTTCCCATGATGCCGGAGTGGCCACCGTTTATTTCCCAGCCTCAGAGACTGGAACAGGATGATTGGCGTGTCTTGCACGCAAATGTAAACGGACATGCCAAATATCAATGCCATGCCACATTCAGAGACCTGTTCTCGATCGAGAATGACCACGAGACACATCAGTTTGCTGTCAACAGCATGAATCAGCAACATATGGCTCACGAAGACTTACCTCTTGGACTTGCACCCTTCCCACCTCAACTCTCCGAATTTTACAATCAGCACAACCTCATCTCGGCCCCCTTCACCAAAACACAACAAGAAAACACACACCTCAGTCATGGCGCTTCCAGAGCACCATGAAAGGGAATCGGGATTGAGTGATGAGGCAGCGAGAGGCTAACATTTACTCACTGGAACCAAGTCTTGAAAATCTTCGCTGAAGAGATGTGAAGCAGGTGATCGAAGAATCGTTCTGCTTTCTGTTGGTCATATGGCCCGCGTGGTCCATACTTAGCGCCTCGTTGTTTCGCGTCGAGTGCTTGCAGTGCAATTGTTGCTGCAAATAGTTGGTCATCCGGTGTCTCTGCATCAGTCAGTAAGATGATGGCAAGTGCTTCGAGAGACGTTATGGCGTGCGGGGAAATATCTGCCATATGTGGTGGCGTGAACATGTTTCAACGACGCCTGCGCCGATGAGCACAGTCGAAACCCCTGGGCCTTACTCAGCTGATTTCAAGCGCCGCTTTGTGCGTGCCGAACGTGTTGCTCATTTTATTTCGGAAGCTTTTGCACGAACTATCATGAAATAAAACTTTGATGTGGCATTTCTTGCCTTGTCAGAGTCGCGTGCGGCGTCACTGGTACATCACGACCGAGCCAGGACCCGCGAGATGACCGGAAGGGATAGGTTCTGCTGCAGTATCATCCGCCAAGCATAACCATTTTGCAAAACCTGTTCGTGATAATATAAAAGCAAGTCATTTTGCTATCGTCACCAACATCCACCCACTCAAAGAAATCATTCGAGCACCTCGACCATACCACCTCAAACAAACAATGTGCTTCTTCTTCCTCACCATTGTTGCGTTGACAGCATCTATATTGTCTGTCACAGCAAGGCGACCAACCTGTAGCCCAGCTGAGGATCAATGCCAACATGATGGTGACTGTTGCGACTGCAATGATGCCCTGTGATGGTGGTGTGCGTGCCTCTCAATGAGCCCCCTCCAATTTGAGGACAGGCCGATTTTCACGTAGCATCATGTGAATGGCCCGGAGGACACTCCTGTAAAGTCGCTCGACATCATTCTCGTATGCCATGTCATGTATAGTGAGATCCAAAGCAAATTTACACAAGGGATGTGGAGATCGCAGTGACAGTGAAGGAGATGAGTGGAACTTCCAACTCGGTGCTAGTACTACAAGAAACGAGATTGCAACTGCAGCGGGCCGTCTCGTGATGAGTAGGCACAGGATGGATACGCATGTGCGAGTCCGACGACACTCCAGAAACCCCACCTTTTATTCATCGATCGTCATACACCAGTATAATAAATGTTCAATGTACGACCAAGCCAGTTCGATCATTTTGATTCGGGTGCAGAGGGCGGCAAATTCCCACCTCCTCAGGTTTGCCTTCCGAATCAGGTAATGGAGCAGGGGAGATGCTCCCAACCTTCGCAACCCAAATTTGCCAGTTCTTAATACTGCGGGACACCAAGTGAGTTTTGCGCAAGTTCATTATGTGCCATGTATGATCATGTATCCCACGCCAAGGAAGACCTTTGCGGTATATTATCATTCTGACACACAAAGTTGGGTGGATAGTATCTGAAGCGTGCATGCGCATGGATCAAGGGTTCGAGTGCTTTAATGAGGAGCGTCTTTCTTCTATTGGTCTGCCTAAGGTAGACTAGCTTTGATAGGTAGATGAAATGCATCATCTCGATGGCTGCCCCAGCTAGAGGATGCCGCAGCAAAGGTAGCATTTTTCCTCAGGTGACCAGTAGGCTGCGGAGTCGACCCCGCAGTTAGCGGTTGACGGAATTTGGTAGCATATACCCTTTACGCATGGACCATGGGCGATAGCTGGCTTCACCCCAGCAGCAGCGGCGAGAATGGCGAGGTAAGCGAACTGAATTTTCATGGTATCTAGTGCGTCATTGTCAGTGTTGATCGATGACTATCAGTCCCGACAAACCACTCACCCTCAAAGTTTGGGTGTGATCTACGCAGATGTGTTGATAATGGCACGTCAAGGAAGAGCTAGATGTGAGATGAACACCAAGTTCAAGTTTCTCAAGTCTGATCACTTACTGTGAACGAAGCGATTTTGTTTGGGGATCTGAGACTTATCACGTTTGTCAATTTATATGCCACTAGAAGCCCTCAGTACTTTCAAGTTGTTCTGCAGTCGCCGTCCGACGGCCGCGCCAATGACCGCAAGAACCTGGCAGCTACAATAGGTAGCCCCGATACGTCATTGCCGCTGGTTCTAACATCAACGGAGGCGCAGAAACGGCGAACTTTGATATATAGCATGCTATGCAAGCGGCAATGCACGAGCGATTCAGCCGACAGCGTGCGAGTTTCAAAATTAAAATTAAAATCCAAGGCGGCCAAGGAGGTTAGGACAGTAATTAGTAGTGGGAAGGACACGGGCTCAAAGCAGAGTACTTGAGGAAGGAAGCACCACGGCATACACTCAGGGGTCCAGCATAGAGCTACAAGATTGCGCAGTAGGTCCGGGCCTTATCATATAGCCATTAACCCGTGACGGTGCCTCAAATACTTGGGGCAAGGGATACTCACATTTCAATGAATCGCTAGACGGACTTATATAAACACCGGTGGTATGACGGCAAAACGAACCGTCACAGGGTAGAAAGAGCGGTATTGCAGAAGGTATCTGCTGCACTGGTCATCAGAAGATGGGACGGCAACCGAAGCTGAGTTGCATGACAGAAAGAGGATATCATCATAATATTCTCGAGCAAAATTTCCCCATCCACGAATTACGGCACGACGGCGCGAACAAGTGCGGAAATGAAAATCTGGATTCCAAGGGTAGGGCAATATTGATGATTTTAAGCAGAGCCAATAGACTCGGTGCACGGTTTGTGAGGGTCAAATCCAGTGTGAGTGCGGGTTAACTGCTTAGGAGAACGGGGATCGAGCCGCAGTGACAACGATAACTATGATGCAACCGTGCTGCCTCAAGACCTTAGAGCACTCCAACGACGACGTATTTACGACACTTTAAAACTGTGGTCATAGAAATCAGCTTCAAACTTTCTGAGAGCGGCAATTTGGTCACAAACCAAAACGTATGATGGTTGGGCAGAGTCCATGCTTGTCCGCCGGATTGGCTCGGGTTCACGGGAAATTTTAAGGCGGGTCCTAAAACCTATCTCGAATAGTCGAGGGTGTCGGAAGGTCCTATCGTAAGTACCTTACTAAGATGTCATTACTCGTTGATGAGCCCTGCGGTAACACGCTTGGCTGAAAAATCAGCATCAAAACAATTAATATAACTCACAAAGATAAGATCATTGGCACAAGCATCGAGTGCCTTCGGAGGTGTGAAAAAGAGTATGCGCCGTTGAAAGTTTTGTTCGCTGCCAGAATGTCAGGGATTTGGCCAGTCTGGGACAGAGTCTGGGAGAAAGTATTGGCGTTCAATGTTTCAAACGAGTCGCGACCATGTCCATCAATCCCGCCAACGCGTCCGCCGCCCAATATCTCACTGGAATATTAATGCTGCATGTTCATGCTCCGCCTCAACTCTGCCCGCCACTCTCCTTACTCACCCATCTCCTTACCCGCCCCTCTCCCTGCCCGCTCCTTCTTGAAACATTCATATTCCGCTTGAAGGTGCCGATGTTAGTACATCCCAACAATGTATGACATAGCAATGAGCTCACTATGTTGCTGTATGGAAGCAAAAAAAAGACTCGCAACGTCCATGGAAGTAAGTCCTTTGTGGTGGTATTACAGACATAATGACATTAAGGAAGCGTGAGAAACAGTGACGGAAGTCGGTCCTTGGCGCTGTTGCAGACAGTGAGCAAGTGTGAGAAACAGTGAGACATTCATACTCCGCTTGGAGGTGCCGACGTCCCACAGTCCCAGACTTTGTCGGAGTTTGTCCCAGACCGGCCATTTCAGCTGAGACGCCCTCATTGCTGCCCACGCAGGTTTATTTGTTTGTATTTATGGCGGCACGCTGATTTCGTACGTGAGGTCGAGGCAAAATACGTGCGGGAAACAAGTATTGAAGAAACGGACGGACCTCACGTACAAGAGTGTGACGCTCCATTAGCGCTGTACTTCTCGCCCAGCCAACCTCGTCCTGCACTCCCTGCCGATGAGCTCGAATAGCGCTTCGTGGCAGTACTTCGTAGGGTCCTTCGCTGCAGTAACCGACATCCCGGTATTACCTTGTATTACAGGGTTGCTCAATTCCAAAAGCTCGACTTCACTTGGGATCCGAGCACCGCTAAGCGTCGCCAAACCTGTCCTAAACGAGACTCGTACCTAAACTGGGCGAAATTCTGAGGTCCTCCACGCCAGCATCGTCTCCACGTATCACACGTGGTGTGATGAACAGCAGGCAGGCAGCTTTGTTAGTAAACTCCGCTCGCGAATCATCCAGTTCTAGTGTCACTAAGCTGACTTGGATGCATTGAAATACTTCAGATTCCGGAAGGATAACAGGGCGCCTACGACTCAAAAAAATTTCAATAACAAATAAAAGCGGTCAGCTGAATTTTTCAAATTCTGACTATCGATATGAAGATAGCTGTGAATATACCGTGTTCTCTGTTGTTTATCACTAGGACGCGTGAGGGAACAACGGTTGTAACTTGTCGGCCAGTCATGTTACCAAGGTTGGCCAGAAAGTGGGTCGTGGCAGGACTCCAGGAGTCGTCGTTTGCCACGATAGGCCTCTCTACTCAGTGCACACTGCATACTGAGTGAGTAGTACTCACTCAGTATGGACTGCCGCAGTCACATCACAAATCTTGCGCCAATTTACTGGATCCAATCGCCTCGGGCCACGTATGCATTGGCAACTAGCTCCATGGTAGACCGCCGCACGATTTCGTCTCGATTGCGCCAGCATGTCTAAGACACGGCTTGACGTGTTCTGTGGAGTATAAAAAGACAGTATCAACAATCAAGTCGCCAATAACCTCCGAAATCAACTCATCATCATGTTTATCCGCCTCTCTACCGTTTTTGTTATGCTTCTCGGCCTGACGGCCCTTGTCAGCGCAGCACCCGTAAGCCTTGTTTTGTTTGGTACCGAATGTGCCGCACTCACCGTGTAATGTATGCAGGACAAGGTCAAGAGAGAGGAAGAGGTGAGCCTTGTTTCGCACCGAACGTCTCAAACTTACTATGTAATGCATGCAGGTCGCAGAACCTGTTGTAACATGGAGAATACCGCGCGAATAGTAAGCCCTTAAGCCTTTTTGTATGCAGGGACTCCCCAATGGTTAGTAACATTTGTTTCACATAAAATCTCATCGTTGACTGGCAGCGCATTGTGCACAGGGCAACTGCTGTGTAAAATTGGGCTTGTATGCAGAACAAGTTTATGAGTGTTTAGATATCAGGCGTATCATCGAACAGTGTGTCTCAGTCTGCGCATCCATCAAACTTGAGCTTGAGTGAAGCTCGGAAGTCCAACAGGGACAAGTACTTGCATGCATAAGCACAATTGCTCAAATACTGGTGAATAGCCTGTCTGGTCTATGCGCGGACACCAGGCAGGTCTGGGCGATTCAAGCGGAGTTTAACGACAAATCTGCCTGCCTGCTGCTCATCATGACACCACGTGTGATACGTGGAGACGATGCTGGCGCGGATGGGGTTGGAGGGTCCATAATGTCTGGCCTGGGGACCTCGGAATTGATCCCAAGTGAAGTCGAACTTTTGAAATTAAGCAACCTTTACAGGTAAGAATATAGTAACGAGTGATCTTTGTCTACCAATTCTGGATTATTGGACTCTGTCACAGCTTTCTACTCGACCTCGACGTATCCCTGGAAAAGCGTACGGAAGTGCATCAAGATGTACCGCAGATATGGGCCTTGCAGCAATCTCCGAGAGTGTTTCGCATTGTTTGATACTCTATTACGTAGCGAGGCACGAGCGGAGGAAATAGAACTAAATCTTTGTGCGAACAACAAGCGTGACGTTCACACCTCTTGCTTCTCTACCTCGACGAACCGTTCACTCCGTGCACTTCGTCGACACAGCTTTTCTTTTTCCCCACCCTCCTCTCCCTCTTCCATCGCGCATCTGCACTACTCAGCGCCTCGCGCGCCCAGAACATCGACCCAAACCGTATGGGGCCATGAAAGGACAATTACTAACCGGTCGCAGCGAGGCAACCCGCCCGCCCTCGCAGCTCACCTTTTACTCCTAGGGCAAAGCCCCCTTCGTGGCCGGGAGGCGCATTCGCCTGGAAACCTCAACAGAATCACTTTCCTTTAGCCTTATCTATACACTCACTTAGTCGCAGTTTTCCCAAACAAGTTGATTGCTCTCCGCTCGAACGAAACGCCAGTGTGAACCACAGACTTTTGAACCTCATATACTGAGTACTGAGTACTGAGTCTCAAGCTTCAGCTTCAGTCTTAGCATGCACAGTTACATATTTTCTACTCATCACGAGACGGCCCGCTACAGTTACACATATCTGAACTTGATATTTCTCATAAACTTGTTCTGCATACAAACTCGATTTTACATAGCAGTTGCCCTGTATACAATGCGCTGCAAGTCAACACGATGATATTTTATGTGGAACAAGTGTTACTAACCATTGGGGAGTCCCTGCGTACAAAAAGGCTCAAGGGCTTACTATTTTACGCGGTAGCAACCGCGACCTGCATGCATTACATGGTAAGTTTGAAATGTTCAGTGCAAAACAACAAGGCTTAACTTACGTCTACTCTACCTCTTCTGGTTTCCCAAGGTTCTCCGGCCTGTATGTATTACATAGTAAGTTTGAAACGTTCTGCGCGAAACAAGGCTTACCTCCTCTCTCTTGACCTTGTCCTACATACATCACATGGTGAGTGCGGCACATTCGGTACCAAACAAAACAAGGCTTACGGGTGCTGCGCTGACAAGGGCCGTCAGGCCGAGAAGCATAACATAAACGGTAGAGAGGCGGATAAACATGATGATGAGTTGATTTCGCTTAGATTTTGTTTTGGGAGGTTGATGGCAACTTGATTGTCGATGCTATCTGTTTTATACTCCACAGAAGAGGGTGTCAAGCCGCGTCTTGGACATGCTGGCACATTCGAGACGGAACCGTGCGGTGGTCTGCCAAGGGAGCTACTTGTCAATGCATACGTGGTCCGAGTTGATGGTGAGTAGGGGGTCTCGTGGCAAGGGAGGACTCGACTCCCGCGACGAGCACTTTGTCCAACCTGGGTAACAAAATCCACGTATCACATATACAAGCACAAATACATAGCTGCTGGCTCATTGTATCCATCTAGCTAGTGTTGGCAAAACTGCCCAGTTTTGCCAACTCAGTCATCGGCAAACTCACGTGAAGGTAGGGTAGCAGAACTCCAGGCTTGCGGAGAGACCTGATAACACTGTGGGAAGTAGAAACCATGAAATTCACTGGTTTGAGCGTTGAGCCAATAAATCTCAATGCACGTAACACTGAATCTACCAGCAAGTTTATTCATTGTTTCGGACCATATAGACCATTTTGATCAAAGCACGAACATAGCATTCCAACTGCATGTGGTGTGTAGACTCGTTACACATTTTCTCTCGTGCAAGTTTCCATTGATTATTTTAGATTTTCAGTGCTTGAACTTCTGCTCTTCCCGTGCGTATTCATCCTGTGCCTGCCTTGACTTTGTACTCATCACGAGACGGCCCACTACAGTTGCAATCTCGTTTTTTGTGGCACCGAGTCGGAAGTTCTGCTCATCTCCTTCATTGTCATTGCGTTCTTCGCATCCCTTGTGTGAATTTGCACAGACTGAGACACCCAATCGATGATACGCCTGATATCTAAACTTGACATTTCTCGTACACTTGTTCTGCATACAAGCCCTATTTCACATAGCAGTTTCCCTGTGTACAATGCGCCGCGAGTCAACACGATGGGATTTTGTGTGGAACAAGTGTTTCTGACTGTTTGGGAGTCCCTGCGTACATAAAGGCTTGAGGGCTTACTATCTTACTAGGCAGCCTCCTTACAACATGGTTCTCCGGGCTGCATGTATTGCATAGTAAGTTTGAAACGATCTGTGCGAAACAAGGCTTACTTGCTCTCTCTTGACTTCGACCTGTCCCAAACAAGTTGATTGCTCCCCGCTCGAACGAAACGCCAATGTGAACCACAAAGACTTTCGAACCTCACATGCTGAGTACTGAGTCTCAAGCTTCAGCTTCAGTCTTAGCATGCACAGTTACATATTTTCTACTCATCACGAGACGGCCCGCTACAGGTACACATATCTGACCTTGATATCTCTCATAAACTTGTTCTGCATACAAACTCAATTTTACATAGCAGTTGCCCTGTGTACAATGCGCTGCAAGTCAACACGATGAGATTTTATGTGGAACATTACTAACCATTGGGGAGTCCCTGCGTACAAAAAGGCTCAAGGGCTTACTACTTTACGCGGTAGGTTCGGCGACCTGCATGCATTGCATGGTAAGTTTGAAATGTTCAGTGCAAAACAATAAGGCTTAACTTACGGTGAATCTACCGTCTTTGGTTTCCCAAGGTTCACCGGCCTGCATGTATTACATAGTAAGTTTGAAACGTTATGCGCGAAACAAGGCTTACCTCCTCTCTCTTGACCTTGTCCTGCATACATTACACGGTGAGTGCGGCACATTCGGTACAAACAAAACAAGGCTTACGGGTGCTGCGCTGACAAGGGCCGTCAGGCCGAGAAGCATAACAAAAACGGTAGAGAGGCGGATAAACATGATGATGAGTTGATTTCGCTTAGATTTCGTTTTGGGAGGTTGATGGCAACTTGATTGTCGATGCTATCTGTTTTATACTCCACAGAAGAGGGTGTCAAGCCGCGTCTTGGACATGCTGGCACAATCGAGACGGATCCGTGCGGTGGTCTGCCAAGGGAGCTACTTGTCAATGCATACGTGGCCCGAGCTGATGGTGAGTAGGGGGCCTCGTGGCAAGCGAGGACTCGACTCCCGCGACGAGCACTTTGTCCAACCTGGGTGACAAAATCCACGTACTGGCACATATATACAAGCACAAATACATAGCTGCTGGCTCATTGTATCCATCTAGCTAGTATTGGCAAAACTGGGCAGTTTTGCCAACTCCGACTCAAGCATCGGCAAACTCACGCGAAGGGAGTGTAGCAGAACTCCAGGCTTGCGGAGATGTAAATCAGACCTAATAACACTGGGAAGAAGAAACCATGAAATTCAGTGGTTTGAGCGTTGAACGTTCAAACGTTCATCTATGACGGGCACACTAGTACTGACAGTACTGACAGGATTTGAATTTGAATTTTTATATCTGGCCATCTACGCTCATGTGTTTCTGTGTTAGCCTCGTGCCTCGGCTAACACAGAATTGAGTCTACGCATGAGTAAGCGAAGTGGCGTAACTCTCCTTTGTTCCGACCCACCATCAGTCAACCCCAGTGAAAGTCGGACATAGCCATTTCCACGGGGGTCGACGGATTTGTAAGTTTGGAGTAGTCATTAGACTCATATCGATGGACATCGAAGTTGTGCAAACACATGTTGAACAATTTGTCTACGATTTGAAATTTGAGCAGTACAGCATACTCTGCAAGACAGGCTTACATGCAGTTCAACTGTCGTGTTCAACTGGAGGTCCGTGCGTAATACATATTTTGTTGCTCAAGTATTTCGTACTTCGCCACACTTTATCCAACTTCAACATTTCAACAGCTCCACTTGCCTGTGATTCGGAACTTCAATGAACTCTCCTCTCACCCTCATCAATGCAAATATGTTCCATCCCTTTCTTGTACCACCACCGTCGTGACAACCATCAGTCATTTCAACAAAATCTCGCTCTTTCTACCACATCACAGCCGCACAACTCGTGGGCAAACACAGATTTTCCTCGTCAGATGATGTGAGTTTGTTGCCTTGGTTGTGTTATACTCTGCAAAAATGAACACATTCGAAACAGAGCGCATATAATCACTCATTCAACTCAACCCTCCAGTAACAGGCTTAAAATGAACAGCCAATGGTCCTGACGTGTCTCATGCCACACCAGTGCATTTGTTTTCGCTACTGATGCACTGATTCACTGATTTGTTGTTGGTCTAGGTTTTGGATATTGCTTTTCTGCTAACGATGCAAGGCTCGGGCGCCAATGAATATCAACCCAAAGCAACAGGTGAGTGTAATGCTTCGTTTCTTTTGTCTTTTGACAACTCAAATATTTTCCTTCAGAAGCTCTGTGGCCATCGCTGGTGAAGGGGCTGATGTTACAGGCATCTGTAACACCTACTAGAGCCTCAGCTCTGCCTACACCTGCCCCCGCTCTGCTAGACTCCCTGCGTGGCGGTGCGCCGCCTGCGCCTAGAAAGACAGTGGTCTGGACCGCTGTGACGCCGCCCCTGGCGCTATGACCCCGCCCCTGGCCTAGATGGCCTTGTGCCGATCCATGGAGGCTGTACGCCTCATGGTCACCCTAGATCAAGCGCATGTATACAGCATGTCGCTTCATGAAGACCCGGAGCGCGCTTGGCGCTTCCCGTACCTATGCGCAGCTGCCCTTGGCGCAGCATGCTTGATCAGAGGTTAAGCCTCATGTATCTTATCTGAACCTCATGTCTGGCTATCATAGATTCACGATATACTATTGATTACAGACTGAGCTAGAATACTTGTAGTACTTCCCTATAAGTAGACACAGATTATTGTACTTAGACTTCACTTTAATCTACTAGGTTCATCCCCAGAACTTGCTCATCTAAGCTTACCAGCTTCCTTGTGTGAGACCGCACTTCTAAGTCGCCCCCTTACGACTTAGCACGTATCCGCTAGCCCTGCATCTCGACGAGTGCCGTCTTACCGAGATCGCCGGAGGAATCCTTGACGTTCCGTCAAGGCT